GAGAGAGAGAGTGTCTCTCTCTTTTAAGATTTTATTTATTTTTGTGAGAGACAGAGACAGAGAGCGAGTGAGCACAAGCAGGGGGAGGGGTAGAGGCAAACTCCCCACAGACCGGGGAGCCCAATGTGGGACTCGATCCCAGGACCCTGGGATCATGACCTGAGCTGAAGGCAGACGCTTAACTGACTAAGCCACCCAGGTGCCTGAGAGAGAGAGAATCTCAAGGAGACTCCACGCTGAGCTGGGAGCCCGATGCGGGGTTCCATCCCACTACCCTGAGACCATGACCTGAGCCAAAACCAAGAGTCAGACAGTTAACTGACTGAGCTACCCAGATGCCCCTTTTCTTACTGATTTTTAAGTTCTCTTACCCTCAGGAGAATTTCAGTAAGTGTCTGAAGATTCACCTTGGTTTACTGCTTTCCTGGCCTGCCTCCTCAGATTAGGAGAGAAATGCTTCCACCATTTTCTCTGTGATATCCTTTCTCTTTCAGTCTCTCTTGTCTTGCTAGCTTCAAGGTCCACAGTGTGCTTTCACTCTCCAGTTAAGTGGGTTTCCATGACGTGGTCTGTCACCTTCCTCTGTGGTATTACTCTGTCCCCTCCCTCGGTACCAAGTCTGCTTATCATCACTGACTCTCTGTGATGTCACTGGTCCTGTCAAGTTCATGTATGACCCTACTTTTAATTTGCGTTTACCATTTCAGTTGATTTAGTTATGTGAGCCATTTCTTTGCTTGAAAAATAGAGAGCATTTTTGGTCTCTAAAGCCTTTTCTGTGTGAAGGCTAGATTTTGGGAATAGTGGGTATAGTTTCACCTTTTTTGCACCATTCCTTGGTTTCTAAGAGTTGTGGTCTTGGCCGCAATCCAAACAGAGGGACAGTTCAATTATTTCTAGGAACATCTCTTCCTGCCTTCTTCCTGTCCTGTGAGCGGGGTGAGCAGCCAGGAGAGGTCTCATCCAGCACCTGCTTCTCTCTTGGGGCCTGTCCTGCCCACTCTGTCTCCCAAATCAAGGAACTGAATAAGAAACCCTGTCCAGGACAGCTCTTTTATTAGCAGCTGCTCATTTTCCTTTTCTTCTGAGGAGACCCTTCCATCTCCACCTTTCTTGTGCACTGGCCCCAGGCTGGTGTTAGGGAAGCAAAGAGGGACAGGCAGGAGCCTTTGCTGGGGTATTCGACACTGCCAGTTGGTGTTTGGGAAGCTTCCTCAGGGCCAGAAGGCTGTTGAGGACCTTGCCAGGAGACCAGGGTGAGGAGGAATCTTTCAAGGCGATGGAGTCATGACCAGTCTTGTGGACCACTAAGAAATACGGATTCTGTCTCAAAGGTGACAGGACGTGATGGGAGAGAAGCGGAGATAGACTTTTATTTGGTGGGAGTCTTCTGTGACGATTCTCATGATCTGAGACATGGACTGTTGGTACTAGACCGGTCTCAGGAGGGTGGTGTCACATGGTCCTATCAAACAGGTAATGCCCTCAGATCAGGCCCTAGAGCCTGAAGCAGCACTGGTGTGTGTGAGAGCATGCTTCCACCCTCGGACAACACTGGGGTGTGACATTGACATGACAGCCCCCACATTCAGAGGGGTGTGTGGAGGCACGGGGAGGGGAGGTAGATGCTCCGGGTTACACAGCTCATCAGGACTTCAGACCTGGAAGAGTGTCCTAAAGCCACGTGTCGGGTCCCGTGTAAGTCCTGTGCACATGGGTCCCTTTCAGTCCCATAACAACCCAGGTAGCTAACTTTTCTCCTCCTTTTCCAGAATAGAAACGATGACAGTCTACCCATGTTTCCTGGCCTGTCAGTGGCTGGGTAGGGTTCAAATCTGTCTGTCCGAGGCTTCTTCAAACCTGCACAAGTAAGAGTTTTTTAAAAAGGCTGAGGGGCGCCTGGGTGGCTCAGTCGGCGAAGCGTCTGCCTTCGGATCGGGTCATGATCCCAGGGTCCTGGGATCGAGCCCCGCATCAGGCTCCTTGCTCGGCGGGAAGCCTGCTTCTCCCTCTCCCACTCACCCTGCTGGTGTTCCCTCTCTCGCTGTGCCTCTCTCTGTCAAATAAATAAATAAAAATCTTAAAAAAAATAAAAAATAAAAAGGCTGAAACCAGGTTCTTGGACATTTATCTGTCAGTGTTTACTCACTGTAAACAACCACACAGATTGAGGAAGTGATGTCATCTATCATTTGTTTCATCTTAACTCCCTGTCTTTAAACACAACAGTTTTGTCTATAACTTGCTGCCCCGTGGTGACCAGTACTCACAAAGCTATTCCACAGTCGTTCCCCGCCCCCCCCCTTCGGCTTGTGGAAGATGCTGGGCCCAAAGATCCATCTTCTCAGACGATACAGCTGAGTTCTGGAATAATGTGAGCACTTCATCTTGTAAAGGTTGTCACAGGAGTAGCAGATGCAAGACCTAAAATAGAATGGACATAAAAAATGTCATTGTTCTCTTCCGTAACTCTTCTGTCATATTGTATAACTCTTAATATAATCTCTGACTTACGCAAAATATATTCTCTTTCTCTAACTATATTTATTACACGGATAAAAATTTTTAAGTATTAGGACTCATCCCAGAATGGATAATAAAGAAATGCTTGCTGAGATTTATAGACAGACCATGAAAATTCCTTAAAGCACTGACCCCAGGCCATTGGCAGTTGCCAGCTCGCCCATGGCCTTCCCTGACCACCCTGTCCGTACAAAGCGCCCACCAGCCGCATTCCCACGACTACTTCGTCTTCAGGGCCTGTGTCTGAAATTGCTTCCTTGTTTTTCTGTCTCTCTGCAGGGTCAGTGCTCTGTGAGTGGGAACCTGGCCTGTCATAGTCTTGGAATCTCAGGTCTAAAGCAGACACTCGGCATGTGCTTTGCTGGGCAGATCCTGGGATATGGGCTGGCTATTCATGGTGCTCTCCACATGTAGAGCACAGCAGCTGCCACCCCCACCCTCGGGAGGGGCACCCAGCTTCTCCAGTCCTCTGTTTTCTCTGTCCTCCAGCGCCGCACCTCCCCCCCCGCCTTGCAGCTTTCCCAGTCTGGCCTCTGTGTAGTTATCCCCGTGACATGGGAGAATGGACCATGCATTTGTGACCCAGTTCTAATTATCCCCTTCTGTGATTAAACCTTATAGGTGGTTCTAGAAATCACCAAAGAGATAATTTACAAAATACCATTTCTAAATTTCCCGAACCAAAAACATGATCATCTAATAATTTGAGTGTTGCTAATATAAATTAAAGCTAAAAGATGGGCCCAAATCCAAAAGTTAAGTAGCATGATTTATGGGTGAATCCTTGGGGACACAGGCATTTTCCTAACACTGCTGGTGGGAATGCAGATGGCACCAGCCCCGGGGAGGGAATTTGGCAGGAAAATTACATATGTGCTTATTCTTCATCAGGGCAGTTCTGCTTCTAGGAACTTCTCCCCCAAATACACCAGGAAACATATGAGGTCAGTGAAAAAGCTATTCATTGCAGCACTATTTGAGCTAGGAAAGGGTTTTCAACAACGTAAGATTTCTATTAATAGGGAGCTGATTGAATAGACTCCGGGGCTTCTGTCCAGTGGAGCTCTGTGCAGCTGTAAGAGAGAGTTAGGAAACACCCCATGTTGCTAAGGAGAGGTAGGCAGGATAGATATGAAATGAAAAAGCAAAGGTGGAGAAAAGTATGTGTGTGATACTACTTTTTTAAAAAGAGGGAAATTCGAATAGATATGTGTTTGCATCTGTCTTAAAAAGGAAGGATAAACCATACTCGTACTTATTTATTTTTTTAAGATTTATTTATTTATTTATTTGACAGAGAGAGAGAGAGAGACAGCAAGAGAGGGAACACAAGCAGGGCAAGTGGGAGAGGGAGAAGCAGGCTTCCTGCAGAGCAGGGAGCCCGATGCGGGACTCGATCCCAGGACCCTGGGATCATGACCTGAGCCGAAGGCAGACGCTTTAACGACTGAGCCACCCAGGCGCCCCTCGTACTTATTTTTTTGAAGCTGCCTGTGGGGAAAGGAGGGAACCAGGCTGTGGGGGACACAAGTTGAAGCTGGACTTCTGACTGTACCTATTTTGTAGATTTGACTTTGGAACCATGTAGATATTGTACATCAGTACAAAACAAAATATGTAAAATGTTACGACTTTTTAAAATTTTGGTAGACATTGTCAAATTCTTCCCTCAAAAGTTTATACTCTTTTCTCCCATACTTCTGCCAACACTGGATCACCATCTTTCAAAACTTTGCCAGTCTGATAGGTAAAAAATAGTTGGCCGTTTTCATCTGTGTTCCCCAATGACTAGAGCATTTAAGCATCTTTTATTCATTTATTAGCCCTTTGTATTTCTTCTCTGAGATGCAAGTCCATAGCTTTTTTTTGGTAAGAAAGATCTTTCTATTGATTTGTAAAAACTCTTTATATGTTGTGGATACAGTTTTCATTTGTTGATTATTACAGGTTACTGACCTCATTTCCAGTTAAGTTGTTCAGGCCCTTGAGTGTAGTAGCTGGTTGTTTTTCTCTTGTCACATAGTACAGGTTTTGTACAAGGACATTATGTATGATACATTTGAAATGCTTATATTTCACGTAACTTGGACCAACTTTCCCTAAACTGTTCAGGTGCTGGACCTCAATTTGTGAGCTCTTTGGAGTGATAGCAACTGTGTTTTCTTTCCTTTTTAAAATTTTCCTGTGGCTTATTACCTTGTCTGAGTGGTAGGTGGTCGGTGAATGTCCACTTGAGTTGATTTTTAGTGAACGTATAAACTAAATTTGATTGTTTCTTGGGTTTGAGACTTTTCTTGATTTTTAATGACCCATGATGGTCATTTTTATGTTCTGTTCAATTGAGAATCTGAACGAGTCTGTCATTTTTCATTAAAAAAATATATATGGTGAAAGTAGATTTTGAAAAAGTTTGTAGAGTTGTTGGCATTTGTCCTTTGTTCATTGCTCTATCGCCTGTATTTCTTGTTTCCTTCTAGGTCATCACTCCATGTAGGAAGCTCATCTTGTGTGCCGATAACAGGAAAGAAATGGAAGAGTGGATCGCAGCACTGAAGACCGTCCAGAACAGGGAGCACTTTGAGGTCCGGAAAGAGAAACATCCTTTCTTGTTACCCGCCCATTAATATTCTGCCATCCAGCATCAACCATGTGTGGACTGAGCAGTCTGGCAGTCACTTTCTCAGCATGTTCCTTGTAAAATTAAGGCTCATCGCTCGTCCTTTTGGCTGACCCTTTCTCTTCTCCTCTCTCGGAAGCTTTATTGAATCCCATTCAAGTTACCACATTCAGGGATGTCAAAGGGACACCTTATCTTTGCCATCCCTCTTTTCTTCTTCCAGCCTACCCAGTACAGCATGGACCATTTCTCAGGGATGCACAATTGGTACGCCTGCTCCCATGCGAGGCCGACCTACTGCAATGTGTGCCGGGAGGCTCTGTCCGGGGTCACGTCACATGGGCTGTCCTGTGAAGGTACGAGTGGCGTGTTAGTCTGCTGGGAAACGTGGCCTGAGGTTTGACTTGACGAAGCCTTAGAAACCCTTGAATAGTCCCCACAAATCAGTCAGATGTGTTTATTTTACCTACTAAGGAGTCTGATAAATTATTTTGTGTAGTAACGGAACAAAGTAAAAAGGGAAGTGGTGGTGATAAGGAGGCATGAAGAGGAAACGTGAAAGACACAGAGGAAAAGAGGTTGAAAATCAGTCCTCCCCGAGGTAGTTAGACCCCTTTGGAAAACTGAGCTGTGGATAAACAGATTAAACGTGGTCTTCCAGGTCTGGAGGGTGGGTTGTAGTGGTTGCACAAGGGCAGAGGTCAGGAGCAGAAGCCGACAAGCTCTGGACCCTGGGCCAGTTCCCACCTGCTGCCTGTGTTTGTACGACCTGTGAGGTTAAGACTGGTTTGTACATTTTAAATGGTTGCAGGGCGCCTGGGTGGCTCAGTTGGTTAAGCATCCAACTCTTGATTTTGGCTCAGGTTATGATCTCAGGGTTGTGAGATCGAGCCCCATGTTGGGCTCCATGCTCAGCGCAGTCTGCTTGTCCCTCTCCCTCCCCCTCTGTCCATGCCACCCCCCACCCCCCCACCCCCGAGCACTCACATGCTCTCAAATAAAAAAAAAAATTTTTTTTTTTTAAGATTTACTTGTTAGAGAGAGAGTGTAAGCGGGGGGTGGGGCAGAGGGAGAGGGAGAAACAGACTCCCCACTGAGCGTGGAGCCAACACAGGGCTTGATCTCAGGACCCTGAGATCATGACCGGAGCTGAAATCAAGAGTTGGATACATAACCAACTCAGCCACTCAGGTGCCCCAAAATAAATAAAATCTTAATAAAAGTGGGGGGGAGACAATTTTGTGACCTAGAAATCCTGTGATTTCTAAATTTCGGTGACCGTGCATGTGGCATGGTTCGCAGTGGTGCTTGTGTTGCTGGGCAGGGCTGAGGAGTCGGGTCAGAGCCTGTGTGCAGCCCCCCGAAACGGACTCCCGCTGTCCCGGCTGCTGGTCTCACTGCTCAAACTCTGTGCATAGCCCCGCTGTGTAGTTTACAACACGGGGAGCGCTCCGTGTTCATTCCCAGCCATCCTAGAGGAGCAGGGCAGGTCCTGCGGGACCACCTCCTCAAGCATGGGAAGCACCGTGCTGGATGAGGCTTGAAAAAGTTGAGGCTTGAGGGTCCCGTGTCTGTTCTCTCTCAGTGTGCAAATTTAAGGCCCACAAACGGTGTGCTGTGCGTGCAACCAACAACTGCAAGTGGACCACGCTGGCCTCCATTGGGAAGGACATCATTGAGGACGAGGACGGGGTATGCATGGGGGGAACCGCCCACAGGGCCCTGCGCCGGGGCCGCCAACCCTGCATCGACCCTCTCCACCTCATGCTGGCATCGGGGCCAGGTCCCCCCCCCCGCCCCCACTGGCCTGTGCTCACTTCTCTTGCTCACACTGGGTGTGAGGGGCTCCGCACGGTCTGCTGTGCCTCTCAGCCTGGCCAGCCCTTGTGAGTCGTGCTGTGCTCACCGGCAGCAGGAGTGGGGTGCCGGGCAGCTCGCTGCAGACCCTGCCTTCCCCCTGCTTGTGTCGAGCAGCAGGTCTTGGTTGAGTTTGTTTCAGAGCATTTTTGTGTGAGCGTTTCCTCGCCTGTGTGTGGGGCTCTGGGGACGTCCCTGGTGCACACGTCTCTGTGGTTTGCAGATCGCCATGCCGCACCAGTGGCTGGAAGGAAACCTGCCCGTGAGTGCCAAGTGCACGGTGTGCGACAAGACGTGTGGCAGCGTGCTGCGCCTGCAGGACTGGCGCTGCCTCTGGTGTAAGGCCATGGTGAGTGGGCGTGGCCACGCAGGCTGGTACCCGCTCCCTGTACGTTCTCAGCCGGCCCCCAGGTGCCCACTGCCGCAGTGGCAGGGAGGGTTCTGGGGCATGCCGGTGACCCCTTGTGATGTGTTTCAGGTGCACACGTCATGTAAAGAGTCCTTACAGACCAAGTGCCCGCTGGGCCTGTGCAAGGTGTCGGTCATCCCGCCCACTGCGCTCAACAGCATCGATTCTGATGGTGGGTACCTCGTGCTCTCCTGGCTCACCCGCGTTCTCCCCTCCCCCGTGCCGGAATGGGTGACCCTGGTGATCTGGGGATGTGGTCGGGAAGTGGTCAGGCCAGGCAGCTGGGGAGAGAAGACGTGCATAGAGGTGGTAAACGGAGTCCTGTGGCTGTTGGGCACACTGGGACGGGAGCCGTGCGCTGTGCTTTCCGTCTGCTGGCTTCCTTCTGGCCGCAGATGTGGATCAGTGTTCACCCGCACCTGCTCACCTGTCCAGATGGTAGATGACGATGTGTGTTAACAGGCCTTGGTAGAAGGTAGGAAACTGGGGTGCGGATCTTAGGAACTAGCTCCTCCAGATTGAGAGCAAGAGGGAAGGACAGCAGTGAAGTGAATGGTCTTTTTGAAACTGAGTCATGTAAGCACAAGGTCAAACTGCATGGGAGCACTGTCCTTCTCCGTGGGGAATGGGGATGGGGAAGAATGTTTATTGATCCCTGGCTGGTGACTGAGTGTGCACGTGGAAGTTACAGGTCTCTTGCAGGTGTTGGCTGCTTTTTATATGGTGGAGCCCCCGCCGGGATCTTGAATAGCTTTCTCATTTTCTCCTCTCCCTTTCCATCCTCACATCCAGGCTTCTGGAAGGCCACGTGCCCTCCGTCCTGCACAAGCCCATTGTTGGTCTTTGTCAATTCCAAAAGTGGGGACAACCAGGGTGTGAAGTTCCTCAGAAGATTCAAACAGCTGCTGAACCCCGCCCAAGTCTTTGACCTCATGAACGGAGGACCACACCTCGGGTAGGAAGGTTATAAAATAGATCTTTCTTGGAGTTTTAAAAATGTTTGAAGATAATGCATTGCTCATGAACAAAATGATTCAAAAATACAGACAAATTTAAATAGGAAATAAAAATAGTCTTTGTTGGACAGCGAATAGAGCTGCGTGTTTTTCTAGCTTTCCTGTGTGTAGGTCACTTGTGCAGACGCCCTTCTAAGTCGGGTTCCCTGCCGTTACCCGTTACCTCCTGTTGCACTACCTGCTCTTGGCATCTGTCAGCATGGGCGTGTTCTTATGTCCGTGATTGCAGGTCTGCCCCGTTCTTTGTAGTGCTGCCTGGTGCTGAGGAGGACGTTTTTCTCCAGTGGGGCCGCCAGGGAGAGTCTTCATTTTGGGAGGGCACAGGAGGTCTCTTACCTCACAGGTACACTGTACTTTCAGGTCCCGTGACACGTGCAGACATGTGAAGCCCAGTGTATGGGGCAAAGGAATTACGGCTTTTATTTGTTAGCTGGAGATCTGAGGTGTGTTCTTTCTACTTTTGTACATTGTGTAGTTTGTGGAGAACATTTGCTGCTGTGAGTTGTGTCATTTGAATGAACTCTTAGCTTCCTTGCTTGGCAGCACCAGTTCAAGGTAGGAACTCTAAGAGGCCGCCTTGCCTGGAAGGGAGATTGTCCAGGATATTTGTTGTGGAAGGAGCTTGCAGAACGTGTTCTCTGGTGTGTATTTGCCTTGGAGGCTCCTAGGAGTGTGTTGTTTTGGAGTCAGGTGTTGCTGGAACAGGAGCCTGGGCACCTGGCAGGGCAGAGGAGCATGCCCGCCGGCACCCTGGGGGTCTGGCGTGTCGCTTGTCCCCACAGGCAGCAAGGCACTGTTGGGGAGCGTCACTGGCGGCAGCTTGCCAGCCTGGCCCTCAGAGGCTGTCCTCCACGCATTTCTCCAGGTGGACTGATGAACTGTTGGTCTGTGTGTGGGAGCACATTCACTCTCGGCTTGATAGTCTTTAAAAAAAAAAAGAAAAAAAAAGTCATTTTAGTTAAAAAATGGGGCCAGTGGCGGGATCATCAAAAGCCCTCGTATCCCGAGCAAGTCCGGGCCTTTACCCAGCAGGGCACTGGGGTCACTGGGTGGGGGCTGAGGAATGGGCGGGGCCGGCTGGCCGCACAGCACGACCTGAGAACAGCCGAGTGCGTCTTGGTGTGCGTGCAAAGCCCCGCAGTCGGCCGTAAAGTCGCGGGGGACCAGCCGGCTTCAGAAGCGCCTACACAGGTGCTGTGGGTGCTGGTTTAGTAAGTTCCCGTTTCTGGGAATCAGCCTTGACCTCCGGCAGTCACCTCAAAACTGGAGATACTGCTTCATTTTCCCGATTCCCAGCCTGGACGTGTCGCATCTCCTTCAGAGAAGGAAGGCCTGAGAGAGGCCAGTGTTCGCAGGGGAACACACGTGGCCATTTTTCTCACAACCTGAGGTGCAGCCTTGCTGCTTCAGGCCCTCAGCCCTGTTGGTAGCCTGAGTCTCGTGCTGTGTCACTCATTCCGGTTTGTTCTCTGAGGACTTCCTCTGGCTGGGACTCTGCCAGATGCAAGGCCAAGTAAGGTGGGGTCCTTGTGTTCAGGGTGCACAGCACGCAAACCGGTAGTCAAGGTCACGAGACAGGGCGATGTACAGATTCTTTAGGAACCCAGGGAAGGAGCATACAAATGAGACTGGAGAGTGTCTCAGTTTCTCTGCTGAGCTGGTGTTGGAGATGAGTGGCAGAGAGGAGGCGGGCAGCCTGCTAGGCAGAGGGGCTGTGTGTGCAGGGAGGTGAGGACGTGGTGGTGCGGCTGGGCGAGCCGTGGGGCTGGGGCAGGTGGCAGGCAGCTCCTGGCCGAGAGTTTTGAACCTTTCCTGGAAACAAGTGGCAGCTTCTAAAGCTAGACACTCAGGGTGCCTGGGTGGCTCAGTCAGTTAGGCATCATACTCTTGATCTCAGCCAGGTCTTGATCTCAGGGTTGTGAGTTCAAGCTCCATGTTGGGCTCCACGCCGGGTATGAAGCCTACTTAAAAGAATAAAGCTAGACACTCAATGAGACTTTTGGGAAGGTCCTGCCGGTGGCATGAATTGGAGGTATCCCGAAGGAGACATGAGGTAGGTAGGAGGCTCTTGGAGGGATTATGAGAGAAGCTATGGTGGCCTGCACTCCGAGGGGATGATGAGGTCTGGCCCTGTAACTGGGTTCATGGTGGTGCCATTCTCCGAGTAAGGAAGCTTAGGACGAGGAGGTGCCCGTGGGATATGGAGTGACGCGTTCTGGTAGAGGGTGAAGTGTTGCCCTTCAGGAAGATCTAGAGGTCATCATGCAAGGTCATTGGTGTCTGTGTGGTCCCTGAAGCCACAAACCTGGATAAGGAGGGTAAGGAATGAGCAGAAGGCTATGGGTGTTCTGAAGGGACATTGTGTGTAGCAAGATGACCAAGAGGAGGAGCACAGGAGGGAGATGGAGATAGATTTGAGGGGAGCTTGGTGGGTCTCACACTTGCGATGGAGGGGCGTGGACAGATTCCTGCAGCCTAGGGCTCCTGAGCTATGTGAGTGAGGGGCAGTGGGTGCAGAGGCAGGGGTGGGTGACTCAGCGGCGTGGGTGGGTGGCTCAGTGGGCTGAGCCTGAGCACACCTGGGCTCTGGCTCCCAGAGGCCTATTCACAGCGGGGGCACAGGTCAGCCAAGAGGAGTGCAGATGGGGCCTTTTGGCTCAGGACTCATTGGCCATCATTTGTCTTTTAGAATGAACCTCATTTCTTTGACATTTTCTTTTCTCTGCAGCTTACGCTTATTCCAGAAGTTTGATACATTCCGGATTCTGGTTTGTGGTGGGGATGGCAGTGTTGGCTGGGTTCTCTCTGAAATCGACAGCCTCAATCTTCATAAACAGGTACGTGGATGTGGAGGGGCCTAGCCAGGGGAGAGCGATGCTGCGGTTCCGTGATGCTCCTTGTCCCCTCGGCAGGGTGTGGCGAAGGTCTCGGAGGGAAGAGCAGGCAGCCTAATGGTGCCACGGGGCTCAGGAGCTGTGTTGTAGGAATGGGAACTTCACAGGTAGAAGTGAAGGGAGCTACGAAAGAACATTCTAGTCCCTGGAGGTCCCAGGCAGGAGCAAGTTGGCTGGGACTGCCATCCCATGGCACCCCAACAGCTTTTATTGGGTAGTGATAGAATCTGCTGCCTGGGGCCTCCTGCTTATGGGGAGGGGGCAGAAGTAGACTTGAATGTCAGGTCACAGTTAGGGTTCATTGGACTTAATCTCTCGCGCGTTTTTTTCTTCTTCTTTTCTTTTTTTTTGCTATTAAAAATAGATTTTCCTGATTGGAAAACAAAAAAGTATTCATTTATTTTCCATTCTGCTCTATCGTCTTCATTCCCCACCCCCCAACGTTAACCACTGCCGCTAACATTTTGGTGACTGTCTTTCAGACCTCCTGTCGACATATATATATATATATATATATATATAATATATATATATTATATATATATCGTATAAGATATGTTGTGGTCTTAATTGAAACCGACCCACATTACCCATGCTGTCCTGTTTCTGCATTTTGTCTTGTGATGCTCATCAGTAAATAGAGAGCCTTGTGATGGTTTTCCATAGGCGGAGCCGTGTGGCCAAGGTCGGCTTGCCTCCCTGCTCCGTGGATGTTTAGGTTGCTCTCGGTAGGGGCTGTGCCAGCTTATCTTCCTGATGCTGCAAAAGCTGCCCCTTCCCCTTCGCTGTCCGTTGCTCATCTTCTTAGTTTTCCCAACTAAGTAGACAAAAAAGGTACGCTTGATTTTTATTTCTTCAATACTGATGAAGGCAAACATCTCAGTTAACTATGAATTTTTAGATGAATTAGATGTTCATGTTTTTTGCCTAGTTTTCTATTAGGGCATTTACCTTTTTTTTTTTTTTTTTTTTAAAGATTCTATTTATTTATTTGAGAGAGAGAGCACATGAGAGGTGGGAGGGTCAGAGGGAGAAGCAGACTCCCTGCCGAGCAGGGAGCCTGATGTGGGACTCGATCCAGGGACTCCAGGATCATGACCTGAGCTGAAGGCAGTCGCTTAACCAACTGAGCCACCCAGGTGCCCCAGGGCATTTACCTTTTTAAAACATTTGATGTCTAAGGATTATTGTTATACTAGGGATATAAATTCCTTGTTGGTCATATTTTTCCTAGTTTGTCATTTGCTTTCAACATATGTTTTTCAAATCTTCGACCTGACTTGAGCATATTTTTCAGACTTAGCCTTCTCTCCCGACTGTTAGTGTTGGTGGTTTTACTAGGTGGATGGACTTTTGTTGTCTGTGGTTAGCCCTGGACTCGCGGATAATGTTGAGAGGCGGCCCACCTGAACCCAGCCTATGCAGGTGAACTGCTCAGCTCAGGCACGTACTGCCCCCTAGTGGTGAAGGTGGACTAGTACACGTGGGTCCAGGATTATCACTAGTCAGGAAGCCAGGGAGGCCAGTCATTTGTTTACATCCATTCAGCTGAGTTCAGTGAGCATCCATCTCCTTCGGCTTCTCTGTGGCACTTGGTCCTGGTCACTTCCTCACTTGCCTAGCTTCCCTGAGACCCCACCCCCACCCTCTCTCTGTTTCTCTTTTTCCTGGCTGCCCTCCAGCCTGCCTACCTGCCTCATAGTGCCTCAAGCCTGGCATTTTTAGCACTGAGCCCACCGCTCAGCCCCACTCACCGTGCATTTCTTTCCTTGGAGCCTGAAAATATTGTTCACCAGACATCCAAGCCAGAAATCTGAGTCGTTCTGGATTCTTCCCTCATCCTCCCTCATTTCTAGTTAATGACTGGAGTTCACTGCCACCCCGGAGTGTCGACACGGGGTGTCAACACACTGAGTACTGCTGAGTACACCTCAGCTGACCCTGGGCCTCTGTCCGTCCACTTCTCACCGGGGGGTCTTCCCCACGGACAGTTTTGCTCACTCACCTGCTCTGCTGAGTGTTCTTTGGTGGCTCCTTGGTTTTAGGATAAAGTCCAGGCTCTAACATAGTTCATCGGAGCCCCCGATATGGCTCCTTCTTCATCTCTGCTTCTTTGACTTCCTCTCTCCTGACTTGGCAGGTGGTTCACCTCTCCACCTGGAACACCACTGTGTCTTCAGTGCGCTGCCTGCTCCTTTTCTTTAAGGCTCTGGCACCCAATCCTCTCTGCGTGGTGTGCTGGGCTTCCTAGTCCTTGTGAAGGACCGACTGCTTCCACACGCTGCATGTGGAGCTGGAGGCCGAGTTCTTGGGCATCCAGCGTCTAGGGAGCTCCCTGAGCCCGAACTGGCCCGATGAGAGTTCCAGCTAGAGGGCCGGGCCTGAGCAGTGCACACCGTCACTCTGGGGAGGGTCAGGTGGAAGGCTGTGGGCTGAGCGTGGGGGCATGCTCAGGTTTGGTGACTAGACTGTGGATGTCCTGGCTCCTGTTTTTGATAGGACTTAAAAGCCAGGAGTGAAACGACACTAGTAATGTTTTTGGAAGATGGTCCTGGCATTAGTGAGTAAGACATAGTGGATGGAGAAACGGCGGGGGACGTGGGGGGCTCCGAATGATTCTCGATAGGAGTTCAAGGATACTCACAGGAAGGGACAGGATTGTGGTCGTAGCAGTGAAAATGGGAAGGAAGGGGATTTTGAAAATCTACATCAGAGAGGACGTAGAGGATTAAGTGTCAAGATGAGAAATGGGCATGGGAGAGGGTGGGTCAGATGGTTCTGTAATCTTCTCTTGGATTAGAAGATCCTCGGTCTTGTCTAGTGGGTTCTGCCTAGACTATGAGAGCCAACGCGTCTTAGAGGAGACCTCTCGCTGAACTTAGCCACTGTTGTAGGTAACAAGGAGGGTGTTTAATGCCGTGTCTTCCCCTCTGTGTCCTGCCAGTGTCAGCTGGGAGTGCTGCCCCTCGGCACAGGGAACGACCTGGCTCGAGTGTTAGGCTGGGGCTCAGCCTGTGACGATGACACCCAGCTCCCACAGATCTTGGAAAAGCTGGAACGAGCCAGCACCAAGATGCTGGACCGGTGAGTGGAGGGCGTTCTCGTGCCACACAAGGCAGGTCACCTTGACCAGGTGTTCTCAGCCTGGACTCCCCGGAGAACATAGGTCCCGTGCAACTGTTTGTAGAAATTGGACCTGAATGAGAATTATTGAATCAGTGTGTTGTATGCCTGAAACTAACATAAACACTGGATGTGAATTACACTTCAATAAGAAACATGAAAGAGTCAGACCGATCTGGGATATAAATCCCTGCCCTGTCACTGAGAGTTGCATGAACTTGAGCATTTTACTCAGTCTCACTGTGTCTTAGATTCCTTGTCAGTAAAAGAAAAATAATTCTAGCTGCCATGCGGGGGTGGTTGAGAGATGAGTTCATTCATTTGGTCAATTCAACTAGAGTTTGTTGGAAAAAACAAATTAGACCTGAGCAGGAATTCTTTTTTTCTGGTAGTTTCTAACTTTTCATCAGATTATGCAGAAGGTAAAAACAACCAGAAGAGGTGAGGAACCATGCCCTTGAGTGGTCGGGATGGGGTGAGGCCTTGGGGGTGTTGGAGAGGGCGGCTCTCTGCCCCCTGCGGACACCTATCAGCAGAGTCGTCCTTACCATAAGGCTGAGTGATCCCATGTCCCCACATTCTGTTCCCAGAAGAATCTAAGTTCTGGGTAATTGTCCTGGGTAGGTTTAAAAATACTTTGGCATCCTTTTCGAGTGAGCTACTTTTAGTTCTGAGCTAGATGTAGGAAATCCCACTAACCACGTGCCTGTGGTAAATTGGTTTCATTGCAAATGCTTCATGGTCTCGGGAAGGGTCCCGCAGTTGTGATTGGCGGTGTGATTCTGAGCACACTCTGGCCGCCCCTGCCATGTCTTCTCTCTTTAAGGGAGGTGTACGTGCCTTGGTGCCCGTGAAATGCTCACACCCGGGGAGCTGGCTGCTGGCTGGGGGTGCTCATGCTCCGCAGAGGGGGAACCCGTCTTGCAGAAGCAGATGTTCCTTCGTGGGATCCCTTTCCCCTGCTTCGGGGGGGTTGCATGCCCTCCTGGTTGTGATGTTGGTTCTCAGCTCAGTGAGGAGCCAAATTATGGGCCGCAGAGTGGAGATAAAGGGCCTACAGATGAAGTGAGGTTGTCAGCCTTGCCGGGGGGCTGGGCCAACCTGCTGAGAGCTGCCTTTGTATGCACAGGTGGAGCGTCATGGCTTACGAGACCAAACTCCCTCGGCAGGCCTCCTCTTCCATGGGCACTGAGGACTTCAGTGAGGGCTCTGAGGTATTTGCACCATCTCACCAGCCCACTCACAGTTCAGGCTGCGTCCCCCGCCCTCCAGTGATGAGCCGTGAGCCACTCCTTAAATGTCCTGCCCGAGGTCGGCCCCGCAGAGGTGCAGGCTCATCCCCGGGGTCTTGCTGGAGCTGAGCGAATTCTGACTACCTTGTGGGCTTTGGGGTCATCTGGGGGTTTCCTGGGGTTACCCCAGGATTGGGGGTTCCTTGTGACGACAGTCTCCTAGGACTTCCTGCTCTCACAGCATACACTGCGCCCCTGCTGCCACTGTCCCCTCCGGGCCCTGGGCTCCCTCTCTGATCCCACCCTTTCTAGAACCCCCTCCATCCTGCCGCCCTTGTGGTTAGCCTATCCTAGTTCAGAATTCAGCTCTTCTCTTCCTTTTACGGTTGCTTCTGTGACTTAATTGTCCCCTCAGGGCCTAGACTTTGCCCAGACTAGTGCAGTGCCAGGCACATAGCCGTGCTCATCCCCACTGGGCAAGCTGGCTGCTGGTTGAGCAGAGAGAATGCTCTGCCAAGGGCTGTCTCTCCGCCAGGAGGGTCAAGGACAATGGGCTAGGGCAGTGGTCAGCAAACGATGACCCCCCAGCTCCAATCTGCCCGGGCCTGCTCTGACCTGGCTTACGAGCAAAGAATGGTTTGTACGTTTTGAGAGAGGAAGAATACAGAGTGTAAAGCCTGAAATATTTCCAGTCTGGCTGGCCCTGGGCTCGGGCCTAGAGGGATTGTCACATGGTAATCCCGTTATCAGCAGGTGGAGGTGAGTGGTGAGGGGGTCATTTACACCGAGAGGAGAGGGGCCAGGGCCAGGTCCCAACCAGAAAGAGAAATGTGTTGTCTGCTGTGAGGAGGCCTGCCTGTCGGCCTTGCTGCCGTAAGGTACCAGGATTAAAGACTGCACCTCCTAGCACAGGGTGGGGTGTGCAGTCAGACTAAAGTAGTGCGAGCTGTCTGTAAGATTGGATCCACGTGGTCTTTTTTGTTAAGATCCGTCTGTCCACAGCTTGATGAAGCTTTTGAAATCTTTCCGCCAGCACTGGCAAATCTGAGATTGGTGTGTGAAGTGAGTGGAGGTCCCAGGCTAGCAGGGGAAGTGGGTGAGGAGTTCACTGGGAGCTTCCAGTCACCCCACCCTGTCTTGGGATAACTGTAGGTGCAACAAATTCTCTTCTATGAAGATTCAGTCGCGGCCCATCTTTCTAAAATCCTGACCTCCGACCAGCACTCGGTGGTGATCTCATCGGCCAAGTGAGTGCCTGGCGGCTTTGGGGGAGCCAGGGGTCGACCTTGCAGGGGGCCCGGTTCCCAGGCAGAACTTTCTCTGGAAGTGTCTTTCCACGTTTCCTCCCATAGAGTGCTCTGCGAGACGGTGAAGGACTTTGTGGCTCGGGTGGGGAAGGCCTACGAGAAGACCACCGAGAGCTCGGAGGAGTCAGAGGTCATGGCCAAGAAGGTCCGTCCCTGGGCCCCTGGGCGGGAGGGCGTAGGACGGAGAAGCACTCTGCCCCATTCCGTTCGTTTTCCGCCAGTGCTCTGTCCTGAAAGAGAAGCTGGACTCTCTCCTCAAGACCCTGGATGATGAGTCCCAGGCCTCATCCACCCTGCCCACCCCACCCCCCACCATCGCGGAGGAGGCGGAAGATGGAGACGGGACGGGCAGCGGCTGCGGCTCCACGGGGGAGCGCTCGCTGGGGTCGGCGTGCCCCGGCCGGCCGCAGATATTCCGTCCACGGGAGCAACTCATGCTCAGAGCCAACAGCCTAAAGAAAGCCATCCGTCAGATCATAGAACACACAGAAAAAGGTAGCGGGTCTCTTAATGATGAAGTAGCGTTCTTCAGCCAGCACTGGGCACTCCGTTTTCCCCCAAATATGGTGACAAACAGGAATCCACTGTGTGGGCCACAGCCAGGACCCAAGTTCACTTGCACCCTATGTGGTGGCAGCGCCTTGTATCCGAGCGCCCTGGGGCACACTCTCCCTCCTCACCACACTTGTTTCTGACGGAAGGACTGGAGGGAGCAGAAGTGGAGGGCAGAGCAGGATGGTGCCCCCAGCAGGGGAGGATGTAAATGGGTCCTTGGGTGGGGGACCCCTCCCTGGAAGGGGCCTGGCCTGCGCTAACTGCCAGACCTCGGGTGCAGCTTGGCACAAACAGGCGGTAGTGGCGGATGTGGAGGGAGCCTCTCGGGGTGGGGGGGGGCCCTTGTTCCTGGGGTGGGGGGCGTTCCGAGAAGAGCCTCACACTTGGTTGGAACCAAGGAGCTCTGAGGACGTCCCGAGAGGGGGGCCCTGTGAGAGGCGGGCCTGGCCTGGGGTGGTGGGTGAGGCCGTCAGCTGAGGGCTGGAAAGAGAGGCTCGCACGGGGCACTGCTGCATCGAGGGGTGGGAGGCCGGGTGAGCTGGAGGTGGTCAGAGCAGTGGGGGGCACTGCGGGGTCCCAGGCGGGGCCAGCTGTGAAGCAGAGGGTGCTCGGGGCCTGGTGGCCAGGCTGCCGACTCTCCATGATGAGCCTGGGGGTGGTGGGTAGGTGGACTGTGTTGGATTAAAGACTCGCTGGCTGGTCGCTCCCTTTTTCTAGCCTTGGTTTCTAAGCTTTGAAGGGAACACTACAAATACATGGTGACCTGTGGACTTCTTGCATCCAGCCTCCCTCGAGCTGTGTTGTCCTTGATCTGTGTGCTCTCTCATTACCCTCAGAAACCGTTTCACCCCGCTGCCGCTCACCCCAGACCCTTCCCAGCAGACCATCTTCCTCGTCCTTCAATGAGAAGCATGGGTTGTGACCCCCGCCCCCCTCTGGTGTGTTCACGCCAGCCCTGCTCCTGGCTGACAGTCAGGTGGAGGCCCCGTGTGCCCTCACTCTTCTCACCTTTCCCACGTCTTCCAGCCGCTCGGCTCTCTCCCTTCTCCCCAGCCCGTCCACACGGATGCCCAGTGCCCCGCGTTCTTGCAGGGCTGGTTGGACAGTGGGGACGGGGTGGCCGCTTCCGGCTGTGAGCCTTCAGCTGAGAGCACGTCTGAAGAGAGTTGGCGGAGAGGAGGAGGGAGCCCGCGTTGAGCGGGCCCTCTGCCGTTGCACGCTCAGCTGCAGGTGTTCTTCCCTTGCACAGCTGTTGACGAGCAGAACGCCCAGACCCAGGAACAGCAGGGGTTTGCCTTAGGACTCTCTGAGTCAGAGGAGAAAAAAGACCCGAAGTTGGATGACAGAGTGTGTCCCACCGAGAGCTACGGGGTTACCAAGGGCAGGAGCCTCCGCAAAGGTACCGGCCAGTCCTGAAGACCCCATCACTGTGATTGGGCCCCTGGGGTTGGCCATAGTCAGAACGCTTGCCCTGGGAAGTTTTAGGTTGTGTAAAAAGTCACGAACACGCAGCCTGTTTCCATGCACCACCTCCCTTGTCTGGGGAAGGCCCAGCAGGACCCCCACAGGAAGGAGTGTGCTTTCCTCAGAACCTGCCATGCACCCCAGACCCCAGGGCTCAGGCCTGTGGGTCTTCCTGGTGCACGAGGGGTCCCCCCCCGGGGCTCAGGCACCCCTGGCTGCAGCCAGCCAGACACTGTGCACTTAGGCAAGTTGCTCCGGGCCGGGCTGCCTGGCATTTTGGCCAGGGTGCCACCTAGCCCTATGGGCTGTCCGCCTGGGGGCCTTCCTCCCTCCCTGAGCAGCCCCCCAGCCCAGGCACCGCCTCCCCCACTGACTGTGTGTAGCCCCCTCCCTCGTAGCCTATACACCCGCTGCGAGGTGTCTGTCTCAGCATTTCCTCCGTGATCACTACTGCTCTGAGCTCCACTCTGCACATGCAGGGACGCCCGCAGCCCAGACTGACCGGGACGCAGCCCGGCCTCCCCAGCCCAGTCTCGGCAGCGCCTGTGTCACCCTCTAGAGGGCGTCCAGACCCTCCTGCCTCTGCGGCCCCTTCCCATTTCCCCTCCTCTCTCCTGGGCCCCTTGATGTGTCTCGCACACTCTGCCGGGGGCTGGCCGGGGGTTGACGACCCTTCCTCACTCCCCTCAGTCCTTACAACGGTTGTTGCTCTCATGACCTCTCCCAGTGCTTCAGTAATGTTCTATTTTAGATGGTTTTATGGCTTTCTGTTCTGTTTTTGTAGTGTCCAAATCCCCATGTGAGAAGCTGATAAGCAAAGGAAGTTTGTCACTGGGCAGTTCTGCCTCTCTTCCTCCCCAGTCAGGAAACCGGGATGGCCTGCCAGCCCTGAACACCAAGATCCTGTTCTCGAGTGAGTGTCCCCCGTAGGTTGGCCATGCGTGTCTGTGGGCCGGTGCGGGTGGGGCGCTAACCTGCCAGCTAGCGAGATCAAGGGCCTGTCGCTTTGCCTGGCACTGAGTCTGTGGGAACGATTGAGACCACGTCCTTGCCCTTCAAGAGCTTATATATAGGTCTGTGGGAAACAGAGATTGGGTTTCAAAGTTATGTCATGGCATGAAAAGTGCCTTTATTTATTTTAAAGGGCAGACAGCACGCAAATCGCTGCCAGAGGCCCCAGGAAGATGTCATTGAGGAGACGATAACTTGAGCTGGGTCCTGAAGGATGAATAGGAGTTATCCTGAGTGAAAAGGGAGGGGCGGGCAGGGTGTGATTGGGCGCCAGGCGAGTCATCCTGTCGTTTCTAGCGTGATTGTAGACACCACCAGGAAAGTGGTGTCTCTGTCTCTGCTTTCACTTTGCCCAAGTTAGGGTCGAGGTAATCTTCCCTCCAGAGGGACTGTGGCAGCTCTGTGTCTGCAGGAGGAAGGAATAGCATGGGGGGTTGAGGGTGCCGGTAAGAGCCCCCTAACCAGCTTCAGGTGACTTCTTGAGGCCTCCTGGGCCCGGCAGAGCGCACGCCACACCATCTGTGATTTGGCAATTTCTAGGTGAATCTCAACTGAATAGAAAAAAAATTCCAGAAGTCCTTGGGAGATGAGGCTAATGAGATGTATTTGGTTAATCAGAGACATGATTGTCACCAGAAGGGGTTAATTGGCAGAATGTTTCAAAGCAGAGCTCCATCTCTGCCTTAATGTTTATGACTTAAAATTTGTAAGTTGGGGATGCCTGGGTGGCTCAGTTGGTTAAGCGGCTGCCTTCGGCCCGGGTCATGATCCCAGGGTCCTGGGATCGAGTCCCACGTCGGGCTCCTTGCTCAGCAGGGAGCCTGCTTCTCCCTCTCTCTCCTTCTGCTTGTGCTCTCTCTGTCAAATAAATAAAATCTTAAAAAAAAAAAAAAAAATTGTAAGTTGGTGCAGGTTCCTTGGGGATTCTGGTCGCTTGGGCTGTTCCCTGTTTACGACTCCGGAATGTAGCCTCACAAAGCTGTACAACTGAATGTTAGGATTACTCGTACTGAGAGATCATTTCAGTGGAGCTTCTTATGTGTAATGAGAACAGTCTTTATAAACTGTTCTTTACTGTGTCTTCAGGTGGTGGTTTCTGCCACTCAGTGTGTTTGTTTTTGCTCCATGAATAGGGATTTATGATGGTGATTTTTGACCTGAAACACTTAAATTGTCAAAATTTGGATCTGTTTATACGTTATTTAGAAATAATTTAATTGCAGTAACGTTTTGAAGAATACATGTCCCTCGGCCTGGAAGACACAAGCTTCTCTTAATTCAGTGAATCCCGACCTGCTGTCTCTTCCTGTTTCCTCCTTACAGACGTTCGGGCTGGGATGTCTGGTTCCTTGCCTGGAGGTTCTGTCATCAGTCGCCTATTAATTAATGCTGATCCCTTTAACTCGGAACCAGAAAACCTGTGAGTATGGCGGTAAACCAGGAGAGCATGTTGTTAAAAGAATGTTGGAGCCCAGAAAACAGATGTGGAATTGGCCACAGGAATTCACGTACAGTTGACTAGGTGATCCTTTTCCAGCTTCGTTAGCTGATAAGGAAAACTTAGAAATTGTGACGCCTCAGCTAAGCGTCTCCCAGCTTCCCGCACAGGTCCCGCGTCAGTGGTTCCTGAACATCCCCCAGGGTCTGCGGTTTTCTGTAGGTTCAGGAGCTTCTCCTGGGAGCTGACTTGGCCCTTGTTCTCCATGGTCGCCCCCCCAGGACCCCGGCTGGCCTTGCATTGGCGCCTCGCCCTGACACCCTTCCTTCCCCCGCTTCCCCCTGTGGGTGCTGCAGGGGCCTAGGTTCTGGGGCCGAATCTAGGAGATACAGTCCTGGGTTTGGGATCGCAGGGAAGAAGCCTCCCAGGCTGCTCTGTGGGCTGGCGCTGTGTCCTCTGCCCTGTTTCTCAGGCATCGAGGACTCTGACACAGCAGTTCTGTGTGTGTGGAGGCCATTGGAGACAAACGGTGTTTGAAAGCCTGGTCTTCTAGATTTTCCCTTCTGCTGGCTGATAGCAAGGTCTGGGGGGCGTGGCTGGTGGTAGTGGGTTGACACACTAGCCACGTGTGTTAGGGGTGGTGGAAGGGTGACAGGAATGTGCAGCTTTGCACAGACTCGGGGGTTCTGGAGAGCGGAGCCAGAAGTGTGCAGAGTGGCCTCGGTTCAGACACCTGCTGCCCGATGCTGGCCTGCCCAGACATACCAGCGTCCTCGTCCCGGACCTGACACTGCTGAGTGCCCGCCCCTCACCCCGCCGCCCCGCTCTGATCCTGACCCTCCCCACACCTTTCCTCAGTAAGGCCAGAGCCGTGGCCTTCCATGAGCAGTACCCACACGGCCTCCTGAGCTAGATACTTTGTTCCCTTCGCCTGAGACCACTGAAGTCCCACACCTGGAAGCTTAGGCAACATGTCTTTTCCCCCTGTCGTCTTCCATAGGGCGAGACTCACCTGGGGAGACAGGCTGCTCTCCTCCCTTCATGCGGGGCGGCGTGCCAGGGCCGTGGCTCGGGGGGCCCCCCCGATTTGTGGTCATTCTGCCTTTGCCTGCAGTAGCCTCCGGGGCCTGGCCGCCTCCCACTTCCCGGGTCCCTGTGCCCTGTCTCTCCATTCTCCTTCCCTTGTCCCCATGCTGTTTTTCTGGATCAGCTCCCTCCCTTTTCCCAGGACCTGTAAATACTGGTCAGCACGTGGTCTTTTGCTCAGAAAACGGTTCTGTCCTGAGCTTTGCTCTCGATTAGCTGTTAGGCGCTTGGATTAGATGTGTCATAAAAACACATCCATGTGGTGATTGCTTCTCAAATCAGGCTTCAAATGCCTGTTAACCTAAAAGGTGGCAGGGTTCTGACCCAGGCGGTATTCCCTGGGGTTTTTGTGGGAACTGCCATCAGGAATGCCAGGCATGCACTTTTCTCCTTGCTGCTCTTTCCAGATGGAGGGTCAGGGACTCCTCCTTTTAGCCAGCTGCCCTAGAGGGAAAGGAGGGTCCACAGAGCCCCTTTGTGACCCCTGTAGTCAACGATGATTGCTGGGGGGAGGGGGAGGCTGAGAAGCTGGAGTGAAAGGAGTCTCATCAGCGGTGGACACAGGGAAGGGAGGTGCTGCCATGGGGGCTGGGATGAACGTTTCCATGTTTAGAGACGGCTATGATTGGGTCTAGGGATGTTTGAGGCACGTTCTGAGACCCACAGTTGAAGATGTGTGGATATGTGTGCTGTAGACACCGTCAGGTTTCACATCGCTGTGGGGGTGGGAGATGGCGCAGCCACCCTGGGAAACAGTCTAGCAGTACCTCAAAACCCAGTTTCCCCGTGGCCCAGACTGCATCTCCCGGGGCCACGCCCAAGAGGAGGGAGAACGTGTCCACCCCAGCATGGGTATCGGTGCTCCCACATCTCCAGGGGCATGCTGCTCAGCCGTTGGAAGGGACGAGGCCCGGGGCACGAAAGGGCCCTGAAAACATTATGTTCAATGAAAGAAGCCAGACGCAAAGGGCCACACACCGCGGGTTCCACTTACATGAAACTTGCAGAGTAGGCACACCATGGAGACAGAAAGCAGATTCGTGGTTGCCAGGGCTAGGGAGGGTTTGGGGGCTGATGGCTAAGGGGGGGCAGCTTGCTTTTGGGGTGATGAGATGTCCTAAAATGGATAGTAGTGATGGTTACATGACCGAGTACGTTACAAATCACCGAGTCCTACACTCTAAATGGGTACGTTGGGTGGTCTGTGAGTTCTAGGTCAGTAAAGCTGCTCCTGAAGGACAAGGCATGAGTTTTGCCCTCAGGGAGAAATGCTTGCAGGTTGGGAGGCTGTGAAGTGACCCGGGTGGTTCTCACTGGTCTGAAACCCCCTTTGCAGAGAGTATTACACAGAGAAGTGCGTCATGAACAATTACTTTGGCATCGGCCTGGATGCGAAGATATCGCTGGATTTCAACAACAAGCGTGATGAGCACCCAGAGAAGTGCAGGTAGGCAGCGGCTTGTGTGCATACCTGTCCTTTGCATCGTCCTTGCTTCTCGTTCCTGGGAGTGAGGTGACTTCAGGAGTCAGCGACGCAAAGGGTGCACAGAGTGCCAAGGCAGAAGGCACATGTAAAGCCCGAATGCCTTGTTGTCAGGAAGGGAGGTGCTCTTAGAAGATGTGGGTGGAACCAGGTCAGAGTCCAGGAGGCCAGCCTGGAGGAGGCGTCCCCCCCCCCCCCCCAGGGTTGGCGTGGTCACAGCAGATTCCACATGAGAAATGAGTGAGTGCGGTCCGTCAGAAGGGTCTGAGTCTGCAGAGTCGGAAGTCCCCGGTGCTGCTGTAAAGGGCTAGGTGACTGTGCTAAGAAGTGACTGCTCGACACATGAGTCCCTGGCAGCATTGGTGGTGGCTCTGTGTGTTCCTCACCACGGGGCAGAGCTGGGCGGCCCTGTCGGCTCCCCACAAAGCCCCTGAGAGGATGCCCCTCCACAGAAAGATAGCCACATGAGAGGCCCGAGGGGTGTCCCTGGAGATGTTCAGTTTCTTCCCCTAAGTGACCTCTGCTCACCTCTGCCGGCCTAGGGAGGGGATGGAGAGAAATGGGCAGTTTCCTCCTGGGTTGAAGTGGAGATCCCATCTCCTCCATGGGAACACGAGAAGTGAAGCAGGGAGTTAACATCTCCCACCTCACCCCTCAGTAATCCCCTGGAGGAGGAGACTGTTGAGCTTTGACATTCTAGAACGAGCGAGGGAGAAGCTGCCATGAGTTTGGGGCAGAGACAGCCAATGACGTTGGAGTCGGGGGGGGGGGCGGTCCCTTGCCGGAGAGCCTGCACACTCGCTCCGTGTGCCCCCTGCTCATTTGGTGACATTATCACTTGGAGGGGTGACACTGGGGGGCCTGGGTGGGAGGGGCTCATACACCTAAGGACTTGCTCTGGTGATCACCCAAGTTCTGTGTAGTTGGAAATTTCTCGGAAAACAAAATCAAGCATAAGAATTCAAGAAACCTTTGAGCGGGGCGCCTGGGTGGCTCAGTTGGTTAAGCGACTGCCTTCAGCTCAGGTCATGATCCTGGAGTCCCGGGATCGAGTCCCGCATCGGGCTCCCTGCTCGGCAGGGAGTCTGCTTCTCCCTCTGACCCTCCTCCCTCTCATGCTCTCTGTCTCTCATTCTCTCTGTCTCAAATAAATAAATAAAATCTTTAAAAAAAAAAAATATTAAGAAACCTTTGAGCTCTGGGGCTCGTGAGTGGTGGAGACTGTCTCCGAAGCCCCCAGGGACATCTCTGTTCTACGGTTTATGGTGGTGAGCCCAAATCATTTAAAAATACCCCTGTTAGTTCAAAAATAACTGAAAAGGCAGTGCACATAGTTTAACAGTAAAATAGGTGAACAGGGCCATGCATGATACATTTTTAGAACCGTGGGACTCTGATAGGATACTCCTTGAGTTTGTAGCAAGAGCTTTGTAAAGGTCTAAGAGGAATTCCATTTCTAGGAGTCTGTCTTAAAGAAGGAACTGGAAACGTTTGTAAAGAGGTGTGTGCGAAGGGACGACTGCCACATGATTGACAGAGCCCGGGAATGGGAAGTGGCTGGGTCCAGTCGGAGGGGTTAAGTTGTCCGGCGATGGCGGGGAGGTTCCCCACTGGGGTCAGTCCCGCCTCGAGACACAGGCTGCGGGGCCAAGGGAACAGAGTCAGTCAGGAGACTGGAGACTGGCTCTTTCACCTGTAAGTCACATACCTCGGAAAGACTGAGGAAGTACACTGAAGTTTTTTTTATTATCAATACGTACAGAGGTGGGGATTGTGAGGATTATTTGCTCCTTTGTGCTTTTCTGCACTTCCCAAATTTTCCATGGTAAGCATAATTTCATAGCTAGAAAAAATAATTATCGATTTTTTTGTGAGGTTCTGTAATGTCTGTAAGTTACTTTCTTGGGAGTGTTATTTTTCAGCAGCATTTTACATCAACAGATGTGTTTCTTTATGCATAGCTTACGCAGACCTATAACGAGGAAATGTCCTTCCTTCCCTTGAGGTGTCTGTGTTGAGAGTGCCTGCTGCATCTGACCGCCGTGTGATCAGATGCGCTCCTGCAGCTCGCGGCGATGACTGCAGCTCACTGTATAAAGAGAGCTGAGATCCTGTCAGTTCTTTGCTTTCTACCTGCAGGAGTCGGACCAAGAATATGATGTGGTACGGAGTTCTTGGAACCAAAGAGTTGCTGCACAGAACCTACAAGAACCTGGAGCAGAAGGTCCTGTTGGAGGTGAGCGGGAGGGCTCTCCTGCAATTGCAGGCAGTCAGGGGCCCGTCTGGTCTCCTCTTAGCCCTTCTCCTAGCTGGGTGGGGACTCCCTCTGCCCTTTTGGGCCCTCGGTGAGAGCTCAGCTGTGGCCGTGGCCTCCTCAGCCCGGGATGGGGGTGGGAGGGGGATTGCTAGTGAAGAAGGACCAGGTCGATGCTGTGCATCTTTCTTTTTTTTCTTTTTCTGGCATTTCTGCTGCGCAGTGTGATGGGCGACCCATCCCACTCCCCAGCCTCCAGGGGATTGCTGTCCTCAACATTCCCAGCTATGCTGGAGGGACAAACTTCTGGGGGGGCACCAAGGAAGATGATGTACGTACTGGGGTCCTGGGTGGCATGGGCCCATGGTGGGTGTGGGTAATCTCTTCAAGGAGTATCCACCACTTCAGGCCCCAGTGGAGCATTCTGCCTCTTAGGGCTCAGTTAGTGGTGCAGAGGTAGGGACGGAACTCCTCGCCTGTGCTGGCAGTCGGGATACAGTGGAGAACAAGACAGATAGGGTCCCCCTGCCCATGAGAAGAGAAGCCGAGCAGGACAGATGTGGTCAGGGGTATAGGCGTGATGCAGAAGCCAGGCCCAACTCCCAGTTTGGGGCAGTCTGGGAAGGCTTCTCAGAGGAGGGGATATCTACACTGAGACCTGAAAGAAGACTTGGGGTTGGCCAGGTCAGGTGGGGGTAGGGTACGGGGTGGGGAGGCTGTTCCAGGGAGTTGCTGGAACAGCGTACGTGAAGGCTTAGTGGTGAGACAGGATGTGGCATGGAGAAAGTTCCTTGACGATGTGCAGTGGGTGAAATGCAGACAGGTTTGAGACCATGTGGGGTTGTGTCATCCAGGGAAGAAGTTTGGAATTTCTGCTAAGAACTGTGGGAGGCCTTGATGGTCCTTAACCAGGGGTGTGGTTTCCTTCATACATAATAGCTAACAAATAGTGAACGTGAACTGCACATTTGAGATGTTCTGGTAGCTGTTGAAAGCACTGGGCATGCATTACGTCGGTCCTCATAAGAGCACACCAGTGTTAGCCTTGGTTCACAGATGATGGGACCGAGGACAAAAGATTACGTTAAGTGACTTGCTCAAGGTCACACTGCTAGTCAGTGGCAGCTCAGAGATTTGATTCCCACAGCTGGTTTTGGGGTTTCTCCTAGAAACCCCCTCAGTAACGCATTCGCCCCACAGCTGCTTCTCAGTTAGGACACACCGCACCCTGGTAGTGCCCCTGTCTGTCTCTGACCAGAGCAGCAGTCCAGAGAGGGAGCACCGAGGGGTGTGCGGGGAAGTTCGGAGCAGAGGTCAGCTCTTAACACTGGTCCTTGCAGACTTTTGCAGCTCCGTCATTTGATGATAAGATCCTGGAGGTGGTCGCTGTGTTTGGCAGCATGCAGATGGCTGTGTCTCGTGTCATTAAGCTGCAGCATCACCGAATCGCCCAGGTACCGGCCATGGTCCTGCAGGTGGGAGGGACCTGGGAGGCAGTCTGGCCCCCGTGAGTTTGGAGAGGCAGGGCCTGGCCCAGAACCAGTCTCCTGCATCAGTGCACTCCTTGCACAGAGCCCAGGAGAGTGGGTGCGTTTCCAGGACCACCCACGGCCCTGTCTCCTGGTCCAGAGCCCTTCCTCCCCTGCTGTATTTGACAGTTGGATGACACTCGTTCAGAATTGGGGCCCCCTTGAATCCTGCCTGAGCTCCCTGCCCTGGCTTTCTCTGTGGGTGCCCACTGTACCTGCCGCCTTCTGTTGAGGTGGGATGAGATGAGACAGGCCCGACTGGACTCGGCACGTGCCTGTGGCTTTCAGCAGCCGCATCCTGAGTTTGGGAACGGAGGCCGAGCAGTGAGCAGTGGAAAAAGCGGGGTCTCACCTGCTGCTCTAGGGCCCAGCTGGAGAGGGGAGACGGGGAGGGGGGCTTATTTCTGGTGATGCGTTGGGGTGGGCAGTGTTTTTATGCATAATGAAGCGGGGACGCTGATAACTTAGCCCACCTGAGGCCCATGCAGTGGCTTTCCAGTCCTTCCAGCCTCAGTCTGCCCCCATGTAGGGTAGGGTGTTTGAGTTTTATGATATTAACTCTTGGGCAGTGTTTTTTGTTGAAAAGAGAAACAGTGCATCGTTAACCACTTGTTGGAGGGGTTTACCCTGTTTGGGGAGTGTTTGCACGTGCGCAGGGCCCGATGGCTCGTGCTGGTCACGAGGGTCCACCCTGGGCCCGGTGCTTGTGTCTGACCCCTGAGGTCTCCTCGCTGTGCTTTCAGGTGCAGTAGCGGGTGAGGGGACGGGAGGGTGGGACAGACCCGTGGGCTTCATGAACTGTGTCCCAGACGAGGATGCTCTAACTGCAGAGGTGGTCGGCAGCGGGCGTGGTATGCCCCCCAGACGTCAGCTGACGTGTGCCAGAGCACGCAGCACAGGAAGGCTCCTGCAGCGCTGAGATACAGCCCCTTAGCTCCTTGCTTCCGCGCAGTGCACAAGTAACAGCTGTGATGTTTGCTCAGTGTCGTACCGTGAAGATTTCCATCCTGGGGGATGAGGGCGTACCCGTGCAGGTGGACGGAGAGGCCTGGATCCAGCCTCCAGGATACATTCGGATTATCCACAAGAACCGGGCACAGACGCTCACCAGAGATAGGGTAAGAAAGGCTGCCTTCGGGGACCCGGAGAGAACACACCGGTCCCAGGGCTCACCTCGGGCACACCTGTGCACCTTCTCGGAGAAGGCCCAGAGTTTCTAGTGTTCCGTTCTAGGAGTTTACTTTAAGTAGTTAGACACAGAGCTTAAGTGAACAGGGCTGTAATTTCCAGGACCATTCCCACTCCTCAGTGTGAAACAGAATTGTGTCTCTCCCTTTCTGGCTGCTGTCCAGCGAGTATCCCAGCAGTGTTTGCTGTTGGACACGTGCCTGCCTCTCGAGAGAGCGGTGCACCATCTGATACTGCCGTCCTGTGCCCTAGGCCTTTGAGAACACGCTCAAGTCCTGGGAAGACAAGCAGAAGTGTGAACTTCCTCGCCCTCCATCTTTCTCTCTGCACCCGGAGATCCTGTCTGAGGAAGAGGCCACCCAGATGGACCAGTTCGGGCAGGCGGCGGGAGCCCTCATCCACAGGTGGGCCCTCGCCTTCCCTGGGCAGTTAGCTGCCTCCCGGCTGGAGCCCCTGGGCCTCTGACGGCCCCCGTTCACTGCTGGGCTGCCAGCGTGCCGTCCCTCCTCCCAGGGCTCATGTGCCAGTCTGCCTCCTTCACCAGGGCCCAGCTGGGGTTTCTGCGGGCCCTTGGCTTTGGTTCATCTCTGCTAACTGACTTTCAGAGATTGCTCGGAGTTCATGTAGAGGGAAGCTTAAAATCCACTGGTGTTTTCAGAGCCAGTTCACAGATGTAAAAACCTATCTTGGATTCTTACTGCCACTTCTGCTTTATCCCAGAGAGCAGGTTTGTTATTAAAAAACAAACCTTGTAGTTATAAGAAAGCAAATACCCCACCAGTACCCAAAGGCGTTTCCTTCTTTTACTCTGCCTTTGAGAAGTGCCTTCTGGAGCCACTGGGGACGACCTTCTGGCATGGTGGTCCCACTCCGCCACTGTCCATTCTCCCCGCCCGCCCGGGCGCCGGCTGCCGTCGTGCCTTGCTCTGGAAGGGTCGTTCAGCTTGTGACCTATGCCCTCTTAGTTGACAGATCCCGTGACCCTCTTCGGCTGCTGTCTGGTTCTGGTTTTCAACGTATTTCCCCTCCCTGGTCACCCCCTGAGGCCGCACGCTGGCCTGGTGCTCCTTGACTTCGCCTCTGTGCTGCCCTGTGGCTTCCTCCTCCTCTGCTCCCGCCGGGAGCACTGCCGCCCTGCGGGCTCTAGGCTCTGCCTGCCCTTCCGGGCGGTTCTTCTCCTCTTTCCCCTCCCCCCGGCATCAGGCTCTCAGCCTGTGGGTTGGTAGCTCTCCCAGGATTCCTGAAGGCACTTCTGGTTCCATGGCTCCTTCTGGGTCCACACCCCTGAGAGCATGGCCTGCGCTGTGTCCTCTGTCTCAAGTAGCCGGCACCACTTCTGCCACCGTCATCCCCCCCTGCCCCGCCCCCCGTGGCCAAATCAGTATCTGGGCTTGATGACTTCACTTCTTACATTCTTTCTCAGTTCCTGGCTGTATAACAGGTTCTAGCTTCCTTCTATCTTCATTCTTGTCCCCTCAAGGCCTGTGGCAGCCCCACAGGTGGTGGCCATCATTGTCTTATTTAAAGTCCAGCAGCTGCCCCTGGTTTTCCCCAGGGTAGGACAAGTGGCTCCTCATCCAGCTCCCCTGACTTGTGTGTCCCCTCTGTCTGCTCTGGTGCTCTTGCTGTGTCTGACTCTGTCACCACCCTATTTCTGTGTGGGTCCCTTGGGCAAGGGGCTCTTGCCTGGGGCCGTGTCCTGGGGTCTGAGCCTTTTGAACCAGGATCGTCCCCATAGAGAAGGGTCCTGTCATCCTCATTTATAGAGTGGGGAGGCAAAGTCCCCTTTCAGGAACGATCAGCTGTCCCCACAAAGCAGGCCTGCAAACCATGTTTCCTGTCAGCTTGCCATTTTATAGGGTGCGAGTCTCATTTTGGGTATTTTCCTCCCTCATTGAGTTTCTGGAAAAACTTGGATTTTGGTGTCACATTTCCCCTTTAAGACCTGCTCTGTTTGCCATTGGCTGAGCTGTGTCTGTGTTGGCCCCCTGGGCTGGACCTGGGCCTGTCTTTGAGCGGGGTGATGTTATAGGCTGCCCCTTCCTCTGGTCTGATGAGTGCTGTGTTTCTTTCTCTCTAGTATCCGGGAGATAGCTCAGTCCCATCAAGACATGGAGCAGGAACTTGCCCACGCCGTCAATGCCAGTTCCAAGTCCATGGACCGAGTGTACGGCAAGCCCAGAACCACAGAGGTGCCTGTGCTTTTCAGGTTTTGCTCCTCTGAAGTCCTCTAGCCCTTGGGCCTTCTACATGGGTGTCATTCTGGTTCCTCTCAGGGGCTGAACTGCAGCTTTGTCCTGGAAATGGTGAATAACATCAAAGCTCTGCGCAGTGAGACGGAACTGCTGCTGGCTGGGAAGGTGGCTCTGGTAAGCCGAGAGGCCGGCCCTCACTCTGCATGTAGTGACCTTTGTGCAGAGGGCAGCAGATCTTAGCCTGGCGTTCCTGGCCTTAAGAATTCTAGACTCAGTGTTGGAAGGGGCTGTGGAGGTCATCTGATCTGGCCATATGGCTGGTTCTCCAATCCTCTGGCCACATCTCAACCACATCATCTCTAGCATGTTAGACTCCTATGGACAGAACCACCTTTGTCATTGCACATGAAATTCTACCTTAGAAATCTGCAGGCATGGAGCCATCTGCCTGTGACCAGGCAGGCAGGCTCCGTTCTCAGACGTGCAGTCACCCTTCCTCACTCAGCCCTGCCAACCTGGCTGAGGAGTCAGCCCTGGGCAAGTGCACAGGTCGGGTTTCACCGAATTGCAGAAGCCAAAATAGGGAAGACCCGAGGGATGGCCTGGCCAACCTTCTTGTTTAAAAAAATGAGGACGTGGAGGTCAAAGGAGGTAGAGTGATTTGCTGAAGATCACTCATCTGGAGAACCACCCCAAAAAGCTAGTTTCCATGTCCTCTATTCTTCATTTCAAAATCGTCTGGTCTTCTGAATGTGACGACTGCTTCTTTGCTGCCTCAGCATTTCCTGCACTCTGGTGCAGGCGATCTGGTCCTGTCCTCTTTCTGACACAGGGGTCTCAGGGTAAACCGAAGTTGGTGAAGTGTCAGCGCCGCTCATTCAGTTTTCAGACGAGCTTGGTTTATTCCAGTACTTATGAAAGAAGAGTTTTAATTCCCTCACCTGATCCTACTTAGAAGGGGAGGTTCTGAATTTGGCCCCTTAGCCAGTGCTGTATGACTTAGTTTCCTTAGGAATTTTTATAAGAACTGTCTGAGAAACAGATCACTTTCCCTGGTGCAGACTGCATGCCTGCATGGGGGCTTTGCTGTGGCCCCAGCTCCTCACTGCTAATAACCAGCTGTGTCTCTCTTTCCTTCCTGCCTGGAGCAGCAGCTGGATCCCCCTCAGAAAGAGCGGCTTGGGGCTGCTCTCACAGAGATGGACCAGCAACTGAGGAAGCTGGCAGACACCCCCTGGCTGTGCCAGCCCATGGAGCCTGGTGATGAAGAGGTATGTGGGTCACAGGGCTTCAGCTTGGGCACCCCTGGATGCAGTGGCTCTCCCTTCAGTACCTGTAATCACTGTGATCTGTGCAGCTTTGAGGTTAAGATGGTGTCCATTTTGCAGCCCCTGATAGGGCTTCTTAAGACTTCTCTATTAAAATGCCTTGGAGGTATAGAAAAAGACTGGCAGGTAGGAAGGAGTTGGGAGTTAGTATTGATGACTGGGCACTTGTTGCCTTCAGAAACAGATGGCAGGGGTGGCCAGGAAGTTGATAGAAGACTGAGCCTAGCCCCACTGTTTGTCCCTGGTGTGAAGACACATTGGTTGGATAAATGGCAGCTTCTTGAGTTTGTTGTTGACAGGGACAGAGTTGGTGTGTTCCACTCATTCACACTTTTCTTTTGCATGTGTTTCGAGACTCCAGCTTGCCATACTCCCTATAGCTGGGACAGATAGGATCCTGGGCATATTGCACCCTGGGATGTTGTTGCAAAAGCCCAGGAGAGGTGCTTGTTGGATGGTCAGTTTTGTGGGCAGCATCTTGATAAAGGCGAACTGTAGATTGTCTTTTTTATCAGGGATAGAACAGAAGTGGGCCAGGAGAAAAGTTCATCCTAGGGTAGAGTACTACAGTCTTGAAAGAGAAAGAACTGTTAGACATTACACATCTGGCACCCCTACCGCCAGTTTTGTTTGTTAGAACCTGTTGGCAGCAGTTAAGGTGAGGGTACAGAGGAAGGCTACATCAGTCTGTCCTACTCTTCTCTGAAAATGAAGGCATTTGTTGACAAGTGCAAACCCTGCATGGAAAACTGACTCTGAGACCTTCCAGTGAAACAACAAAACTCAGTAACTTAAAATATGAGGACATTTTCGTTTAAAAGGACTGGCCAAGCTCATCAAAATTAAATTGTTAACTATAAATATAAAATTTTCATTTAAAAGAAAATTACTAAGATAATAACATATAGAATGTTTGATAGATATAACAATAATATAGCTCAGGATTTCCAGATTAAGTTATAAAGCCTGTGAAGTGGACAGGGAGTGGGGAGGCTGGGAAGAAGACATGGACAGAGGAATGAAGGCACATTAAGGTGGAAGGTTTAAAAAAAAAGGTTCTTGACTGATAATTAGGGAAATGCAGAGTTAGTAATATCTTTAAAAAAACTTAAAGGTAGTTTCTAGTAGAATTGAAAAGATTTATGTTTTTCCAAATCAGTTTTCTAAAAACAAAAAGTATAATCCACACTATAAAAGAAAATAAGGGACTTAAAAAAAAAAAGAGAGGTAAGCAAACCATAACAGACTTTTAACTACAGAGAACAAACTGAGGGTTGATGGAGGGAGGTGGGCAGGGGATGAGCTAGATGGTTGATAGGTATTAAGGAGGGCACTAGTTGTGGTGAGCACTGGGTGTTATATGTAATAAGTGATGAATCACTAAATTCTACTCCTGAGACCAATATTGCATGATATGTTAACTAACTGGAATTTAAATAAAAATCTAAGGAGAAAAAAAAAAAAGAAGGGACTAAAGGTATAGCTAACAGCATATAAGTAAGATAACAGAAAATGATGTAGCTTTTCCTCTTAAAAACAAATTATTATAAGATTGTGTTTAAATCTAACCACATACCAATCACAATAGTCCAGTTTTCTCTCCCATCCCCAGTAAAAACTTATGACACAGAAAGATTAAAACAATTTTAAGAAAACATACAAAATGTGAAGTAAATTTTAATATAAAAAGGATTATAATAAATGATAAAAAGATCACTTTATATTGGTAAAATATTTTATAATCAGAAGATTTATTTTTGTCTTTTTATCTATCAATTACTATTGAAGTCTCTCATCATGAATGTAGATATCTCCATTTACATTTGTGGTTTTATTTTTGCTTTCTGTGTTTTGAGGTTATGTTATTGGGTGCGTATAGGTTTTATTGTTATGTAAAGACACTTAGTAATTCTTTTTAAGTTTGTTTGGTATTTTCATTTTCATACTTTTACTCTCAAGCTTTATTTGGAGTGTCTTGCTTATAAATAGCATATTGTCAAATTGAGGTTTTATTCAGTCTGGTACCCTGCATTTTAACTGAAGAGTTCCGTCTATTTATATTCGTTGTGATTACTGATGTATTTATCTGTATATTTTCCCATATTTTGTGCTTTGTATTCCACTTTTTTGCTTCTTTTAATTTCTCCTTTTTGATTGATAAGTCTCTCCTCCCACACAACTCTCTTTGTCCCCTCTAGTAGTTTGGAAATACAAGCTATCTGTCTATTCTTTTAGTGACTACCCCCCAAATTTTAATTTTAATTTACATAAAATTGTAAAGCAAAAACTTCTTGAAATGAGAGAAAGTGACAGAAACCAAATTGTAGTGTGAACCATCACTATCAGTCCATGAGTAATGAAATAAACTGTATCACAGCATACAAACAAAAGAAAATTGAAAAAATATGTATGTGTGTGTGTGTATCATGTTTCTCCATAGAGAGAATTTTATACTCTGTAAAGAGGGAATATGTTTTTTTTTCCCTCTTGCCCATAGGACAGTTTCAAAATTGGATCATATTCTAGATAGCACTACTGACAGTGGAAAACTCTTTGTTATTATATACATTGAGAAGAAGAGTTTAGAAACTTCTAAGCAATTAACAAAAATTTTATTTCTGTTGAAAATTAATAAAAAATTGAGGCTTATACTTTGTCCCTTTTTGGTTTCCTTTTTTTTTTAGTGGTTTATTTTACTGTATTTCATTAAATTATCAGTCCACTATGGATTGGAAATTGTTAAAGTTGGTTCCTTTCCAGGAATGGTTTGAGCAGCACAGTGCTGGGCCACAGGAAACCTCAGATACCAACTCAAAGTAGGAGTGGTACCAGCTGTCAGCGGTGGGCCCTGTGCCCCCATGCCTTGCCCACGGTGGGCAGCTTCCTCCTGTAGCAGATTCCCTCTGAGGACAGGAGGGCTAGGATTTTCCTCCGCTCATGGGCAGTGTAGCAGCTGCTGCAGTGGGAGGCTCGCAGCCCAGTGTCTGGTTGCAGGGTGACCACAGTCAACTTGGTTTGTTTGGGACTTTCAGGTCTTAGTACTAAAAGCCTCTGTTTCAGGGATTGTGGTTCCAGAGCTGTAAGCCTAAAAATATTTTCAAAACGAATATCACCAAATGTAGAGCCACTGCAGAAACAAACCAGCACAAGTTCCCCCTGGATGTCTGACCTCATGAATCCTTTAAGCCATGTCTATAGTGGCCCTGGTTTCTAGGGTTCCTAATTGTGGGCTGGTGAGACGGTGCAGGGTAACAGGTGGGAAGTTGTACAGATGGGGCCAGGGGCAGGTTAGTTGCAAAACCAGAAACACTCTGGAGCCAGTTTGGGCAGAGCAGGGTGGGGCTGGGGTAGAGTTATTGCTGGCATTCATCCCATGGAACCTAAGGCCAGAAACTGTAGCCAGGGGTCCCGGGAGGGAAAGGCAAACCACACTTGCTCTTGGGGCCTTCTGGGCTTCCCAGGGCTCCTGACTTCTCCACCCTTCTCTGCTGGCTGCCTTACAGCTCAGCACTCGCAGCCTCTGGGACTCTGGCTCAGTTTCACCCATGCAAGGGGAGAGATGGGGGTGAAGTACAGTGGGCAAAGGGAAACTTGGGAGGGCATGGTGCCACATTTCTACTAGCATAAAAATAGGACAATTATTTCTTTGAAAGCAAAAAAAAAAAAATTGACAAATCTTCAAGTTAGTTCTTTGAAAGTATAGTTGACTTTTGAACAATACAGTTTGGACTGCGTAGGTCCACTTATATATAGGCTTTTTTCTGATAAATATAGTGCAGTACTTTAAATGTATCTTCTCTTAGGATTTTTTTAACATTTTCTTTTCTGTAGCTTTTTTGTAAGAATACAGTATATGATATACATGCAAATATGTGTTAATTGACTGTTTATGTTACTTAGTAAGACTCTTTGGGGAGTTAGAAGTTATTCATGATTTTCAACTTCATGAGTGGGGTTTGGCATCCCTGACTTTTACGTTGTTCAGAGCTTAACTGTAAAGTACAAGAAATTAAATCACTCTGTGGCACCTATAATCAAGGCAAGTTTGGACAGTATGAAGTGATAAAGGTTATGTAACAATAGATAAGAGAATAAATCAAGTTATACTATTTTCAAAGAAATGCTAATTTTAAAATCTTGCTGAAACCATTGAAACTTCAGGAAAAATTTAAACTATACAAATTGAAATCTAAAGACATTTTAAAAAGAATGGCCACAGGACAACTTGAAAAAATTATTATCTCTGAAGGGAAAATGTCAAGGAATATGTAATTTCCTATATAAAAAACTTCATCAGAGCTAGGAAAAGATGGACATTGACCCAGTTTGTGTTTTAAATTGTGATAAGAAACACAAAATTTACCGTATTTGTTGTTTTTAAGTGTACAGTTAAAGTAGTGTTAAGCATATTCACATATTGTGAAGCAAATCTCCTGAACTTTTTTTTTTTTTTAAAGATTTTATTTATTTATTTGACAGAGAGAGAGGGAACACAAGCAGGAGGAGTGTGAAAGGGAGAAGGAGGCTTCCCACCGAGCAGGGAGCCTGATGCGGGGCTCGATCCCAGGACCCTGGGATCATGACCTGAGCCGAAGGCCCACGCTCAACGACTGAGCCACCCAGGCACCCCAAACTTTCAAACGGTTCATTTTTTTAAAAACTAGCGCATCTGATTTCAAAATTCTGTATTACCAGTAGATCCGTAAAAACAGTGTATTTATTTTTTATTTTTTTAATCTTTTTTTAAAATAGATTTTATTCATGAGAGAGAGAGCACGAGCAGTGGGAGGGGCAGAGGGAGAAGCAGACTCCCCACTGAGCAGGGAGCCCAATGAGGGGCTCCATCCCAGGACCTGGAGATCATGACCTGAGCCGAAGGCAGACGCTCAACTGACTGAGCCACCCAGGTGCCCCAAAAGTGTTTCTTTAAAAGATTTTATTTACTTATTTGACAGAGAGAGACACAGTGAGAGAGGGAACACAAGCAGAGGAAGTGAGAGAGGGAGAAACAGGCTTCTTGAGGAGCAGGGAGGTCGATGCGGGGCTCGATCCCAGGGCCCTGGGATCACGACCCGGGCCGAAGGCAGACACTTAACGACTGAGCCACCCAGGCGCCCCCAAAAGTGTTTCTTTAAATCAAATAATTGAAAGCAATTTTTTATAAAAGATTCCGGGTGGAAAGTGCAGAGGGATTGAAAGGCCATTTTGCACCCCCCCCCCCCCCCGCCGAGGAAATGCTCGATTTCCGGCGGGTCATGCATGGGTGGCGGCACCTGTGGTGGAAGAAGCCGCTGACCCCGGAAAGAGGACAGCAGGCCTCGCCTGTTGGGAGGCAGTCGCAAGCCTGTGGCACCGCTCGCGACAGCGTCCTGTCTGGAGGCAGGAATCTGGATCCGATCAGCGGCTCCACGCGGGCATGGGGTCGGGCCTTCCGCTCCCGGGGAGCCGCCTGTGGTCAGTCAGAATGGCAGCCGGCTTATGGGGCGGACAGCTGCTTTCTCTGCGGGCGAAGGTCGAAACGGGAGAGCGCCTGAGCCACAGGGCTGAGTGTCCCTCGTGGCCCTCATCAGGGTCCTGATGCACACACACCCGCCGTGAGGATAAACCTTCGGAACGGGCGGGGAGATTCGATATTATCAGATACATACGAATTTTTGCTGGTGTCCGTGTGATGCTAGTGCTGTGGGGTGATGTAGGGGTTGCATTACTGAAGTATCTGTGGGGGGCGTAGTTTGAGGTCTGAAATGTTCTTAGGGGCGACTAAGGTCACATTGATAATCAGCCTCATTCTGCTGGTCTCCCCATTTTATGAATGGATGAAAATACCCATATTAAAAGTTAGAAGTAGGGGCTCCTGGGTGGCTCAGTCAGTTAAGCAAGTGTCTGCCTTTGGCTCAGGTCATGATCCCGGGGTCCTGGGATCGAGCCCCGCGTCGGGCTCATGCTTCTCCCTCTCCCTCTGCTGCTCCCCCTGCTTGTGTGCGCTCTCTCTTTCTGACAAATAAAATCTTTAAAAAAATAATAAAAGGTAGAAAAAAATGTAATCCTCATATTGCATTAAAAAAAAAAGAACTTGTAAAGTCAGGCGTAGGATTCTGTTTGGGCTGCGTGGGAGAGCAGCTGCGGGTCCCTGCGGTGTCCCCTCCTGTGGGAGCACGGAGGAGCGAGGTGCCTGCCAGTCTCAGCGTAGAAGAGCCTGGTCGCCCGGGCGCTAATGGTCTTTAGTGGAGCAGCTGTTAGAATTGAGGGTTGATAATTTTGCCAAGTTAAGAAATTTGTTGGGGCGCCTGGATGGCTCAGTCGTTAAGCATCTGCCTTCAGCTCAGGTCATGGTCTCAGGGCCCTGGGATCGAGCCCCACATCGGGCTCCCTGCTCCACGGGAAGCCTGCTTCTCCCTCCCCCACTCTCCCTGCTTGTGTTCCCTCTCTCGCTGTGTCTCTTTCCGTCAAATAAAATCTTTAAAAAAAAAATTGTAAAAATAAGTTCCTAGAGCGCTACAGTCCTTGGTTAGAAATACCATTGTGAGAAGTCTCTTTTCTCGTAGAAAAGCTGAAGCCGGAAACGCTTCCGATCAGAAATCCACGAAGGGGAGGACCTTCAGGGGCACCAGGAGGGTTGGGGGCACCACAGAGCATGTTCCCAGACGTGCGGACCCGTATTCTTCCCCCACTCTAGACTTGGTGTGATTCTTTTTTTTTTTTTTAAAGATTTTATTTATTTATTTGAGAGAGAGAATGAGAGACAGAGAGCACGAGAGGGAAGAGGGTCAGACGGAGAAGCAGACCCCCTGCTGAATAGGGAGCCCGACGCGGGACCCGATCCCGGGACTCCAGGATCGTGACCTGAGCTGAAGGCAGTCACTTAACCAACTGAGCCACCCAGGCGCCTAGACTTGGTGTGATTCTAATGAAAATCCCTGTGCTGTTTTCAGCGGGACCACGTGTCCCTTTCAGATCTGAAAGTGTCCTAAAGCTGCCAAGTCTGACCGTGTGGGTCAGTGTGGGGACGTCGGTGGACAGAGCCCTAGGGCAGAGTCCAGGCCCTTGGGGCGCACCTGGGACATGGGAAATTCTGCTTTATTTGTGAACACAGGGGTAGGACGTGTACACGCGTAAATCCAGGCTCGTGTATTGTGTGTGCGGAGCATTCTTTACGGCAGAGGCCCCTGCGCCAGCTTCTGTGCTGGGAAGGGGCAGCGTGAGCTCCGCCCGTTTGCTGGGCAGCCCTGTGGGGCCAGGGGGTGGGGCGTGGAAGGGACCCCGTGCCCTGTCCCCCGTCCCTCCACGATGCTGCTTCAGGAAGTAGGTCCCAAGGAAAGAGCGCAAAGTGCTGGAAACGCTTTGTTTAGAAAGACACACACACACACCCTGCTAGTCCCAGCCTGCTCGTGCAGCTCTGGAAGATCGGCTGTGACCTACTGGATCATCTTGGTAGAATGTACTGGTATTTAGGTAATATTCACAAAGCTTTTTAATCACATGAGAAACACGTTATAAAATGAAGGAAATTGAATGTGAAATTAGACACTGTGTGATCACTGTGGAACCACCTTTAAAAGGCATTACAAACCAGTCACTGCAAGCCTAGAGACCAAGGGGGACACCAGAGTAAGTAAGGCAGGGACCGAGCCCCGCCCCCTGCCCTGCCGCTCGGCCTGCCGTGGCCCAGGCCTGGCTGCATCAGGCTCTGACTCCCTGTCTCTCGCCTCCCCCACAGAATGTGATGCTGGAGCTTTCCAAGCGCAGCCGCAGCGGCAAGTTCCGCCTGGTGACGAAGTTTAAGAAAGAGAAAAACAGCAAGAACAGAGAAGCTCGCAGTAGCCTGGGAGCCCCGGGTACCTGCCTTCCTGCTGTCCTTGTGGCTGGCCACGCCGGCTGTGGGGACCTTGTGGTCTCTGCTTTCTCCCGTGGCCTCGCGGCTCTTCTCCGTGGTCCCCGACCATGACCCCTGTAGCGGCCTGCGCCGTGGTGTCTGTCTTTGGCTAGGGAACTGCCCCTGCGCTTCCGGCCCTGTGTTGTCGCTCCTGCCCGGGGTCGCCCCCGGTGCGGACTCCGCTGACTGACACCACGCTGCCTGCCTGCCCTGGACTGGGGGTGCGAGGGGGGAGGCGGACAGCAGAGGTGACCTGACACTCAGAGACACAGAGCTCACACTCCAGTCTTGTGCGGGGCTGCTGGTCCCCAGCGACGACTGGTGGCTTCCCCAGGCCACCAGCACTTGCGGCTGGGGAAGTCAATAGAAAATGGCACTCGAGGACGTTTTGGGGGGGAGTCCATAAACTGGGGCTCTGAGCATGGCTGTTTCCAGTGCTCTCAGGTGCTGGGCAGCTCCGGGTTTGGATTGGTGGGTAGTGGTCGCTCCCTCTGATTTTTCTTCTTCGCATGTTTGTCCAGCAGTTGGGTTTCTTTTAGTGACGGTGGGTCTTACTACGTGAAATCTCTGCCTGTTTCCCTTCCTGCCGTGGACCGGAAGGGACATGAACCCTCTGGGGAGGAGGGCGGCCTGGCCCTGGCAGCAGAGTCACATTGGTGTTTCGTACTTGGCGGGGTCCGGTCCCTCCTGGGACCTGGGGCAAACGGCCAGGCTGCTGGCCGGCCTGGCAGGAACAGACCGCAGCTCATTGCCCTGGAGAGCGGGTGGCTCCTCGCTGCTTTCTGCGTGGCTCTGGGTGGCGCGAGTGGCTGGGCGGCGGGTGCCGGCTGCTGGGGGCGCGTGGGGGTCCCTGCTGCTGGGGCACCTGCTGCTGGGCCGTGTGGGTGCTGGCTTCTGGGGCGTCTTGGGATGCCTGCTGCTGGGGCGCCTCAGGCGCCGGCTGCCACCTGCCTCGCGCTGGGCTCTGGGCACTCACTGCGTTCGTGCTTTTCCGTCTCTGACAGTTCACCTCTGGGGGACAGAGGAGGTTGCTGCCTGGCTGGAGCACCTCAGTCTCTGTGAGTATAAGGACATCTTCACGCGACACGACATCCGGGGCTCCGAGCTCCTGCACCTAGAGCGGAGGGACCTCAAGGTACTTCCACAGCGTCTCCTGGGAACCCGCCCCGGGCTTCCCTGTGCTCCCTTCTCTGTCCCCTCCCTCTGACCCGGCCACGTCCCAGCATCAGGGCTCTCCTCATGGTTCTCTTGCGCACGGCTCGGGTGATGCATGGCGGTGGCCGAGAGACCACCTCTGCCCCGGCAGTCATGTTGCCACCCGCCGCAGCCAGACAAGGCCAAAGCGGACGTGATGGGGGGAACCTTGCTTTTCCTAAGCTAATTGGACAAATGAACTATTTTAACATTAAAAATCCTGTTGAGGGGGGCGCCTGGCTGGCCCAGCGGGTAGAGCGTGTGACTCTTGGTCTCAGGGTTGTGGGTTCAAGCCCCACATCGGGTGTGGAGCCCACTTAAAAATAAAAAATCTCTATTGGGGGACACAGCTCTGTGCTAATGAGTCAGCCGAAGAGCTCTGTGTGACGTCGGCCCCCAGCACACGGGGGTCCCTCTCCCTTTGGAGCTGATGCAGGCACCCCACGGAGATGCTGCAGGGTGCGTCCCAGACCCTGCGAGGAAGCGAGTCTGAGCTGTTGGGTTTCCCAGTGCACACGACAGTCACGGTTAGGATACTCTGGCGTCTGTTAAGTGTGCAAGAACAGGACACCTCAAAACTGTGCCTACCGTAGCGAAAAAATCCTAGATTGCTAAAAACCGCTAACGGTCATCTGCGCTTTCAGTGAGTCCTGACCACTGGCCACAGATGACCGCAACAAATTTAATAGCAAAACTGTCTGAAATATGGCGGGAGCCCCCAGTACGTGACCCAGGCTCGAACGAGCGCTGTTGGAGAACCGGCACCGACAGACTTGCTTGGCGCAGGCCGCCAGGGCCCCGAGCGCCGGAGGCGCGGGGTGCGCGCCCGGGCCAGCCTGAGCCCGGGGCTTCCGGAGCCGCGTCCGGAGAGGGCAAGGGCTCCCCGGGGACGCCCTGGACAGCAGCTTCGTCCCGGCCCTGCCTCCACCCGCCGCCGCCGGGCCAGCGTCCCGGGTCTGTCCTGCACGACGGCGGGGCGCTGTGCTCGCGGGGGAGCTGTGGGCGTCTGCACGGCCGGTCTCGCGTGGGCCATCTCCGTCTGGTGTCACTGTCTTCACCTCCCCCGCACGCTGGTGTTCGGAAAGCGGCGTCAGGGCTGTCCTCTCGTTGCAGGACCTCGGCGTGACCAAGGTGGGCCACGTGAAGAGGATCCTGTGCGGCATCAAGGAGCTGAGCCGGAGCGCCCCCGCCCCCGAGGCCTAGCCCTGGCCCTGGCGGCCCGCGCCCCCCGCGCCCCCCGCGCCCCCGCGGCTGAGGCCGGGCCCCGCGCCGGCCCCTTCTCATGGTGCTACTCCCTTCGCTCCACACGGGAGGCCTCGCAGGTGCCCTTTCTGTGACCGCTCCGGGGTCTCGGACCCACAACACAGCTACCTTTGAAATAGCACCCGGCCCCGCCGGCGGCGTGGGGGCGGCCGCGCCACCTCTCCGTTCTCGCTGACCTCGCCCCGGGCCGGGCCGGCCTCCTGGGCCCCGGGCAGCCCGCGTTGGCCGAGCGGCTTCCTCGCCGCGAGCCCCGTGCTCGCGCACCGTGTGGCATCTCCGGGGCGCGCAGACCCTGGCCCAGCCGGCAGCCTCCTGCCCGGGAAAGGTTGTGCCCGCCAGCCACCCTGGCTCTTGGCAGCAGCCCCGCGGGGCCCCCGCGGCTGTCGTCCCGTTTACCGACCGTCGGTCACAGCGACCCTGCCCCTCCTGGCTTGAGAGCGCCGGGACGCGTCGCTAGGCCCGTCCGTTTTCACTTGACCCGGAGAGGAGGCAAACCCGCTCCTCCTCAAGCCAAGTGACCGGGTGGCTGTGATCTTGGGCTGACACATCCCCTGCCCGTTCGCCTGTGGTCCCTTGTCCCGGCTGGTACCCTCTCAAGCTGCTGACGTGGGACGTCTGTCCCCGAGACGCCGTAGCCTCTCCTGTCTCTCCACAGACAGAGGACGTGTTTGCGTGAGCTTGCTGTTGGGGGGAGAGCGCGCTTCCTGGGCGCCGGGGAGACTCCCCTCCCCGTTCTGGGGGAGCCCGGGCTTGGTCCCGGGCCAGCGTCCCGACGGTCTCTGACCACGTGGATGGCTCTGTCTCATGACGCTCTGGCCCACGTCCCCAGCCCTCCTGGGCCCGGGCGGGGGAACGGCGTCCGGCTGCCAGCCAGGGCCCTATGCCCCAAAGTGGGGGTGGGTGGGGGCGGAGCTGAGCGTCCGCAGGCCGTGCCACCCCCCGCCGGAGCTCGCTTCACCCCTTGTTCGTGCGAGGGGACTGGGCTGCCGGCGCCATCCGGTCACCCTTGGGGGCTCTGGGGAACTCACCGCTGAACAGCCTCTACTTGCCACTTGCTTTGCAGGCCCCTGTGCCCCCCCCTTACTGGTGTGCACGGTGGGCCCCTCCGTGAGCCCAGCCGGGCCCATGCCTCTGGTTTGGAGGTGCTCCTGCTGCTGGCCTTCCGGGCGCCCGGCCCGCTCCTGTCCCGAGGGCGGAGTGGCTGCACTGGGCTTGGGGTGAAGAGGCCCGTGCTCCGCAGGGCCACTGTGTGTGGCCTTCCCACCCCGAGTTCCGGTGCCCGTTCGGGACATGGAAGGCAGAGAGGGATCATCTGGCCACCAGCAATCACTGGCTTTCCAGGTAGAACAGGCTGAGGAAGGAGACTGTGGGGACCCGACCCTGCGGTACCAGAATGGCACGTGTGCTGTCCTCTCTGGCAGGGACCAGGGACAAGCACGCACGCGGCGAGGGGGGTGGCGGCGGCGGCGGCTGGGGCTGAAGCTGGGGCTGAAGCTGCGGGGCCACCCCAGGCCCTCCCGGCCCTCTCTCGGGAAAGCCTGAGGGTTGGGTCAAGCATGGTGTTGAAAATTAATGTGTTGTCAGTGATGAAAACAACACTGTTTACGTAAAAACCATTTTTCTGATTCTAGTAAGTTAGAGGTGAATGGAGTAAAAGTGAGTGTCGCGTGGAAGTGCATCGCTGTGGGGCCGGCGCCGTGTCGCCCTCTGTAGGGCTGCTTCTCTGCCTGGCCCGACCCGTCCCCGCTGTGGCTGGGGGTGGGGGGGAATCTTGGAGAAAAGGTTTTGTGCCCTCGGGTGGGGCTTACCCCTCATATTTATGATCTTAATTTATACAGTGCCCGCCGTGGAAGCAAATGTCTCCTGTATCGCTGTGTACATACCCGATCTGGGGGTGTAAATAGGCTGTTCTGTGTATAAATAAAATCTTCCGTTGTCAGATTTCTTGTTGTCATTCCTTGTACTTTGACATAAAATATTAGTTGCCCAAATCTTTCCAAACTGGATTCAGGATTATGGTTTTTACTCTAAAAATAAGGTGAATTGGTGTGGCTAAAGAACAAAATGGAAAGCCATTGTGTTTCTTAGGGTGTGAGTTCTTGGGTCTGTTGAATTAAAAGCTCAGCGAGGAGGTAGGGCACTGGGTAGGGCTGAGGTTCAGACTCTGTCACATGCAGCCTGGACCAGCCTACTGAGGGCACGTGATGTAAGCAAATACTCTAATCCTCCTAAATCTTTCCTATAAAACTGCAGACTAGAAGTTCTCTGACCTCTCTACTTAACTCATAGTACCTTTATGCCAAGCGAGCAGCCTCTCCAAGCTCAAGGTCACTCTGTCATCTCCCAGTTCTCTGGGGTGAGGAATGGCGACTGGTATCACAGAACTGAGAATGAGGCTGATGGGGTACAAAAGGGGTGCGTGGGCTTTGAATGCATTGGTTGCCTCCAGCAGCTCGCTCTCCCTCCCTCCTTGCTCATCGGAGCCCCAGGTGTGGTGTATGCCCTCCTCCCATGTGGCTATCCAGGATCAGGCCTCATGGTTGCAAGATGGCTGCCACCACTCCAAGCATCACACCCAAATATGAGCCAAGTACAGGGTAAGGTGTATGTGAGCAGGTGGTTGTCTCTTCTGTATCTCTTTTTAACATAAAAGGAACCAGTTCAGAAGCCCTGGCTTCTGCTGACCTCCCCTTGTGTCTCATTGTCTAGAATTGCACACAAACCCACGTGGAAGGAGTGGGGCCATGCTGCTGAGGACTAATCATGCATGATACCAGTGGCTAACACACTGAGGGTATTTTACGCCAGATGCTGGCCTCAGTGCTTTGCACATATTAACTCCTTGATTTCTCCTAACAGTCCTGCCTCTTACAGATGAGGAACAGGCTCAGAGAGGTTCCCAACTTGTTGCACGTCACATGGCTAGCAGGTGGCGACGGTGGGAGTCACGGGGCAGGTGGGTACCTGAGGTCATACCTCGAGTGCTGTCCTGTGTCCCAGGCCTGACACCAAGCTCAGCGCACACGACAGGTGAGAAGATCGGGTCCGAACTATCCCACACGGGCGTCCTGGCCCGGAAGCCTGGCTCCGGACGGCTCGCCGGGGGTGGGGGTGGGGGTGGGGGCGCACTGCGCGTCTGAGCCGTGGGCCTGGGGGGCGCTGCTGTGGGCTCCGCTCGCTGCCGGCCTCCACCCTGCCGGGCCACAGAGCACGCAGGGGCTTCCAGGAGACCGTGTGGGGCAGGGGGAGGCCAGACGCCAGCCCAGAGGGTAATGCGATTGCCAGACTGGCCCAGACGGCGTGTGCAGAAAGGGGAGCAGCCTCTCTAAACCGATGCCGCTTGCTGCTCAGTCATCCTCCAGAGAACCCCAGGCGCCCTACGCGGCTGGCTCGACCTGGTCCAGCGACGGAAGTCGTCCCAAGTGGGGAAGGCCAGGCTGCTGGACCGAAGGGTACTTTCTGTTCCGGGGCTGACAGCCTCGGGGCTGTCACTCGGGGATTGGGCCGTCGTGGCCAAGGTGGCTCTGGCCATCACCCTCCCGCTGGGGTGGGGTGGGGTGGGGGGTGCGCGTGAGGCTTCCCGAGCCCCCCTGGACGTAGGTGGTTGGAAATGCAAACACGTGGGGGCCCGCCCGCCCCGCCATGCCCGGCTGCCGTGTGCGAGCGGGGGGCCGCGCACGGACTCTGCTCATCACTAGCCGTCTCTGCTCTGGGCCCCCTCTGCTTTCAGGGCCCCTCGGGGGGAAGGTCCCTCAGTCAACGCACACCTTGCCCTGCATTCCTCCTCCAGGGGCTTCCAGGTATTTTGAAGGAGGGGGGCGCGTATCCCTGAGGGGACGGGCAGGGTGTCCTCGAGCCTCAAGCTGTCAGCAGTGTTCCGCCTGCGGCCTGGGAGGCTCCCCTTGCACCTGGAGGCTGACGTCTGTGACCCAGGGACTGTCCTCGGCCCCAAGCAGCGTTCCTGGTGGTGCTCTCGGGTGGGGGGGTGGCCTCCATCTCCTGAACTCTGGCCTCTGCCGCGGGCCCTGAGGCTACTCTGCTGGCTCCCAGCTGAGCGTCTACACTGCATGATGGCCAAGGGGGGCTTGGGGAAGTTCAGCCTGGGGGCGAGGGGGCTAGAGACGAAACTGAGACACGTCTGGACGCTGTCTCCTCCTCCTTACCCCTCTCTTTGTCCCGCACTCCTTTATGAAATGGGGAACTTTGATTCTTGGTGTTTCTCCTTCTGACCCCAACTCGGTGTTTCTTCGCCTGCCGAGGGAGAGCCCTGGGAATGCAGCTGGTTGCGGACGTGCTTGCAGAAGATTTTTTCCTAAAGATAGTATCTAGGCTTGCATGACTTTTAAGAGCGTGAGTGAGGGGGGTGGGGTGAGTGGGGGCAGAGAGAGGGAGAGAGAACCTCAAGCAGGCTTCATGCCCAGTGCAGAGCCCAATGAAGGGCTCAATCTCATGACCCTGAGCCGAAATCAAGAGTCAGGCACTTAACCAGATAAGCCACCCAGGCGCCCGTAGACGTGCAGGACTTTTAACTTGTACTGATCCTGTGTTTAACGTTTTAATGTTTTGTTCATTGTGGATTTTTCTGCATTAATTTTGATTTCTAAAAGTGCTGTTACTGGAAAGTGATCTGTTGACTACTCAGTTTTTTGAGCACCTTCAAATTTTGTGCCCAAGGCCCCCACTTCCTGGAGTCCTGGCCCACTGTTGCATAATCTAGTTGTGAATATTAGAAGCTCAGACTCTGGCACTTGTGGAAGCCACTGCCTGATGCCTATAAACATCAGTTTTCTATCTCCTGCACCACTAACGGATGCCCACATCATCTGGGTCATGCACTGTGCCCAAATACACCCCCTGCGAATGTGACCACATTCTCCAGTCTCCTCTGCAGTCAAATCTCCTCTGAGGTCACTTAGTGATGTGACCAAGTCATGGACAAAAAAATCTAAGTATTGAGATTTCCAGAAAGTTTCCTTTAAAACATGGAGATGCCTTTCTTTTTCCTCTTGCTGCTAGGCTGGAGGGTAGACATGATGGGTGGCGCTCCAGCAGCCAGCCTGGGCCATGGGAGGGTGGTGAGCATGGAAACACATGTTGAGGGTGGCAGTGACAGAAGCCCGGTCTCCACGAAGTTCCCGGCCCCCTCCCTGCTCCCGCCCACCACCCTTCTTTTCTATTGAGTGTCTTGTTTTGTCTCTTGAGTTAAACCTAATCCCTGTAGCAGTCCTTCCACAAAGATCTTGTACTTGGGAAGGCCAGAGTGAAAGCATGTGGAGACACCAGTTATACCTATTATTCAGGTGTGAGGCCAAAAAAAGGGGCCAGGGCCCTAAGGGGATGGGTGAACCGGTACAAAGAAAACTTCGGGGCAGACGGGTGCACACGTGGGGCAGGTGTTTGTGGTGCGCGGAGGCTTCCCTGAAGCTGTGGTCTGAGAGCACCAGCGTGGGCCTGGCCAGAGGAGCTGCTCACACCAGGGGTGGCAGCTCTGAACCCATCAGCTCAGCCCGAGGTCCTGACCTTAGAACATGCATCTGTATGGAGCAGGACGTAGGGCACGGCAAAAGCAAACCGGGTTTGCAAAACACGTAGAAGAAAGCCAGCTGGCTGGGAGTTAAAGGCTTTGTTGCTCACGCTGTTGATGGAAACAGATCAACCACGAGCTTCCTGAGCACTCCCAGAAATCGTGTCGCCAAGTCCCACGCTGGTCACTCAGCCCCTAGGGTCATCCATCCCAGGCCTCCAGGACGTGCACACTCAGGAAGACAGAGTCCAAGGGGTGCTAGCCCAAAGGGGAGTCCTCTCAACGCCCACGCCGGGACACCAGACATCGAGGTCCTCTGGAGGGCGGCAGGGTGACCTGAGGGGTAAGCGAGGGTTTGCCTCTGGGGCAGGACCGGGAGCCCGGGGGTCTGGCTGCGTGGGTCCTGACCGCGGCCCCTGTGCGCTCGTTCTCCAGAAGAGAGGTTTTGTTGCGGTCCTCCTCATGCCCTTTGTACGCTGGTTCCGGGTCTGATTTACCCTTGTCTTTCAGGCGCTGCTTGCTGAACTGTGAGGACAGACGTCCGCTGGACCCGACCCAGAGCAGTGTGGCCCGGAGACCTCAGACCTGAGCTGGGCACACGAGGGTGGCCAGGCTGTAGGTAGAACAGCGGCCGCAATTACGGTGGGTGCTGTCCTCTTTGAGGCGTCCGAACGGGAGGAGCCCGGCAGGGGGCTGGGCAGCCAGGGTGCAGGACCTGGGGCCGCCGCGCTCCCCCGGGGCGACCACGCCCCGCCCCCTCCCAGCTCCAGGGCACGGGGCCCGCGGGCGACAGCCCCCCGTGGGCCTGAGTGCAGCTCTGCTTGTGGGCGCTTGAGGGGCCCCTGGAAGTGAAGGGTCCTGGCCATTACACTGCAGCGAGTGACACAGGGCAACCGTGGCGAGTGGCTGCCCCCGCACGGATGCAGGGCAGGGCAGGCGGGGGAGGGGACAGAGGGCAGTGGGGCAACCGCAGGGGCCAGAAGCCTCTCCTCCTCTGTGTGGGGCTCTCCTCGCTTGACGGCGCCTCGGGAGGTGAGTGAATCTGGGGGCTCGCTCACTGGCCGGGCTTTGCGCGGTTGCGGCGGAGCACAGGCCGGGAGGAGCGGGGCGCGCAGGGGCGGGGGCGCGCGCTCTGGTCCTTCACGGCCGAGTGCCTTCCAGAGAGACACGGGCATCTGCGGAGCCATGGTTTTCGATCATCCGGAAAGTCTTGTGCTCCCCCCGCTTTTTTTGCCAGAAAAAGGTCCTAGTGGAAGAAAGGCTTTCGGTAATGAACTACCCCCGCCACTGCTCTTTCCCTAGAAAGAACAGAAAACCAGGTCCCTTCCAGTGTCTTCCGCTACAGTTTCCCGCGGAGTCTGAATTCACCCAAACATACTTGTTATTTCTGAGGCAGCGCCAATACGGTATTTCGGAAGAATAAACGTTTATTTAGCATCTGAAGTGCACTTGGGGGCGGGGGGGGGAGCCAAGGAGAACGTGCAACAGTTGGTGCAGAAACGGGGAGGCCACGACCCGAGGAACTAAGGGGTAACAAACTTAGAGCCCCCCGAGGCCCCCCCCCTGCCCACAGCGAAGGCGCGCAGAGCCGCCCGAGGCTCCCGGCCGGGTCCTTGGAGGCGCGGCCTCCGTAAGGCGAAGGGGCAGACCGAGGGGCTTCGCTCAGAGCAAAGGCACCGGGCGGCTTGCACCCCGCCCCCCGCGGCCGCGGCCCTTCAACCCGGGGCGCCACCACGCGCACCGCGCCCGCCGGGGCCGTGGCGCGGCCGGGACCCCGGCGCACGGCTGTCCTGCCGGCTCGGAAGCCTCGCCCGGCCTAGGAGAGCGAAGGGCTCCCCGCCAGGAGCCCTGCTTGCGGCCCGGCCGGACTCTGAGGCCGCGAGCCCCCCCCCGCCCGCCCCGGCGCCGTCGGCCGGCCCGGGAACAGGCGCGCGCCGTGCTTGGGGGGAGGAACACCGTCCGGTGTACGTCTTGCCTCCGGCGCGGAGGCGACTCAGGCCGCGCTGGCTCGGCCGCCCCCACCGGGCCTCCAGGCACCGAGGGTTGCGGTCACGGCCGCCGGCCGCGCAGCTGCAGCCGAGGACGCGCCGAGCCGCGCGTCCCCGTCCTTCAGCGGGAAAGGCGGCGGGGGCTTCAGAGCCCGTCTCCACCCAGACCGCAGGGGGCTGGCGCGCCGAGGGGCCGCAAACAGCCCGCCCGCCGGGAGCCGTCGTCCGCTCAGGCCCCCAGGCCTCCCGCGAGCAGGGTAAGGCCGGAAGGGGCAACGTGGGGGCTTCACGCGGCAGACGGGTCCGGGCTCAGCGCTGTGCCATTTTATCCGTGCCCGCGGTTAATGCAAAACTAGCGAGTTTTCCTCTACGAACGGCGGCCGGGGTCGGGGTCAGCCCCTGGATAACGTGCACTTGGGGAGGCCCCTGCTGGTGACCAAGGGCAGGACTCGGAGTCCGTGTCTGCAGAAGGCAGAAAACCGCCACGCCTGCCCGCACGCCCCCCGCGCTATCTGAAACTCCCCACGTGGATGGAGAGAGAAGCTTCTGGGGCACGGGGCCGGCCGGGCGTCCTGGCATTGGAGGAAAGGTCACTGCTCTGCACACGAAGGGCTTCCTGGCTGTGGGAGACACAAGAGGGGGTCACCGACTCAAACCTGGCCACTGCGGGCCTCACCTGGCCAAGGGCTTTGGAAGGACTCCCGTCAAGTTAGAACAGGCCACAGGGACGTGTTTGCAGCTGACAGGCATTTCCAGACTGTTCAGTCGGAAGACCTCAATTTATACCTCGCCCCCCCGGCCACCCCAAGTCAGGAGTGGGTTCCTGCACCCTGTCCACATGGCGGGTCAGACTTGGGGTCCTTTCCGACCTGCTAGGTGAAAAGGTCTCAAAGCAGAGCATACCTTCACCTCTTATTTTTTTGAGAGACAGTGAAGGGGGGGACAGAGGGAGAATCTCCAGCAGGCCCCCCACTGAGTGCAGAGCCCGACGTGGGGCTCGATCCCACGACCCTGAGATCAGGACCTGAGCCAAAGCCAAGAGTCGGATGCTTAACCGACTGAGCCACCCAGGCGCCGCGTACCTTCTGAATCACAACAGAACGTGCACACGCACGCGCACACATGAAACGTCCAGCCCCATGACTGGCTACGGCTGTGCTCGCCCGAGTGACCCTCCTTCCCCCTTGGCCCGCTCTTCCTCAGGCCCTTTTCTGTGGCCCCGCTGGACTGAGGCAGCGGAGGGGCGAGGAGGGGCGAGGTCCGGCGGGTGTGCATACCAGGGGCTACTGCAGTAACTCAGGGAAGAAGACCCCCCGCCCCCACCAGAAGCTGACTGAGGACTAAGATTTCAGGAGACTGGAGGCAGGGAGCAGGTAAGGAGAACAGGGGCAGCCCTAGTGTGGCCTGCGGTGGGGGGGTACGTGGATACAGGGGTGAGAGCCAGGTCCAGGCACGTGGAGTTCGAAGGACTGATAGAGGTGGAATGTTCTGGCAGATTCTGGCAGGTGGATGTGGCCCGCAGCCAGGGGAGAGGGCTGGGCTATGTGCCGAAGAGGAAGGAGGGAGTCCCCACAGGCAGAGTGAGGAGGGAGCCGAAGGACGGGCCGTGGGCTGGGCGTGCCTGTGGAGGACCCCCGGCTGGACGGAGGGTGGCGGGCGGGCGGGCAGAGGAGGGAGCGGCTGGGGCACGAGTGATCGCAAGTGCTCGTTCGTTCAGGTGACGGACAGCGGAGGGCGCTGGGGTCCGAAGAAGACCCAGCAGGTGGTGAGGGGCTGAGAGGGCAGGAAGGAAGCTCCCAAGACTGGGGTCGGGGGGCTTCCTCACAGTGAGCGGTCACCCCGTGTCCTGTCCAGGTTCCCTGAAAGCCCGGTTAGGGGGTGACCGAATCCCCCCACGCTGCATTTCTTTCCAGCGCGTCTGGAAAGCAGCGCTCCGAGCGGCCATCAAGGGCGTCCCGGGGGCTTCCAGAAGCAGCTGCGTGCGTGAGAGCCGGGACAGTACCTTTTCTTTCCCAGGTCATCTGCGACTGTACTGAAGTCTTCGTCATCCTCAACCAGGAGATTCTACATTTCAAAACAACGAATGAACGGTGTTTTCAGACATCCTTTCAGTCTACATTTAAGATATACGTAAAAAAGACCTCATCCTGAGGCTGTCCGAATTTACCTAAACAACCGACACCGATGAGCCCAGTGCCGGGAACCAGCTCAGCAGGGGGCACGAAGAGCCGGCACCGGAATGTTCTGCCAGCCCTCGGATCTCTGCCTCCGGCCACCAAGGCCGCATGGAGAGCCGGCACGGGGCCACCCCTGGCGGAGCACTGTCACCGTGTCCACAGCTACCCCGTGAGCCTGGGCTGCTAACCCCCTGGCCTCCCCTGCGGTTGTCGCCACGGGACTCTGCAGATGCAGGCCACCCCCACGGTCTCCTGAGGGGCTCGTAGTCGGTTTCATACACGATGTCATCCCCCATCAACACGGGCCGCCCCCAGGCCTGCCTCAGCCAGCGGCGCCCCCGAGCGGCGCCCTAGGAAGGACTCATCACCTCCCTCGTGTGCCTCTGGGAGAGGCGACCGGCTCCCGCGGAGCCGCGGGAGGGTCTTGCTGCGTCCACACATGGCTCCCAGGGGAGAAGAACGTAACAACCGTGCGGACCTCTATTCCAATCAAAGGTGCGTATGTTTGTATTCCAGCAGCCGTGTGTGCTGTGCTTTCTAAAAAGCGTCGAACGCTACGAAGAACGTAGAGGTAACGGGACAGACACCCGGGTCCTCAGCGTGGCACGTCACCTCCCCATCCCGAGACAGCCGCCCCTCCCACTGTTGTCCTGGGAGTTCGATGGAGCTACGCGTGTGGATGCGCGTGGTGCTCCGTACAGGAAAAAAACGCTCAGTGGAAGTTCGCTATTAACAGTATTAAGCTTCGACCCTACTTGCTTCATTTTTCAACGAAAACCCACAGATTCAAACGCTGGCCTTCTGCCATTCCGCAGGGGTGAGCACTCTCGTTCCCGTCCTCCCCGGGCCTTGACGACTACCCGGGAGCGTGACCCTCCGTGACGCTCAGCATGTTACAGGCTTTACGTTCGCGGTGAGGGGCCCCGCTGTTTTCGACTGTTTTCAACACTCAGTCACGCGCTGTCTGCACGCTCCCACGGAGCTCCAGCGTACTGACCGTGACTGCCCCCGTCCCGAGGGCCACCATTCTTCCCAGTTGGTGCTGTCACGCCCGGTGCTCCAGAGACGCCCCCACCTGTCCCCTTCCCCGGCTGTGCGCGCTGCACCCTGGGTCTTACGGACGGGGGGACACCGGCGCCAGGCTGTCCGTACGGTCTCCTGCACAGAGAACGGCTTTACGCTTTCCTTTGAGAATCTCCTCTATTTCTCTCTCAACGTTTATTTACTTTTCTTTGGGGGGAGGAGGCTCATGCCACCCGGTTTAGCACAGTGCTGAAGTGATGGTTAAGGGAATGCTTATTCCTTGGTGTGAAAATATCGATTAGCAATTTAATCCTTAAATCAAGGATTAAACTTATTAATTCTTGATATACAAATACCGCTACGTGACAAAGTAGGCTTACCTACGGCAGGCAAGGACGGCTCTGTCACCTTATGTAACAGACACCACACTAAAGACGGACAGCCAGAGAGCTCATCCAACAGGTGTAGAAACAGCGGGAATTTTATATGGCAAGTGCTCACTCAGGATTGGAAGAAAAAAAAAAAAACTTAAGAGCAAACTAGGCAGGGAAGGAAAGTCTTAGCCTGATGCAAGGACCTACCCCAAACCTACAGCAATGCACTTTGGGATAAAACTTCAAAAGCATTTTCATGCAAGTCCAACCCAAGATTAAGGTTTTGATACTGAGGTTCTACTGGCCTCATGAAATGAGCGGTCTGGCTTTCCCTCGTTTTCCGTTCTCTGAAACAATGTACGGAAGACAGGATTATCTGAACCTTGAAGATTTGATACAACTTCTCTGTAAAGTCAGTGATCCTGGTGTTTTACTGAAGTGGTAAATTTGCTGTTAAATAACTTACCTTAATACCAATTGTGTCTCCGTCTTTCAAGTAATAAGGCGCCCCCTGCAAATTATCTTGCTTTTTCTTCTTTTTTCTCTTGGTAAGTTGCTGGTTCTATAGAAAAATCAAGCATCTTGAATAAAGAAAACTCACATTCTTACTAAGTTCCCTATGTGTGAAAAATGGCCCTTAACCCATTCACTATGCCAGGAAGGCCCAGTGTCCCGGAGAAAGCCTGCAACTTTACCCAGCTCGATATCGGAAGCCACTCAAACTTTTCGGGGAAGTACTTGGCAATTTCAATCTTCTCCACGGGAAGAGAGCAGAAGTGGGCGACTCGCTGCCTCAGGGAGCCAGCCGTCCAGCCTCGGGCCGTGTCCCACACCAGGTCCACGCACGGGGCGTAGGCCCTCTCGCCGGGGAGGCGCATCTGCGTCCTTAGCACCACGTCCTGGGGGCTGTGCCGGGAAACAAACAGAGTAAGTTCGCAGTAACCATGGGGGAAACGTGATGGGCGAAGCTTCCCCTCGACTCCGACTCTTCTGGTTTTTAGAAGGACAGATTTGTCCCCAGACCCGCTAACCCTCTTCTCTACTTTGCTTTCCTTCTGCCCTGACCCACAGCTGCGCCCCAGGAGAGGCTGCTTTCAGAACCAAAAGCTCCGTTAGCTGCGGTGGGGTGGCCAGGGAGAAGCAAGCGAGGGCTCAGTGCTGGAAGGGGGGGCCCGGCAGAAAGTCAGATGTATGGAGCCGGTTACAGGACAGGAGGCGCCAGCCGGAAGGTGGGGAGGGAGAAGGGAAAGCGTGTATGTGCGTCTAGGCTGCTGAGACCGTGTGCGATTTTACATGCTGGATTTCAGTTATATTTCGGTTACAGGGGTGCTTTTACCAAAAGAAAGGGTGACATCGATGGGAGAAAAGGAACCACCGGAGGCAACGGCCCCAGGGAGAGAGCAGGCCTGGCTGGGCGGGAGCGGGCCAAACAAGTGCCCTGCATGGTCTTCAAAGGGACACCGCTTACAAGAACGGGACAAAGGGTCAATGTCATTGTTTCAGAAAGCTCTCACAAATTCGACTTTTCTGAGACCCCTTTACAAAAAATGATAAGCTTTTGAGAAAAATGCCTGCTCTTGCTAGCAATCAACGCACCGAAGCAAATGAGACAACATAACCATTTCCTCATTGATCAATTTAGCAAACAATTAAACAATGAAAATATTCAGTGTTGGTTTGAGGGTGAAGTAAATACTCAGGAACACTGCTTGTGCGAACATAAACTGGAATAACGTACCTGGAAAGGAACCGAGCAGTTTTAAGAAGTTTAAAATGTCCATACCAGTTTGATCCAGAAATCCCCCTCCAGGAAACAATTCCTGGTAATACAGTTTCCTGTGAGAACGCACTTTTATAAAAGCAGTGGGGTTAAGTGAGGGTTAGACGGGGCTGAAGGAGAGCTCCTGGTTCCTACACAGCAGCAGGAATGGTATTTCCGTCACATCAGGTAGAGGCAACCTTACTGTTTGGTGATGCTGACAGAAGGTCTTATACAAGAGTTTCGTATAATGAAAAAAGAAATAGGAAGGCTTGACTACGACACAGGTAGTGGGGACAGAGCAGCGAGTGCAGAACTTACGTCACACACGGCTATCTCCGACGTCAGGTGGTGTGACGAGAAGCAGGGTAAGGGGGCGGGGACAGGTGCTGAGAACAGACTGTCTCGAGGCACAGATAAGGGCTGGGAAGGAGCATCTTGCTTACACTTTGAGATCATTATGGAGTCAATATGCATTTGTGACTCACGGTTTTCATGGAAAGATGAGCTCCAACTCCCAGATGCCAGACGCACAAACGCATTTGTAGAACACAGTCTGGTTTAAGTTGCCGTGCGGCTCAGGCAGTGGGGACGAACCCTTTACTACCGAGCATACTGTTAGGTTTTTCAAGAAACTACGCACCATGATAAGACAAGGACACAGAAGCGGGTCTGACTTACCCCAAATTTTCTTCTTTCTGAAGGAGCTCTAAGCAGATCTCAGTTTTCCTTCCCAGTTTGTATTCCCTGATAAAAGAAATGAAACAAAATAATACTGAGTGATATATTTAATTTTTTAGATTTTTTGGGAAAAATACTAAGCTTTCTTTTTTAAGCAAAAGATTATAGTGAGTAAGAACACTCAAAATCTGAGAGACTACTATGAACAAGTAGATGCTGACAAGCTGGGTGAAATGGATAGATCTTGGAAGGCACTAAGTCATAAATAGAAAATCTGAACAGACTAATTACTAGTAAGGGAACTGAGTAAGTAATCAAATACCTCCCAACAAAGAGAAGTCCAGGACCAGATGGTTTCACTGGTGAATTCTAACAAACATTTCAAGAATTAATACCAATCCTTCCCCAGCTCTTCCAGAAGACAGAAGAGCCATCACAAGGCCAGGGTTATCCTGATACCAAAACCAGACAAGGGTACTACAAGAAAAGTTACAGACCAATATCCCCGCTGAGTATAGATGGAAAAACACTCAACAAAATATTCGCAAACCAAATCCAACTCCTACATCACGATCAAGTAGGATTTATTCCGGGGACTCAAGGGTGGTTCAATGTCTGCAAATCAATCACTGTGATACAGTAACAAAGTGAAGGACTAAAAAAAAAAAAATCAAATCATCATCTCAACAGATGAAGGAAAAGCATTTGACAAAATTCTACATCCTCTCATGACAACTACACTGAACAAACCGGGTAGAGAAGAAACCTAACTGGACACAATAAAGGCCAGACACCAGCAGCTAATCCACTGAGCGCTGCAAGTCTGCACGCCTGTCCCCACCACAGGGAGAAGGCAGGGATGCCCGCTCTCGCCACTCTTTAACGCGCTACTGAAGTCCTACCCAGAGCAATTCGACAAGGAAAATAAAAGGCATCAAATTATAAAGGAAAATGTAAAACTACCTCTACTTACAGATGACATGATAGTCCATGTAGAAAACCCTAAACACCAAAGAACTAAATAAATTCTGTAAAGTTGCAGGATACAAAATCACGATACAAAAATCACTTAATATTTTATACACTAACAGTGAACTATGAGGAAAACAAATTAAGAAAACAGTCCTATTTATAAGCACATCAAAAAAAAAAATATGCAGAAATAAATTTAACCCAGGAGGTGAAAGATCTACATGCTGTAAGACATTGATGAAAGAAACTGAAGACACAAAGAAATGGAAAGATAGTCCATGTTCATGAACTGGAATATTATTAAAATGCCCACATTACCCAGAGTGATCTCCAGATTCAATGCGATCTTCATCAAAATTTCAATGGCATTTTTCACTGAAATAGGAAACCAATCCTATTGTATTGGTTTGTATGGAACCACAAAAGATCCCAAAGAGCCAAAGCAATCTTGAGAAAGTAGAACAAAGCTGGAGGCATCACTCTTCTTGATTTCAGACTACAGTAATCAACACAGTATGGTATTGGCGTAAAAGTAGACACAAAGATCAATGAAAAGAACAGAGCTCAAAAATAAACATGCACATATGGCTGATGAATTTACAACAAAGGAGCCAAGAGCACACAACGGGGAACAGACAGTCTCAGTCTCTTCGGTAGATGGTGCTGGAAAACTGGTCAGCCACATGGGACAGAATGAAGCTGGACTGCTAGTTTACGCCATACCCAAAAATCAGCTCAAACGGATTAAAGACTAGACTGTAAGGCCCCAAACCATGAAACGCCTAGAAGAAAACACAGGAGGTAAGCTCCTTGACAGTGGCCCTGGCAATGATTTTTTGGAGTTGATACCAAACGGAAAGACAAGAAAAGGAAAAATAAGCAAGTGGGACTGCATCAAATTAAAAAGCCTTTGCACGGCAAAGGAAACCATCAACAAAATGAAAAAGCAACCTATGAAATGGGTGAAGAAATCTGCAAATCATGTGATAGAGGATTAGTAAAGAACCCATGCAGCTCAAGAGCAAAAAAACCCCAAACAGTACCATTAAAAAAGTGGGCAGAGGAACTGACACTTTTCCAAAGAAGATCTACAGATGGCCCCCAGGTACATGACCGTCACTCATCATCAAAGAAGTGCAAATCACAACCACAGTGAGAGACCTCCTCCCCCTTGTCAGAATGGTTAGCACCAAAAAGACGAGATCAATGTTGGCAGGGACATGGAGGAAAGGGGAACCCTTGTGCACTGCTGGTAGGAATGTGAATTGGTGAAGCCAATTTTTTGGAGGTTCCTCAAAAATTTAAAAATAGAACTACCCATATGACCTAGCACTTCTGGGTTTGTATCTGAAGGAAATGAAAACAATTTCAAAAGAGCTATCTGCGCTCCCATGTTCATAGCAGCACTGTTCACAACAGCCAAGACATGGAAACAACCCAAGCACCGTCCGTCAATGGATGGATGGATGGATGGACAGGCAGGTGGGGGGAGTATCATTCAGCCACGAGAAAGGGAGACATCCTGTCATTTGTGACAACATGGCTGACCTTGAGGGCATTAGACTAATAGTGAAGTGTGAAGAGGAGGACCAATCCTGTATGATCTCACATACATGTGGAATCTAAAAAGGCCAAACTCATAGAAACAGAGAGTACATGGTGGTTTCTAGGAGCTGTGAGGTGGAGGAAAGGAGATGCTGGTCAGAGAGGCCAGACTTCCAGTTACAAGAGAAGTAAGTTCAGAGCCTCTCATGTCCAGCATGGTGCTTACAGTTAACAACACCGTGTTACAGATTGGAAAGTTGTTCAGAGAGTAGATCTTGAATGTTCTTATGACAACAAAGGAACGGTAATTACGTGACGCTACCCAGGGGCTGGCTAGCAAAACGGCGGCAATCATTTTAAACATACGCAGCGCTGTACGTCAGTTATATCCCAATAAAGCTCGAAAAATTCAACATTTCGTTCATGGTATCTGAAGCATAGTAAAAATACACGGAGCTACATTTATGCTTAATATGGAAAATGAAAGGCCCAGAGTGTGTGACCGGAAGAGTCATCCAGCCGACAGCAGGCCGCCCGACTCCCCCCTGCCGGGCCCTCGCGGCGGAGGAAAGACGGCGCTTCCCGCGAGGAACCTACTTGAGCTGCTGCCGGTTGGTTCGTAAAAGCCTGCCGGGGCGCTGGCTCTCCACGGTCCAGGCTCTGAGGAAGGCTGGGGAGGGGATGACGAACTCCGAGGAGGAGGACAAGGTCATGGCCTAGAAAGGAAACGACATTTCTCCAATGGTTTAAGAAGCTCTCTGAACACACACACTGCTTTAGGAAGACACGAAGCACTACACAGGGACGTCAGAGGGAGGAGTGCCTCGAGGAATGATAAACTCTATTAAAAAAAACATCCCAGGGCTGTCTCTTAAATGAAATCCATCCAGTCACTTCTGTCTTCCTCTCTGGGGAAGCCAGCTTGAGGGATAAGTGGATTTCCCAATGAGCCAAAAGCTCCTTTTAAATCCTATTTCAGAAAGTGAAACTTAGAAATTAATTTCTATGTGAGTATAACTCGCAAGAGCTCTAACGAAAAACGGGGGTTCACCTTCCACTTTCTTTAGTGCTAGTATAGTTCTTCAAAGTTGGCTCTGTCAGTGAAAGAACTTCCATTTGAAGTGTCCCGGAATCTTTGGACGCGACTGCTGTGCCTAAACTTCTGTACTCGGTGTGCAGGGCAGGTAGCTATTTATAGATTGAGGTTGTAATATATAAAATGGCCAATATTCATTTTTTATCCGAAAACAGCAATTTTGTATTTCTCAATCCAATACAAAAAAAAATCTGTTTTTTTAATTGCCATTGTCTCATGGCAACCATTTGCTTCTTTCGAGGAAGGTTATCTCAAACGCTGTGCACACACAGGAAAATCCAATATCGACGGCTGATAACTCGCGTTGTGCGCCCCGACGACAGTAAGATGCTTCTGAAGCATTCTGTGTCCTACGCAGCTCAGCCTTTCCATTTGGACCTAACACTCTCTCTCACTAGGAATGTGAATATGTAAGAAAAGGATATAGTATCTTGTTACACATCCTAGGACACATCTTTAAACTGAAAACATTTAACACATGGATCACAATGATACAAAAACAATGTAAATAAAGGAGTAAAGTGAATGCTTTACGGATGTGTCAATACATCATGTTTCCCGTAGAAATCAAAATGAACATAAGCTGCAAGTCACCGAGGAGGAATTCAAATGAAAGCGCACAGCATGCCCGTCTGAGTGGGGACACATGACAGCCACAGGACGAGTGGCAGAAACAAGCACCAGGGCTGTGTGAGCCGAATGCGGGCGTGCCTGCCGGGTACTTACCACTGAACGTGGCACAGAACACATGCCCTATCAGAACAGACTGCAAGTGAGGGAAAAGGAAATAGAAGAAGGTATTATTAATATCTCACTGGAAGAAGCCGGGCCACCACTACCATGTGCCACAGGAAGAAGCCTGACCTGGGACTTCAGCTCTGCCACGGTGGCATCTTCGGAGATCTCGAGGTCCCCCAAGTAGCGGAGGGAAACCTCCCCGTGCAGGTCACCAGGAGCGCCTACAGAGGACAGAGGCAGGTGTCAGAAAGGAGTGTGGACTGTATTGACTTCCTACTTCTGAAACACACACCGTGTTTTGGGTGTTACAGTTTTAGCACAGCCCCATTCAAGAAACGGGATCTATCCTGTTTGTCTCTCCAGTGCTTGGGATGGTGGCTGCCACACAGTAAACGGCCAATAAATGTTTACGACCGAAAGAATCATTGACAATAAGAAGGACTTTCTACATTTACTTTTAAAAGGTGAAAACAAAATGTTCTCTTATCTAAAATTCTAGATATAAAAATTGGTAACCAAATTTAAAATTCAGAATAACTTCACTCATTTTTGCTCTGTTGATTGCTAGGCACACTGCTAATACATAACTAAGAAATTAGATGAAGTAAATCAAGTGAAAAAGCTCTCTTCCTGAGTGGTTCTTCTGTCTTAAGGACACCATGAGCTGGCACCACCTGGAAGATACTTTTAGGAAACTCAGGAATGAAAGACTACTTCCCAGATGTTGTGATATAGAAGGACTATCAAAAAATGAACTGTTTACTTTCATGGAGAAAGACATTGCTTTTTAAGTTTATATGCAATTGTACATGTAATTATTATTCTACCACCAAAGTATTTTTAGAATTAGTGCCTGTCTCATGTAACCCAAACAAACAAAAAAACTTAATGCCAATTTCACAGGTAATTCAATACGAAGTATTTTACTGCTCTACACAGATAACCCTAGCTTGACAGTAAAGGGATAAAAATGTGACTCACTTATGTTAATTTCAGTACTGAGGTTTAAAAGGTAAAAAGAAATATTAAGTGTATGTTACTTCAAGGCACTAAAAAGGCTAATTAAGTGAAACATAATAAACAGAAAAAAATATATAAAGTCGGTCCTACCATAAATATATTCTGTTCATTTAGTTAGGAAGGAAATTAATTTGTGTTTTTTTCCTTTTTTTTTTTTAAAGATTTTATTTATTTATTTGACAGAGAGAGAGAGCACAAGCAGGGGGAGCGGCAGGGAGAAGCATTCTATGGTTTTAATAGGTTTTGATTTTTCAACCTTACACTTAAGACACAAACTTCATCGGCCTCTCAGAGTGGAAGCAGCCATTCTATTCTTCATGACATGCCGGCTGCTACAATTCTGTTCTCACCTTGGGTGGAAGCAGCCCTCCAGACCCCACCTGGAGAAGGGGTACCGGTCCTCTGGTCCGGATGACTCTTCCAGTGACCCGTGGGCCCCCAAGGCTGGTACCACCAGACGGGCACCTTCAGGAAACCCTGAAGAATGGAGCATTTCTAACTGTTGTGAGGTACACGGATTAACTGAATTTCTACTTTCACAGAGAGAGAAATATCTTGGTAACAGCAAATGTTCCTGAATTTATTATTTCTCCTTTTAGATGTATTAACTGCCATGTACTATACCTGCTTATTGTTTTTACAATCAAAAATTTAAGGTCATAAAAATTAGTCTTTGGGATGATTGGGACTCAGGGTTCTTTGCTTAGAAGTATCTTCGTAAATATACTAGTTTGTAGTATCTTACTACAATCAGTGAAAAGTCTAAACGAAGTATCAAAACACCGGACAGAACAAACTATACAAATAATTTCAGGCCTGGTAAGGGCACCACCAGCACAATGCTCCAGTCAGCGGCAGTTTTCACTCATTAAAGTTCCTACAGGAACTTTATAAAGAAGCAGGAACCTATTGCTCTAAGTTGGATTCCTGTATAGAAACTACATGAAATAAAACTGATCTACTAGCCCCCACACACAAAACCATAAATGCACACTGTTTATGGTAGCAAAACCCACGAACCAACCTCAAGGTCCCTCTTTAGAAGACTAGTTACATTACGGGAGGCCAGGACTTTTGACAAAGTGGTTTCAGTTCTAGAACTTACCCTATAGATACATACATGCCAAATGGCATATATATATTTTTTGCAGTGTGATTTGTATCAACAAAAGACTGGAAACCACCTAAATCCTTGAAGAGACTGGCTGAAAAAATTATGGTGCCTCCATACAATGGAATATTCCACAGCCACCCAACAGAATGAAATACCTGTATGTGTACTAACACAACATACATATGGAGATAAATATTAATGGAAAAAGCGAGGTACAGAGTAGGATGTCTAGCAAATAATCTGTGTAAAAAAAATATGTACGTATACAAACGTATATACGTTCTATGTACACGCACATACACACAGGTACACTGCAAGGTATGTACTTCTGGAAGGATGCAGTGGAAACTGGCTGCCTACAGAGGGAGGACACTGAGGGGCTGAAGGGCGGGGGGATACTTACTTTTCCTGGCCCAGCTTTTTATACACTCCGAATTTCGTATTATGAATATTACCAATTAGTAAGTCAATTTTAAACATCACAGAATAAAATATAATTCTATGAAGTGATGCAAAAGAATAAGGTAGGCCTGTGTGTGCGGATGTGGGGAGATCCTCAAGATACATGAAGTGAATAAAAACAGGTGTAAAACAACATACAGAATACGATCCCCTGTGTGTGAACTTTAAAAGGGATATGCACATATTTACATTCTGCATACAAACGCGTAACTTTTCTTGGAAGGATATACAAAGGAAAGTAAGTTAATTCTGACTCACTCTGGAGAGAAAAAAAACGGGAAAAACTCTCTTCATTTTATAGCCTGCCATGTCTTTTGAATTTCCTAATCCTAAGCCAGTGGTTATCTAAGTGCTGGAATCTGGGGTCATTTTTTAAACTTTCATCTTTACGTGTGTCCACCTTAAAAATAACCTAATAAAGAATGGTCTTAAAAAGTGGTTATCCGCAGTGTTTATTTAAGAGCAGTGAAATGAGTGTTCTCGTGTGCAGCTCACAGAGCTATCGGTTTGGTGTGGCTTTCTGGGAAAACAATGTGGCAACACAGAGCTAGCATCTAGTCTTTAAAAAGTTCATACCTCTGACCTGTTAATTTTGATTTTGGAACAATCTTGAGGAGGATTTCTATTTAAGTATGATGCGTAAAAACAAAAGATTTAAAACAAGCTAAATTTCTCACCGGGGGTATGTGAATTAAACTGTGGTAAGTCACACCCTGGATACAATGACTGGTTTTGGATTCTGCAGTCAGGTTTAAAAATGAAATACGAAAAGCAGGAAATAAAACGGTATATACAACTGATTTTATAAGAAGAAAATCTATAAAGATGTGAAATATGGCAGCTGTCTGATTAGAGAACTCACCCCAAATCCTAGCACTACTCTCCATGCCTGGCTGTATTTCCCCACAAGGAGAATATATCATCTTTGTCATCAGGAAGCACTAACTGTTATTTACAAAATGTCAATCAGAAACAAAACCTTACCGGAGGGGGAAGTTTTCCTTCAATTAAAAGCAAAGTATCTCCAGAGCATATCATAAGTTCTCTCAGGGTTGCGTCCTGGGGAAACAGAAATTCCTTTATGACTTCTGACAGGAAGAAACAAGACCCCTGGATCTTTTCTTTAAACCTCTATAACCTCTATAACCCTTTCAAGAAAGAAAAAATAAAGCAGGTATCAAGGAGACAGGAAATAAACTGACACTACATAACACTATCTCATTCTGTATTAAGTTATAGGGTATGAACCGGAAGTATCATAAAGGCTCTGCAGAGAGGGAGATGGATGGGATGAGAAAAGTAGGATGGAGCTACAGAGGACGAAATATTAGTTAAGCCTGAAGGCTGGGTTGGAGATGGAAAGCTAGAGGAAACGACAAGGAATTCTGATGAAAAGAAGAGCAGGGTTAAGGTGAAGTCCAGAATAAGGGGGAGAGTTAAGAGACGAGACAGACCAGAGTACGAGCTGGAGAGTAACAAGACAGGAAGCTAGATCGGAGGGGTGGTCACAGATGGAAGGGCTGTGAACTAAAGGAATTTTTAGCTGCTTTTTAAAAAAGCCACTCAAGTTTTCTGAGAAGGGGTTTTTAAAGACCAGTCTGGCTGCTGCATGCACGATATACTGAAGTGGGGAACACCGGACCTGGGGAAGCCACTTGGGTGTAATTTAGGTAGAGGCCAAAAAAAGAAAAGATGAAAAAAGCTGGGCCAGGGAGGAGTGGAAAAGCCAAGAGCAAATATAAAGGACCACAGGTGAGCAGGGGAAGCGGCACTGCAGCCTGAAAACACCAGGCCGGGGAACAGCATCATCTCTGCAAAGAGGAGCCAGTTTTGAGGATAGTAAGTTTGGTTTTAGGTGAATTGTTTGATTCCAATTTGGGAATTAGAAGAGAAGAAAATGTAGAAACCACACGACTAGACACATACTCTGACCTCCAAACCTTATGTCTTGGGGATTGTCTGAGGTCTGCGTCTTACTCTGGGCAGTCAGCTTCCCGGCCGAGCCTCAGAGGTGCCTCTCGGCGCGGACTCACTGGGCCCCAGACAACAGAGCGGTTGCGGGGGAAGGCCCAGTCCTCCTGCCTAGATCAGCCTTCTGCTGATGCTCAATGCCACCAGCCGTTACTGGACGGCAGGCACAACAGGACTCGGGGGAGTGCGGCCGACCGCAAGTACCTAAGCTTGCTTTCTCCCTGAGCTTCATCTTAGGACCACTTCTAAGCCCCCGGGTTTGGACCGGTAGGTGTGACGCTATCTGGATCAGTAATAAGATGGTTAACCAGAGTCCAACTATCCTGTGATAATACTGTTCCTAAGGCTACCCGGAGAGTCCGGCTGGATCTAGAGACGCAGTTTCGATCTGAGCCTAAGTGACTGGCTGGTAAGATGAATTCTGCCATCATTAACTTACAGAGATGAAAATATTCAGGTTTCAAAATTCAGAGTGTATCTTCACATTGTTTCCAAATGTCTTTTGTTCTCTGAAGTTCTCTGCCTTCTCATGAGCAACTACTGTTTCTAGGGACATACTCAAGTCAAAAGAGGACTTAACACAGACATGAGAAACGTTCCCATTAGGCTAAGACTTTCCCTCTGACTTCAGCAAAGACCTACCAGGTACAGACTTTTGTATCCTAAAAAAAATTAAAGTTTTCTCTAGAATTTATTCACCAGTGGGGTGAGGGTGAGTATCATGCATGAAACACAAACACAGTCATTTCTAAGAGCAAAATGTGTAACAATAATCTTACTTCTTCACATAAAGGCTCTCCAGCTTCGTAACACCAATCCATTTTTCGTAAATGCCACGTGTCTCCTGTGAAAGAATCAAAATCAGGATAAAAAAAATTAAGAATATATTTTTAAGAGTTTGTCAGTAATGACCCTTCTGGATGAACGAGTATCAAATGGGATTTGAGCAAGTAACTATTAACTAATTTTTAAAGCGAATTCTCTCTTCCAGGCATGAAAAAAATTAGGTGGTTCCTCCAGTTTGGTTAATTTCCTCTCTATTCCACCAAGATCTGCTACTTGCAAACAGGTTAACACTTGCTACTATTACATAACGTTTACATTATACTTCTATCATTTACACGTGCACACACATCACACAGAATACAGATATCTGTATGTCTAGGCACAGAATCTCTTCTAAAATCATCATGAAGTTGTTTTATTTCATGGTCTTGGTTGAAAGTATAGGCTCATATGTCTTAGCAACTGATAATGTGCACAACCAAACTGTTCCTATCCACTTATCAGTTAATCTAGCAAAAATAGTGTTTTTGAAATAGCATTTTAATGAAGTTGGTATAAATGAACATTTATGAATGTTAAACAGTCTTTAATTAGACTTCTCTCAATATGCTTGCTATACTGATGAAATGGGAAAGAAATTTTTTGAAGCGGTGACAGAAGCTGAATAGAGCAAAAGTTGGAAATCCTGGTTATTGGGGAAAAAAAAAGCAATGTCTTATAAACAGCCACCCCACCTGCCAAGAGAAGCTACAGCCAAAAGAGTAAACACAGATCTAATACTGATCCCGCACAGACCACACAGATCTGAAATCCTTACCATACTGTTCTTTGCAGGCCCTCTCTTACCATTAGTTCTAGTTTTAAATGCAGTAAGAACTGTATTAATATTTAACTTAATCTAAGTGTTTTTGTAAGACTTTATTTATTTGAGAGAGAGAAAGCACGAGCAGGGGGAGAGGCAGAGGGAGAAGGAGAAGCAGGCTCCCAGCTGAGCAGGCAGCCTGACATGGGGCTCGACCCGAGGACCCTGAGATCACGACCTGAGCCGAAGGCAGACGCTTTAACCAACTAAGCCACCCAGGTGCCCCTGTAAGTGTGTTTAAAACACAAAACAAAACCCCACCAATAAGTTAAAGGTGAACACCGTTCCTCCTTCGCAGCATAACGTGGAAGGAAGAACGCGGGTCCTGAAAGCAGAGGCTTAGCTACTCGCTGTACAACTCTGGGTAAACCCTGAACCATTCTCGGCCTCTGTCTTGTCATCTGTGGGACGGGGATGGGTGCTGGTCCCCGCACGGAGGCCTGCTGGCTCCTAGAAGGGTGCCCTGTGTGCAAGGCCTGCAACCTCCCTTCCAGTAGTGGCGCCTCAGGTTTCAGCTCAGCGCAGTCTGCTGACAGCCAACACTCTAAGGAGCGCGGCGGGACGCCCCTGGGAGCCCTCTCGCATGATTCCCCCCCGGGGAGCCACTTCAAATACAACCTGGATTTTCCCTATTACATTCCCTAATGTACACCACAGAAACACTGGCAGAAAACGCAATGCACTGAAATTCTGAATCCATGAGCTTAAAAAGAAAAAAATCAGCGAAGGGCCTGGAAATTCCAGAGGGCAGAAATCCTGGCTTCGTCTCTTCTGAGCCTGTGCTGGAGCCCGTCTAGGTTCTCTGTACTCGCAGCAGCTCATGCATGGCGAGCTTTCTGTTCGCTCACACACAGGAACCAGGAGAATGCACCGTGTGTGTGCAGACAAACCTGAAGGGCTGTCATCAGGCCCTTATTATAAAGACATAACTTATAACTTATTAGGACAGAGAGAAGTGACATCGTCATGGTCTGGAACTTACCCGGTAGGCCAGACTTCTCCAGCATGAGCTTCAAACACTGTTCAAAAAAAAAGAAAAACCACATTCATTAATTCTCTGTTTCTGAGGTACAGTATTGGGAGAGATGCCCCCTTTAGACCCTGAGCCTATCTGTCTTATATTTAATAATTCCTGCAGGGATAAGGATGTACACAGTTAAGATGATTTGAGGAAGCTCAGCTTCCTAAGAGCTAAAAGGGCCAACCCAGGAGGGGGAAGAAGTTGCAGGTGTCTGCATCCGAGACATAGATGCGGCTCACCCACATCCGGGTCAGCCTTCTGCTCATGAGGACCAACACTGCGGTTTGGACCGGATAGGACTGATTAGGCTGGTTTCATAGATCTATATTAACCTCTGAATCCTACAAAAGGAGATTAGCCTTTACACAGCACCCAAGAGATACAACTGGCTGCCTATAAACTCAGGGAGAGACCCGTGCGGCGGTGATCCCACGGCAGAAAGCAACAGTGACACATGACTAACCGAAGTTTAAATAACAATAGTAAAAATCAGAAACTCCCAACTTCCTTGGGGGGAAAACCTACTCTTTTGCCTACCTATAAATCTACGGCAAGAGTAAATATAACTTGAATTATACTACACTAGCACAGAAGGAAGCAAGAATAAGGAAGATTACTACTGTACTGCTTGGAGTAAGAAAAAGAGCAAAGGATCAAAATACCCACGAACAGAGGAACACTTTATAAACTATGAGAGGTCTTAAAAGATAGAATGGATTTATACGTACTCTTTTTTTCTTTTTAGAATTTATTTATTTATTTGACAGAGGCACAGCAAGAGAGAGAACACAAGCAGGGGGTGTGGGAGAGGGAGAAGCAGGCTTCCTGCCGAGCAAGGAGCCCGATGCGGGGCTCGATCCCAGGACCCCGGGATCATGACCTGAGCCGAAGGCAGATGCTTAACGACTGAGCCACCCAGGCACCCCTATAGTCTTAAAAGACCTCTCTAAATTTGAAGTGAAACAAAGTTCTAGTACACATGCAGTGTGATCCCATTTATGATTTAAAAGAAAGCATACGAACAAGTCCAGCTCATTTGTCCCCGAGCCGGTATGAGTGCGTCAAAGGTCTGGAAGGACACACGCTCGCTGGTGTGGTCAGATCTCACCATCCCGAGACCATGTAGACGTCTGGCTGAGGGGCTAGGGTAGGCTGGGGATCAAGAGGATTTTTAGCTATAACCCACCCCACTGGAGTTTAAAGAATAAGTCCATGATTACTTGTATGATTAAGAGTAGAAAAGACTTCAATATATACCTACAGGTTGTTTAGAAAAGGCCAGCAACGAGAGCACAATCCAGTAAAACACAGGGCATGGGAGCAAGGCTGCAGCCGAGGACAGCTTCCGTTACTTAAGAAAACGACCAGGTGGGCATTCACCTCAGCTGTGTGCTGGGGAGGACCAGAGCATGGAGGCCGATGTGGCTCAGCAGAGCACGCGCTCGGGGCCTCTGGCTGGGACCCCGAGACACAGGGGGAAGCACACGAGGGCTGTGAGAACAGGAAGGGAAGGGACCACTCAACGTCTCTGTAAGAACAGACCCTGGGGAAATGCCAGGCTGGAAAGAAAAAGATCCGTCAGGAAGCTGCTGGAATAATCCAGAGGAGAGGTGACCAGGGTGTGGCAGTGGAGGGAATGAGATGTGGTCAGATCCTAGATGAACTGTGATGGGAGGTTTCCTGAAAACCTGGATGTGAAACAGAAAAGAATCGAGGATGACTCCCTGGTGGTCTGGCCCGAGCGAGCAGAGAAATGGAGCTGCCACCAGCGACTGACGAGGGAGACGTGAGGTGCGCGCGAGCCAGGACGGGGGTCACACAGCAGGGGGAGGGCGATCAGACAACCAGGAGCAGCTGGTCACACAGGCACAGAGTGCAGGGCCGGGGTCCAGTCTAAGGGAGACAGAAGAGCACAAACTGTGGAGGGCTGGGCCTGTGACGTGGGGGGACCGTGAGGAGCTGGGGTCTTCCTGAGCCAAGTGACAGAAGCGTTTCAAGGCCCAGAGAGGCATCGATCGCGTCAGAGGACAACGGAGAACTGCTCACGGGGCGCAGCCACGTGGAGGGGAGTGAGTCTGCCCGCAGTGGGCTCGAGAGCAGACAGACAGACACTTTGCTCCTCTGAAACGTTCTGCGGCCTCCTGTCTTTGACATGAAAAGCACCAAAAAGTTAAAAGCTAAATGAAAAGCTAGGAAAATATTTACAGCAGGTAACAAAAAGTAGAAAAAAAAATTTTTTTTAATGTTTTATTGTGGACAATTTCAAACACATGCAGAGAGAGTGGTAAACGTGAGCCGTCGGAAGCCACCACCCAACATCCGTGACTGCCGTGGCCCGTCTTGTGCGCCACGCTCCCACCCACTTCCTGTCCCGCCCCCTGCCCCCAGGTGCTTTGAGACAAGAATGTCAACTATCATATCATTTATTAATATTTAGCACTCATCTCAAAAAGACCAACATTCTTTTAAAAAACATAAGCCTGAAACAATTACGACATCTAAAAAACTTAAGAATTCCTTAATAACAAATACCCAGTTGGTGTTCATATTCCCCTACCTTTTTTCAGTAATCTCTATGCCTGACATGGAGCTCCAACTCACAACCCCAAGATCAAGAGTCACACGTTCCACCGACTGAGTCAGCCAGTTGCCCTCAGCCCCCCTTTCCCTTAGTCTCTCTTACACTGTAACTAAGGTTTTCCTGGTTTGTACCAAGAGCCAAATAAAAGTGCACACACTGCACCTGCCCCTCTTGTCTCCCGAGTCCCTTCAGGACTGTGCAGACGGTGGCCCTGGGCTGCGGTAACACGTCCCCTCTGTCCCCCTGTACTTCTTAGAAACGGACCCTCAGACCTAGGAGGTCAGGTCCACTTCGTTTTGTTTTATTTTGGCAAGAAGAGCATGGGTATCATTTTGAACTACTGTAATGTGTGCGTGTTACTCTTTTTGGATTGTTAGCAGTCTTTCCGGATCATTGTTTAGACACATTAATTCATTAGGAGTTAAAATAACCGCAATAGTTTAAAATTCTTTCATCTTATTTATTAGCTGAGATATGTTTATCAAAACACCTTCTCATTATCTATCTGGTTACCCTGCAGTATAGCTTCCAAAAGAAACACAGGATAAATGCTTGACCCTTCTCCTTATGGTTCCCCAGCATCCACTCTGCGTAACCAGTGAAGATGGTCTTTTTAGGATCACTTATGAACTCGTGGATTTTAAGTATGCATAGTAATCAGTTTTATTATTATTCCCACGAAGGCTCAAACTGTCTCATCTGTGACTAGCAGGAGCCTCTTCAAGTTGGCTCCTGAGTTTCTCCGCAGATCCCAGCAATCTTGGCTAGCGTTACTGCTTCTGTCAGGATAAGATGTTCCAGGCTCACCTGACACGTTCCTGACCTAGATACAGACCCAGCCACTACTCCAAGAAGCCCTGATTCCTTCCAGTAGGAAGCTGTATTTAGCAACCACAATCTGGGTGCTGGGGTGCTTGCTCCCACCAGGTTGGTCACTGTGTCTAAGCTGTTTTAGGGGAAAGAGCTAGAAAAAATTTTGAAAAACAAACATCAAGTTCATTCTGACTCTTCTGATTCAAATTCAGGAGTACAGGCTCTACTCAACTACCCCAATGCTATGTGTCTCTCCATTTTCCAAGACTGAAAGTCCTAGTTCTCCATGATGCTACCATAATTATTACCCCATACATACACACACACACATTCATGCCCAGGGGTGTGATTACATATGTGTATCCCTAAAAACACCAGTAGGAAATATGCCAAAATGTTAATATTAGTGGGATAAAGGATAATGAGGGGTTTTAATTTTTTCTTTTACTCCATTTCTGTGTAGCCCAAATTTCTATAATAAACGAGTATTACTGATAATCAGAAAAAAAAAGATAATAATCTTATTTTAAAAATTTGGGCTGTTCACCAATTTTCAAGTTCCCAAAACTACTCATTTAGTGAATGCACAGAATTCTCTAAAGTATATTATGTGAACCCTAGCCTCAGGACCTCAAAATCCAAACACGGGTTACCATGGCTCCCCATACCAAATGCCCACAGACCTCTCCCCAGACCAGAAAAAGTAAAATTACTCACATCTCTCACAGATATTGTTTCTTCTACTATGATCTCCATCTCTGTACCAGGCTGAACATCACTCCCCACAGTGAAAAACAGGAACAGCTAAGATCAATGAATGCAATTTAATCTAAATTTTAAAATTCTATAAATGTATTACCTGCTTCCAAAAAAGAAAAGCTAATGGTCCATGAAATTTTAATAAAAATCTTATCATATAAAAATAAAGATGCTGGGTAATTTAATGTTGCAATTTAAACAATAATCTCGACGACCCAGAAACGTAAGATGCTTCACACGTGTTTCCACTCCCACAGGTGTTACATCATTGTTTCTCTCTCCCAGATATTATTTATCCCACCATGATCTTCATTTCTTTCTTGGTCACTCCTCAAAGGGATCGGCCACATGCTGTAAGCATTAACTGGGTTTTCTCTGTCATTTGGCTGTGATCTTATTTTCTGTCCAGGGAATCTGATCACCTGTCAGTTCAGCTCCTTACGGCCCTCCCTTTCCTTTCGAACTCCATCTCACCTGTCACGTTTCCCTCCTCCCAGCTTGTCATACATTCCTACGTGGCCAAGTTCAGGGGAAGAACAAATTAAAGAGGCGGTAGCTGGGAAACTAAAGAAGTGCATCTGGGAACCACAGGGATCCTGACAGGAGTCCAGCTCCGGCGAAACAGAGTCTTACCGGTAAGGACCCTGTGAATTTTGGACTGTAATGAAACTTTACTGAACACATAGGGCTTCTGGCAGACCTAATACTTTATACAGAAAACGAGGACCGATTGAAAACAAAGCTGCTATGAGACAATTGTATTACTGCAGAGAGTAATTCAGTCCAAAATCCATATGCTCTATTTCATTACATCTAAGATGCCGCTGGTTGTCCCTCAGCACTTCCTGCGCCACTAAGGAGGAGAAACAGTGCAGCTGCTGCAATCAGAGGCCACTGACTGTAACATGGGTCCTAACCTTGCAGATGGCAAAATGTGGGGAAAAGGGGTGCTGCTTAGAATTTCTGAAACAGGGTGGTTCGAACAGGTGGCCAACTTTAAAAGTCCCCCTTAACCACAAAATTCTCACAGAAAAAGAACCTTATGAATATGCTCTGACATTGATATTTTTGATTGTTTTTTTCTTAAAGATTTTATTTATTTGACAGAGAGAGCACAAGCAGAGGGAGAGAGAGGGAGAAGCAGGCTCCCTGCTGAGCAAGGAGTCTGATGTGGGACTTGATCTCAGGACCCTGGGATCATGACCCGGGCCGAAGGCAGCTGCTTAACCGACTGAGCCACCCAGTCGTCCTTTTTTTTTTTTTTTTTAAGATTTTATTTATTGATATTTTTGATTTAAACACAAAGAACTAGATGGTTCTTTGTATGCCTAACATACAAGGTATCGTTTAAGAAAGAAAAAACTTGTAAGAAAAATGATTACTGGGTGCAGTAGTTAAGGTAAGAATCACGAAATTAAGAACTTCTGATTCTGGGAAGCTTGATCTCGTTCTGTCAGGTAGACCCCATGTTACCTGAGAGGAAGTTGGCGCTTTTCCAGGACACAGTCCCAGTGAACTCCCCATCTTCAGTTCTGCTTCCTTCAAAGTGTAACTGTCTGGCACTACAAAGAATTTGGAGAACAGGATGAATGTTATTAATTCCTACCTCTCTGGGCAAAATAATATACTGAAATCAGCCTTCCTTTGAAAATCAAGAATGTCAAGAAAGAAAAAATATGAGATGTACTCCATGCAAAAGGATGACCTGTATTACAGTTATGTTTGATTTTCAATTTCCACACTCTAGGATATATCTTCCTATGTGTACAACAATGCTAAGAAATAAGAGGCAGCTATTTAGATTCATACTTAATAAGAATCAAAGAGCCATTGTTTACTTGGATTAAAAGCTAGCTATTCCGAATTGATTCATGAACGATGGACCAGCCTCTTCCACATTCAAAGCTGCTGTGGTGACCATCAGTTAAATTAAGTCTAATGACAGGATGCAGAGGTGAGAACAAAGTCTATTCTACAACTCTTATCACAGTAACATGAGCAATACAAACACTTTGACAGTGAATCTAGAAAAGATACAACTCGATCAAAACAATTGCCTAAAATGAGGAGCAGCTCATCAGAAAGATAGGTGTTTTCCTTTAGAAAACAGAAGTGTTTGAATTTCTGGTTACGATTTTCTATAATGCATGAAGACAGCACTGGGACAATAGTATGTCTAGTAAGTTAGTTTCTAAAAGGTAATTTAAGGATATTAGGTACTGGAAGCCACCACTTAAATAAGGAAGATCGATGGTGTGAGCGTGAGTCCGTACTGAAGGCTACCCCAAAGATTTACCTGGACAAAGCAGCTTCCCATTTCTATCAATAGGTCTCAAACAGCTGTTCTCAGCTACAAATAAAAAGAAGCTGGTTAGTGCACCAAAAAAACTAGAGATGCTCTACTGTTGCAATTAGCAGAAAGCTATAATAAGCTACAAAACAAAAAACCCCCATCAAAAACAAAACAAAACAAAAAAACCCCAAGTACAGGCAGTCTTCAGTTCGCACAGGGCCACGAGAAGGCCTGCCATGCCGAAACCATGCGAGGCCAGCTCAGTCACCGTGAGGACACCGCAGCTGTCCTGGGACCTCTCAACACTGTTGTTATAACAGTTAAATCTCCATCCGTTACACAGGTACAGTCAAATTAAAAAAATAGCAAAATTAGTATTTACACTGCAAGTTAAAACACTAGAAACATTTGAGAATTTTTTTTTTTTTTTTTGTAAAAAACATCAAGTCTAGTTTACACAGGGCTCGCTTCTTGCCGTAGAGCTTACAATACCAAGTGAGCATCTTTTCTATCCCCGAGCGGACCGTCATCCTCTAAGTTTGCTCTGCTTCCCAAATTTCCTGTTTTGTGCTTTCAACCTCATGAAGGGTCTGCAGGAGGCTCCTTGGACATGAGGGTTTTTGCCAGCATCACCTCCTCAGGGATCTCATCATCCTGTCACAACCACTTTCCTCACATCCCTTCGTGTCCCCTGGCTGCGTATCTAGTCTCCGGAGAGACAGCAGTGCCAACATTCCCCCGGCCAGCTATTTCTTCTAGGCCTCTGCAGACCTTCCCAGCTGCACCTTCATCTCTGCGAAGCGAGTCGCTTAGCCATGAGTGCAAGACGTCACGTGGCCTTACGGTGGGAGAAAGGGGACAACAGGCCACACCCTTGGCTGTGGTGCAATGACTACCAGACACTCCAGAGGGAGGTAATCGGTCACCGATCCTGATGCACATCTGCTATTTACGTAGCGACCTGTGGAATGAAGAGCTAGTAGCGAAGTTTGCACTTCATGCAATTACTCTGTTCACGTGCAGCGTAGCAGACATTGGAGCCTCGCTGTTGGGCGGCTGACGTTATGTAATGAGCCATGGTAACTGAAATTCGTGCAGACTGCCTCTATGTAAAATTTGTTGGGTGATTTTTATGCTTATTAAACGGATTAGGGCCAGTGGGCCCTATTTTTGCAGGGGTGAAGATTCTGGCTTTGTGGGAAGGAGCGCTCCAGGTTTTGAGTCCAAACGGAATCCTTACAAAGCCGGATAGGAGTGGGGGCCTGGGAGGAGGGGTAAGGCCTCCCGGGAGGACAAGGATGAGGGGGGCCTTCTGAGTCTGCACTCTTATCAGACCACAACAAATCGCTGAGATTCCAGAGGTCTACATGTTACGCAGCAGTACCGTGCAGCTAGCAAACCATTCTAATACACATTTCCCAACCACTGGAACAGCTTACGAAGAGTTCTTCAATTTAAAAAATGCATCTCAACACTGCCTCCTTAAAGTATTCTTTCAGTTCACAAACTGTGTCTTCCATGTGCCAGGCGCCGACCAGAAGCGGACAGCAGAGCAGTGAGGGGAGACAGCCACGGACTCTGCCGTCTCGTCTGACGGAGGAGGTGGGCCTTTGCCACACGAGGCACCGGGGCAGTGAGGCGCGAGCGTACGAGGTACCAGGAGAAAACCGATGTTAGCTGAGATTGAGCACTCAGGGACGACAGCAAGTAACATTTTAGCTCAGGGCAAGTGGGTGGCTGAAGTCAGCAGAGAGGAGGGAAGAGACGGTTCAGGGAGAGGACCCCACTGAGAAGTGGGGTGCCGAGGGGTGTGGCGGGAGCACTGGCACACTAGAACCTCTGAGAGCCAGCGTGGGAAGTGTGTGAAGCAGGAGAGGGGACCACAGGAGGCCGCGAGGCCGTGGTCAGACGAGGCCGGTTCTTGAAGGCTGGGTTGAGGAAGGAGCCTGCGTGCTATGGACAAGCACTACAGGGCATGAAGCAGAGGGGTGATACGCTCTCATTCGCCTCCATTTAAGAAGATCACTTGCTAGAAGGAGAACGGCTCAGAGGGGGGCAAGAGTGAAAGAAGGGAGACCTGTCTCACGGGAAGATGATAAACTCTTCATTTTAATAAACCATACGCTTTTCGTCCATTTGAGGTGTAAGTTACAATAAAACATGTCCTGTTTAAGTGTACAGAGTCTGATCTAAACACTCAGCAACAACCAGTAAACCGAGATAGGATTTGCATCATCCCCCAAAATTCCCTCATGCCACTCTGCAGTCAACCTCCCCCCACAATCCAATTTTCCGCCCCATCACTAAAGCATGGGTTTTTTGTTCTGAAAATTTCACATAAGTGGAGTCATAAGAGTATGTGCTCTTTTGTGTCCGGCTTCTGCTTTGAGAGTCACCCGTGTTTTGCAGGTGGTGGTAGCTCGAAGCTCGTGCTGATGAACAACCTCCTGTTGTTACACTACAACACAATTTGCTCACCCATTCACTGCCTTATGGACTTTTGGACTGTATCCACCTTTCAATTATGAACATTTACATAGAGTATTTGTAAGGATATGGTTTCATTTTTCTTGGGTAAGGCACCTAGGACGGGTAAGTGAATGTTTAAATTCCTAAGAAGCAAGCTAACTCTTTACCATTTTGCACTCACGCCGCAGTATGTGGGAGCTGCTCCACATCTTCGCTAACGCTTGGTTTTGCTGGGCCTTTAATTCTAACCATTCCACTGGGTGTGCAGTGGTGTATCATTGCGGTTTCAGTCTGACAGCTAATCAGCTTCATGGCTAACGACACTAAGCATCCTTCCTGTGCTTACTGGTCGTCCACAGGAAGGTGTTCTTCTGTCAAGTGTCTTCCCCATGTGGGCTGAGTTGTCTTCTGATTAAGTTACAAGTATTTTTTTTATACAACCTGGATGCAAGTCTATGTCAAACGTGCTACAAATTTTTTTTTCTCCCAATTTGTGGCTTGCCTTTTTAAATGCCTTTTGAAGTACAGAAGTTTTAAATTTTGATAGTGCCCAATTTATTGTTTTTTTTCTTTTATGGTTTGTGCTGGACTCCTAACTAAAAAAAAAAAAAAAAAAGCCTTTTCCTTATGATAAAAGTAACAAAGATTTTCTTATAAATTCTCTCCTAGAAATTTTATGGAAATGGTTTTAACATTTATGTCTATGGTCCATTTTGAATTAGTATTTTACATGATGTAAGGCAAAGCTAGAGGTTCATCTTTGCATCCATGGATAGCCAATCGGTCCAGCACCTTATGTTGAAAATACACTATTTTTCCCCCTGGGAATACCTTAGTACTTTTGTTGAAAGTCAAGGGACTTTCATTTATTTGCACCTATTTCTGGATTCTCAATGTAGTTCCAATGTAAGTATTTAAGGCTCAAAAACCACATACAATCTCTATTGAAGAAAAGGAGCCCTTTAGAAGTGTGAAACTATTCTTAGCTCACCGACTGCACAGGAACAGGTTTTGGCCTAGAGAGCTTGCTGACCCCTGCACTAGGTCTGCTCCTATGCTAGGACCCACTGTCTTGACGCCTACAGCTTTAGCATGAATCCCGAAATCAGATAGTGTGACTCTTCCGATCTCTTCTCCCCTCAAGTTGTTAGGATACTCTAGGTTCTTTGCATTTCCATGTAAAGTGAATCAGCTTGTCAATTTCTCTCTCTCTCACACACACACACACACACACACACAACCTGCTAGGATTCTGAGTGAGGATGCGCTGAATCTACAAATTGATTTTGGGAGAATTTACTTCTTAACAATGTCATGTTTTCTGATCCAGGAACATGGTGCATCGTTCCACTTACTTACATGTTCTCTGACTTTTCACAGGGATATTTTCTTGTCAGTGTATATGTCCTGCACATATTTCAATAAATTTATCCCCAAATATTTCATGGTATCTTATGCTATTAAAATGTTTTCCTAATTTCATTTCCCATTTTTTTCTGTTGCTAGTGAACATACAATGGATTTTTTGTATTAATTTTGACTTCTCGTTAAACTTCCTAGTTCTAGTAGCTTAAGAGAATCCTTTAGATATATAGACAGTAAGCACATCAACAGTGCTCACCACCACCGCATTAGGAAAACCAATTAAAGACACAATGAGATTAATTCATACCCACCAGCATGGTTACAATCAAGAAGACAGATACAAATACTGGCAAGGATGTGGAGAAACCGCAATGCTAGCACATGGCTAGCGGGGACGTAGATGGTTCATCCACTCAGGAAAGTAGAATGGCAGTTTCTTATAAAGTTAAACACAAATGTGCCATATGACCCAGCAACTACAATCCTGCAGATCTACCCGAGAGAACCGAAAACATGTCCACACAAAGAATTACATGCAAATGTGTATAACAGCATTATTCATAAAACCTCCAAACTCGAAACAATCCAAATGTCTATCAAGAGGTGGATGAATAAACAAAATGTGATACATCCATACGATGGAACACTGGTCAGCAATAAAAAGGAACACATTTCTGATACACACGAAATCATGGATGAACCTCAAAACTGGTATGCTAAGTGAAAGAAGTCAGACATGAGGGAGTTCATGTTATATGGTTCCATTTACTTAAAATGTCCAGAAAAGTAAGTCTAGAGAGACAGAAAGTAGATGAGTGGCTGTCGGGGCTTGGAAAGCAAAAGGGGCACGAGGAATCTTTTTGGAGCAATGGAATGTTCTAAAACTGGATTGTGTTCATGGCTGTACAACTCTGTACGTTTACTAATCATCACTGACTTATCCACAGAATGGGTGTTTGATGGTATGTGAGTTATTATACCTCAGTAAAGCTGTTAAAGAAAACCTACTGCCGAGTGAAGAGTGAGTTTCAGAATGTTATATTCTGTATGATAGAATTTAAATGTGAAAGTACAATATACACATATCTATACACCTATATATGGAAGCATAATGTGAACAGAACAGTCGAATGCATACGGGACACACCCAAATCAGATATACTGACTGCATTGGGGGAGGGAGAGAGAAGAGGTCTGAGGAGGAGAACACAGAGAATTTTAACTTTATTTGCAATGTTTCAGACAACAATAACGACATGATAAAATGTTAACATTTGTCCATGTGGGGTGGTAGGGCATGAACTTTCCCTAAATTATTTTTTGTACTCCCATATTTCTTTTTAAATATTTTATTTATTTATTTGAGAGAGCGGGAGGGAGGGAGCACAAGCAGAGGAGAGGCAGAGGGAGAAGCACACTCCCCACTGAGCAGGGAGCCCAACGCGGGCCTCGAGCCCAGGACCCTGAGATTACGACCTGAGCCGAAGGCAGTCGCTTAACCAACTGAGCCACCCAGGCGCCCCTGTACTGCCGTATTTTTTTTTTTAACCAAAATCAAAACAAAACTAAATTAAACCAAAAAAACCCAAGAGCAAACGTAAGTGATTACCTAGTTCCTTCATTAATTTTAGTTCCTTTATGGCTTTAATTCGAAGATCAAACACCACCTACAACAGAGAAATAAACTAGTGACTGTGTGCATGAGACCAACGGGAGGGGAGGGCGCCGAGGCCGTCAGTGAACGCGTACACAGCTCAGCTGACTTACCGGTTACTGGACAGAAGTTTCTGCCTACTTGAAAAAAGATTTTTTTCCATCTCTGACATTCATTTCCTCTCTTCTACCAAGTTAAAACCAAAAACTGGATCTTAATAGTTAAGCCTTAAACCGATGGTAACCAGAACAGAAAGACGGAAAGCTAAAGAAACAATCCTAGCTACAAAGGCAAAAAGCTGAAAACCCACACTAACTTTTCTAACGAGAGCAAACAAAAGAAAATGCAGTTCATCGTATTTCTTTAGGTTAAGAATAATGAATTTAGGGCCATTGAGCATAAAAAAATATAAAGATGGGCAACACTAATCCAAGGGCACTATTTAACATTTTTGTTTAAATTACTTTTAGGTTGTTTTCTTTCTTTTCTTTTTAGTTTAGGCTAACTGCCTCTAGGGCATGGGAAATTTAGGGCTAAAAGTGATGTCAGCAATCACGGACTGGACCCTCCCAGCAGCGCCCCATACAGCACCAAGAAGGACGGAGACTGGAGTAACTGGACTTCACCAAAGCCTCCCACTTAGGGTCAGGGTGGCAGATCTGCCATACCAACCAATCCTAATGCACCCTAAGAAATTAGAATATTTATAGAAAACATTCTAATAGGTTTCTTTTGATGTTCTAGAAAAAAAAAAAAACTTTAATGACTTGAGAGGCCACATGAATGTAAAGAGATGTTTCCCAGAATGATGTTTAAGGAAACCAGGTCACAGTCTTCAAGTGGAAAACTGAAGGACTCCCTTTTAAGAGCAGCTGACTTTAGAGTACACAGAGTACGACGCAGAATAATTTAAGATAAGCTTAAAAAAACAAGCACCAAAAAACAACACAACACAAAACCAAAACATATTTGCCTGGTTTAAAAAATAGAGAAAAGATTGTGGGAAAATGGCATTTTATATTTATCAAAGCTAGGGGATTCCATGAACTAATTAAATAGGTAAAAGCCTACATTCTAATTGTAGCCTTGGATGGAAAAAAGGCACATATTTTCTTGAAACATGCCAAGGGCTAATACAGGTAAATGAGCGGTAATCAAATGTTAACAATAAAATGTTGATTTCCTCCCCCCACATTTTTTAAAAAAGTAAGCTCTACGTAGGCCCAACGTGGGGCCTGAACTCATGACCTTGAGATCAAGAGCTGTGCGCTCTACCGACTGAGCCAACCAGGTGCCCCAAAAAGTTGATTTCTTAAGTTCTAGAAGCCCACTGAGACAACCTTCTGGAAGATTTCACGTACTGCTTTTTAAAGCAAACACTGTTAAACTAGAAAACTGTCCACCAGACGTGAACTATAATCTACTCACTGTGTTCACAGTTGCTGATATTTTAACTTGCTTCTCTTCGGATTCGAATTCACATAAATTTTGAACTTGGAGCCAGTTGATCTCATTCATACCAGCGAACCATTTCCCTTGTTTGAGCAACAAACTGTAGGAATAGGGACATTTTAAAACATGTGTCTTTACACAGTGCTTCTATGGATCAGAAAGGATCAGAAAATTAACACTTTTCCTTAGGTACCACTTCCAAAATTCTGCATGGGTGCTTTGATGTGACTAATTAAAGGTGACCAAGGTCTACTGAGCTGGCTTTAAGAAAGCTATCTTTCTAGGGCAGTGCCAGGCAGCTGTGCATGGAGTCTATTTCAGGACTCCCAAGTATGCTCAGACTTATACGAATAATTTGTTACCACATTTTTTGTTTTGGTTTTTGCGTTGCCACATTTTTCAAAGAGAAGTGTTGTCACGGAGTAATCCGCGGCTGACTTCGGCCTGCGCACTGGAATCACATGGTGAGCTTTCAGAGTACTGATGCCAGGATCTAGATTCAGCTTAGTAACAGGACAGTCATGCACAGCTGTAGAGACAGACGCTACATAAAAGTGCCTTATATAAGGGGTATATCATTCCCGTCGTACCCGTCGTATATTTCTAGGTTTATTACAGTTTTCTTTTTTTTAAAAGATTTTATTTATTTGAGAGAGAGAGAGAAAGCATGAGAGGGGAGAGGGTCAGAAGGAGAAGCAGACTCCCCGCTGAGCCAGGAGCCTGATGTGGGACTCGATCCTGGGACTCCGGGATCATGACCTGAGCTGAAGGCAGTCGCTTAACCCACTGAGCCACCCAGGCACCCTATTACAGTTTTCTTTTACGACAGCAGATGGCCTACGAGAACAAGTAGGGTGTCTCGCTCTAACAAAATTTTCCTCCACATAGTGGTACAGGGTCTGGAGGAAGGAGTGGCTTTCTAATTCACACAGACGCGCTCAATGCGTGGGCAGAGAAGTCCTCTTGGGAGTGTGTATCAGAGTCCCGAAACACAACGCTACTCTGTATTTCAGCTGTTCCACCCAGGGCTACATCCTAAAGACAGCAAAGTTTTTGGTTTTTTGTTTTTTTAAAAGATTTTATTTGACAGAGAGAGACATAGCGAGAGAGGGAACACAAGCAGGGGGGAGTGGGAGAGGGAGAAGCAGGCTTCCCGTGGAGCAGGGAGCCTGATGCGGGGCTCAGTCCCAGGACCCTGGGATCATGACCCGAGCCGAAGGCAGACGCTTAATGACTGAGCCACCCAGGCGGCCCGAGACAGCAAAGTTTTAAGCACAAAGATGTTCCCTGAAGACTACCCTGAAGTGGTGGACAACTGGATGAGGACAGTGAGGATGACACGGCCACCTTTTACCAAAAGCGTGCAAACTCTCCATAAGCACTGAACGCCCACACCCTCCGGTTCTAGGAAGCTGGGACTCATTTCTATCCTCATTTTGCAGAAGAAGAAACTGAGCAGAGGGAGATGAGGTGACTTGCACAGGGTCGCACTGTCAGGACGTGATCAAGCTGGAAACAAGCCCCGGCAGCTCGTCCTCACCCCTGCACAGACTGCCTGGCGCGGGAGCATGGGTAGGTAACATCAACACCGACTGCTCCGTAGCCGCGCCACGAGTCTACAGACACTGGGGGGAAGCAGGATATAACCATCCATGAAATAATCATTAGTAAGCTTCAAAAGAAAAAAACCTTCAAAAAACAACAACAAAAAACAATTATTTGTCCTCAGGGCAGAAGGAAAGCTAACAGTGACTGCCCCTGCACAGGGGACACTGTTTTGGGCCTCCTGTCATCACTTCTGTATTTCCCAGTCCTAATACATACTATATTACTTTTTTTTAAATTTAATTTTGGGGGGGGGCAGAGGGAGACAGAGAACCTTAAGTAGGCTCCACACCCAGTATAGAGCCCAATGCAGGGCTCGCTCTTACAACCCCAAGATCGTGACCTGAGCCGAAATCAAGAGTCCAACACTTAACTGAGCCACCCAGGCGACCCACATGTAGTACTTTTTATAAAGGAACATATAATAAACTTTTAAATTAAATAAACAAAGTGCAGAAATAAATGCCCAGAAAATACTTGTCCGAAAAGAGTGATAAATACAAAATAAAGACTGTTCCAAGCGCTCTGCCTCTGGGTCACAACCACTATGAATGATAAAATGGAGACTCCCGACTGATCATGCAGGGAACGATTTGTCAAGTCTTTAATATATGGAAACCGGGAGGTTACAGGGCAGGACACACTGACCACAGAAATGTAGCATAACAGACGTGGACGACAAAATGGAGACAGGCAGCACTTCTGAGCTTCCAGTGTGACTCACAGGAATCAAGAGCGTGATCCCCCATGTACCTGCCCTCTCTGGGCAGCTGGGAGGGTCTCAAGACTCAGAAAAAGGATTATAATGAAAAACTCAATTGCCTTATGGGAGACTTGTGACAAAACAGACAAATCTAGCTAGATCTTAATATCCTCCTCATGAAAAGATTCAGGAACTTTCTTTGTGAATGTGCCTTCAGTTTTGTAGGAAGTGCTAATCGGAATTCATTTGACAAGATTCTGCTTTATAAACAACTAATCTAGATTGTATCTCCTATACCTACATTATTTAGTTACCTCATTTACCAACAAATAAAAATTTTAAAAAATCACATTATAATATCATCTTCCTCCAAGCTGCCTAACCCAGAACACTCCTGTATACAATATCCAGGACACAATGTTTAGAAACAAAAGAAAAATACTGAACTATTATCAGTATTAAAATAAAGCTTTCGAGTTCTAAGCGACAGAACTATCATAAAAATAACTTAAAAAGGAATTCTCTTACATTTCAGCAGGTTACCTGTTATCTCTAGAATCCTGAACGAGAACCGAGCTCTTGTTCCCGAGGCCCTGCTCTCTGAACGTCTTCTTCAGGTCTTCCTTGGGAACAGCGACCCAGTTCTCTTCCCCGGCAGGGTCCGTGGCGCTGACGAAGAGGACACCCACGGGCACAGCCAGGGCAGTGAGCACAGCACCCACTTCTGCATTGGATGGAAAGACGTGTGGAGACTCTACCAACTGCTGACACTTTTCCCCCTCGCTGCTTGTTGCTAAATGAAGAACATTTAAGAGCAGAGGTTCACAGTCACTCCCGGTTGGAATCTGGATGCCACCAACCTACAATAATACCAAGACAACCATTAGTATAGTTTCTATTTGCCAAAATCAGGTCAATGTAATCACACAGTAAAAGACTACTCTTAGAGGGCGCCTGGGTGGCTCAGTTGGTTAAGCGACTGCCTTCGGCTCAGGTCATGATCCTGGAGTCCCGGGATCAAGTCCCACATCGGGCTCCCTGCTCAGCAGGGAGTCTGCTTCTCCCTCTGACCCTCCCCCCTCTCATGCTCTCTCTCTCTTGCGCACGTGCTCTCAAATTAAATAAAATCTTAAAAAAAAATACTGCTCTCAGAGAATTCTCTTTTTTTCTTTTTAAGTGAAATGTCTTAGATGTATCAGAACTTTAGATTTTTCCTTTGAAACTTTCTCTTAGCCTTCTTTTATTTTCTAGGAGAGCAATGTGGAGTGGAGACAGAGATGTATGTGTCCTCAGCAGTGGTAATAAAGCCTTAGCAGAAAAGAAAAGAAGAAAAAAGCCTTGGAAATACAAGAGATGGACCAAGGACAGACCACAGCGTGGGTGAGATGCTGCTCGCCCCTTTCCTGACTTGGAGAACCCCCTCCGCTCCTGTAGGTCACCGCCCTAACTCAGGGTAGCTACCTGCCGCCTCCTGAACTCCCTCAGGGAGCATGCGCAGAACCCTCCTGCAGGAGCTGTGCTGGTGGGGTTAGGCACACAGGCCCGCCTGAAGGACAGACTGATTACACACCTTCGGAGGGAGCTTCTGGCACTGCAGGCACACTCGACAACCATCTCCTTAGCATACGACTAACACTGACTGTACCTAAAATTTGTCAGACGTTTCAGATGTTTTCTAGCATCTAGTTGCCTTCACAGACGCTGAATAAAGTTTTCTTACAATGACACTTAAAAAAAAAAATCAAACACCATCATGCATACCTCTTCAATCCGTTCTTACCTCCACCCCATTCCATACAAAGAGGTCTTCCCCGTCTGCAATCTCCATTTCACACAGCATCAGGTCATCCCCTAGAAGATGAGCTCATCAGTGAGACCATTCATCACAATCACCAAAACAACTACACTTAGTTGAGACTAAGTGAGACACTTACGTATTTGTTTGCAGCAGCAGCCTCATCAAGGAAAATTAAGAAAAAGGCAGTAATTGCATTTATTGTGTTGGCATTATTTGAGATTATTTTTATCTTTATGCTTTTCGTTACACTCTTTAGTTTTTTGTTTTTGTTTTTTCACTTTACGTAAGTATCTCCCCGTGTTAACATGTTACGGAAGCTCTGTGAGCACGAGAGCAGGGGAGGTGCTGACCAAACCGGACACTGTGCGGGAAGGAGGCTCAGGCAGCCTGGGGCCCCAGCCCCAGCACTAACCAGCTGTCTGGCCTGCGTACTGCGGCCCCACGCTCCAGTCTTCTTGTTTAGGAAATGCAGGTAAAAGAATTTTGTGAATATCAAATGAGATAATTTATATAAAACTTATCTCTGGATTTGGTACAGTGAAGTCCAAAATAAATGTATGTCACCGCAGCTGCTACTAACATTACTGTTTTGTTGTTATTCACGGGTAGTAAAAACGTTTAAGCTCTCCAAGTACTCTGGGAGAAAAAAAAAAATCAAGCCATATAAATAAGATGTTAATGGTTTGAAACGATTTTGCTAAAAAAAATCTGTGGTAATACAAAAAAAATTCCACAGCCTTTTATTATTTTTTTAAAAATTTGTTTGTGAAGGGGCACGTGCACCCCAATGTTTATAGCAGCAATGTCCACAATAGCCAAACTGTGGAAAGAGCCAAGATGTCCATAGACAGATGAATGGATAAAGAAGATATGGTATATATATGCAACGGAATATTATGCAGCCATCAGAAAATGAAATCTTGCCATTTGCAACGATGTGGATGGAGCTAGAGGGTATTATGCTAAGCGAAATACGTCAATCAGAGAAAGACAATTATCATATGCTCTCACTGATATGTGGAATTTGAGAAACAAGGCAGAGGATCATAGGGGAAGAAAGAAAAAAATGAAACAAGATGAAACCAGAGAGGGAGAAAAACCATAAGAGACTTTTTTTTTTTAAAGATTTTATTTATTTATTTGAGAGAGAGAATGAGATAGAGAGAGCATGAGACGGGGGAGGGTCAGAGGGAGAAGCAGACTCCCCGCTGAGCAGGGAGCCTGATGCGGGACTCAATCCCAGGACTCCAGGATCATGACCTGAGCCGAAGGCAGTCACTTAACCAACTGAGCCACCCAGGCGCCCCATAAGAGACTCTTAATCTCAGGAAACAAACTGAGGGTTGCTGGAGGGGAGGGGAGTGGGAGGGATGGGGTGGCTGGGTGATGGACATTGGGGAGGGTATGTGTTGGGGTGAGCTGTGTGTTGTGTAAGAGTGATGAATCACAGTCCTGTACCCCTGAAACAAATAATACATTATATGTTAATAATAAAAAAATTTTTTTAAATTAAAAAAAATTTTTTTTGAAGATTTGTTTGAGAGAGAGAGAGAAAGAGAGAGAAGAGGGGCAGGGGCAGAGGGAGGGGGAGAGAGAGTCTTAAGCAGACTCCTTGTTGAGCTTGGAGCCGGACATGGGGCTCAATTTCACGATCCCGAGATTATGACCCGAGCCAAAACCAAGAGTTGGATGCTTAACCAACAGCGCCACCCAGGTGCCCCCACAGCCTTTTAAAAAATTGTTTTCGTGGAGAGGTAGCTTTAATTTCAAAAAAAAAGAAAATATTTCTGTGTTCGCAAAATTCACACATCACAGAAATCAGATAAATTATTTGTTTGAAAACCGACCATGTGATGACAGCCTAGGTAAGAAAGTAGTAGGTAGTGGGAAAGATTGGCTAAGAGCAGAAAATCCACAAAGTACAAATATAGGAAATGAACCCCACAAAATACAAATATAGGAAATGAGTCACAGTGTTTTAATTTTTATCTTACCATCAAGCATCTGGTAAACATGAAGTCCTGCTGGTACAAACTTTGCCACGTTAAGAATCATATCTCCTTCCCAAAAATCTAACAGCTACAGAATATTAATGGAAGAAAAGAGAACAATGAGAAGTAACATAAGTATCACATTTCCAGGTAAAAGAACACCACCGAACTATTTCTCATATGTTTAGATGATACGGGAAGCTAGCAAACGAGTATGCCCATCCCACCCAACACCAAAAGTGTGGCAAGAAGACATCACTCGTTGCTAAATTAGCCAAATCCAAAGATGGTCAAGTTCATCCATTAATGACTGGAGAATGCTGGCATACACCACGAACAACTGTACTTAATTTATGGGAAGACCACTTTTATCAGAAGGCAAACTGATCAACATGCCAGCCCAGAAATCTTTGTCCAAAAGAGCAAAAATCATTTGTTTAATTAGTACCATTCAGGGAAAAGCAGCATGGACTCTAGCACATTAAAATTCTCAATAATCTGAAAGGAAGTTTTGCACCATAAATTAAAAAAGTGGCATTACCAGTTTCTATGGGACCATGGATTTGTTTTTTTAAGTTTCTAGATCCAAGACTCTGGGGGGACTGGTCATCTCACCAGAATAATATCGCCCATAAAGTCAGTCCTATTTCGCCTCTCTCCACAATAGCACAAGGTAGTTCTCTTAAAAAGACATTTCCTGGGGCACCTGGGTGGCTCAGTTGGTTAAGTGTCTGCCTTCTGCTCAGGTCATGATCTCAGGGTCCTGGGATCGAGCCCCACATGGGGCTCCCTGCTCAGTAGGGAGCCTGCTTCGCTCTCTGCCCTTGCCCCGGCTCATGCGCTCCTTCTCTCTCAAATAAATAAATAAAATCTTAAAAAAAAAAAAAATTTCCTCTTTACACATGATTAGTTAACTGCACTATTCTTGTAGCCTCCCGCCTGGGGCTTACTTTTAAGATAACAGAGATGTGCACTTCACACACCAGAAAGCAAACTGGAGCGAATCTAAAACCTATGAAAGTGAACAGGTCTGTTCCATATGAAAGGCCCCCCTAGACAGGGTCAGCTCCCCACGTCCACTTACACCAACACTGCGGGACTGGCTCAGGGATGAATTTTTAATGCAAAAATTTGGAAACATGAGGAAATTTTAGAAATCCTGATACTAATCCAAAACTGAAATATCATTCAAATCAACTAAGGTTAACAAAGAAACTGGCTTGCTTTGCTTTGTACAAGAGAAAAATAGAAAAAAAGAAAGCTAATAATTTTGGGGATTGATGAGTTTGCCAGAAAATTCATTAATGTCTGCAAAAAATAAAAGCCTACATTTTTTTTTTTTTAAGATTTATTTATTTTAGAGAGAGAGAGAGCACGAGTGAACGTGCACATGCTAGGGGGAGGGGCAGAGGGAGAGAGAGAGAGAATCTCAAACTGACTCCCTGTTAAGTGCGGAGCCCGACTCAGGGCTCAATCTCACAACCCTGAGATCATGACCTGAGCTGAAATCAAGAGTCAGATGCATAACTGACTGAGCCACTCAGGTGCCCCAAAGCCTACATTTTCTATTTTCCTTTTCCTTGATCAGGAAGTAGTGAGAGGTGAGGAAGTATGATCAAAAGGACAGAAAGAGTAAGGAGTCCAGGGCTGAGGCCTAGTTCTACCACAACCAGAAGTCTGACTGCAAGCCACTAGATCTCTAAATTACAAGTTTTTCACCTTTAAAATGGGATTAGCTTGCCTTTAGGTTACCCTGAGATTAAAGAACCAAAGGACATAATTTATATGAAAACACACTTGGGTCGATTACTTGGATGTAAGGATTTACAACAATGCTTGTTTTTACTGCACAACAGAAGGTATTTTCATCCCCTGAAAAATTTTAGTAATAAATGCTATCCTATACTTCGGAAAGGGAGAAACGTTAGTTGCTTGTTTGTTTAGTTCTTGTTTTTAGGCAACATGCTTATTTATTTACTTATGTTTTTAAGATTTTATTTATTTGAGAGAGAGGGGGAGATCGCGCATGAGTGGAGGGGCAGAGGGAGAAGCAGACTCCCCACTGAGCTGGGAGCCAGACTTGGGGCTTGATCCTAAGACCCTGGGATCATGACCTGAGAGGGCAGACACTTAACCAACTGAGCCAGCCAGGTGCTCCAGCAACACGCTTATCTTTTTACTGCTTCCAAAAAATAATTTTCTTTTACTTTCCAAAAAAGAAACAGCCTTATACTTTTTCTCTCCCCAAAATACACGTACCAGCCTTGATTTCCCCCCCCGAAAGCCTGCTGGCAGGACAGTGCGGGTCCCACTTGTGCAGAAGAGCCTCTCTAAAAGACGTACAAGTGAGGAGAGAACATGTGGGTCAACCCTCAGGAGTGGGAGATGGAGGATTTTCTTAAGTGCTTTGAAAAATAAACAGTTGAATCCTAAACAGGATTTCTGAAAAGGAGAATCCAGCCTGAGATGGACCTTAATGTCTAAATTAAGAGGAAGCAAGGCTAAATTACCTGAAATATTGACTGTCGAAGATCTCCTAAAGTTTTCCTTTTATCAAAGGTTAAATCCCACACACTTTCTGCTTGAGAGACAATTGGGTGCAGAGCCCCATTGAAGAAATGATAATGAGGGCCCAGGTGGAGATGCAACTCAAAATTATTGTTTGTAGAATCCCATTCTGCCCTTTAAAGATGCATAAAAAATACATAAATGCTCTGTTTTTGTAACACACGGTTTCATCCCAAACCAAAAATACTTGATTTACAATATAAATAATCTATTCTACCTAAGTAATTATTACTAATGTCCTTTTCTTCCATGCTCCAAAATTTTCATTTTAGTTTCTCAATGAATAGCAAAATTTCAGCTCTGCCACCACGAATTCCAAGGAAAATGAATTTTAATATACACCATGCAACATTTCTCTAAGGATCGAAACTCAAAATCTTCCAACAATGGGAATATAGTTATAAATATGCTAGAAACCTTTCCTCCTGTAATTGTGGTAAGTGCCAAATTCACAAACTTCTAGTTCCTCCTTACCTCCACCAGAGCCCCCTGACTCTCCTGTAGAGTATTTAAAGTGGGTCTCACGATCCTGCAGTCTACCCTCCCCAGGTCGAACATCCTCAGTGGCGGCCCAGAGCTGGCGGCTCGTCTCTGAATCCGCTCGGCTGCCCTGGAGCTGCTGCCCGGCATTCCGCTCGAGGCAGTGTGGCCCCGGGAGAGCTGGATGAGGCCACGGCCACTGCTCGGATACTCCCGACACAATTCTATTCATGTGGTCAGAGACAGCGCTAGCTTTTCCGATGGCCGCATTAAAAAGCTTAGTGCTGGCTGGCGAAACCCCTTTGGTTGTGGCTGTGAACCCCCACTGCTAGTCCGCACCCACTCACGAGGTTTGGCCTGTTTAAGATATTTTATCCTAATTTTTATATTTTTTGTGTCTTGATTTCCTTTGATAGTGGTTTGCCATTCAATCTACCTGCTCCTTTTTTTCCCCAGTTTTGAGCCAATGATAAAAATGTTGAACACATCCTGGCTACATAATCAACCAGCCACGTGGGTCCACAAGGAAGCCACGTGGGTCCACAAGGAGGTCACGAGAACATCCACTTCCCTAACCCAATACCCCACTGACCCTGGCAGACAGCAAATAAAGATACAGTTCCTCGGGGTCCAAGGTGAGACCTCAAAAGAGAAGATGAGATGAGCAACTCCTCACAAACCATGCCTGTGATAACCTATTACAGGTTTCTGCCCGGACTGACATGAAGCCTGGCAGTTTGCAGAATCCACATTCTTTCCTCTTGCCCGCCTCTGGTCTTGTATCACTATGGGCCGGGTCCCCACGACGACTTAACTTATGAGGGGTGACTTTCACCCAGGCTCTCTCTGCACCTCGGGAATCACCTGACGGTCTAGGATACAATTCACTTAACGTCCTAGGTGTTCACTGATTTCTCCAGGCTTCTGAGGCTTCATCCCTACTCAGCAGTGGCCATTTATGTGACATTGTTTCATTCACTCTCACAGATAAGGATGATTTCAAAGTAAGATACTCTGCCTATAAATATTCAGCAGCTACACAGACACAGGCATTGATTAGTTGGTTTTTTTTCCTTTTTAATTTTCCTGACTGAAGACTTAAGACCTAAATGAGATCCTTGTTCTCCAGAAAAAAACCATTCAAACTCTAAAAGTAAGTTAAAATTACCTTTTTGTTTGCAGTTCAATGTTGGCTGCATCCATTTCATTCAGCAAATGACATGGAACCCCGTATCTTGGATTAGCTCGAGCTGTGAACAGAACGCTTCATTAACTTGGGCGGACGAAATGGAATCTGGCTGCTGGGGATCTGGAAAGTATGTGCTGGGAGCTAGGGAGCCTCTAACTATCTTTGTGAATGCTAACTTCCTGTGGATCTCAGTTTTCCCATCTGAAATATGAAAACATTAGAACAAATGGAAGATAAACAGTTCTTTATGCCACGCTAGAAGGATTCCATTTCTTCAATTCTCTTTAAATATACTTTTTAAAAAGAACACCCACTATTTTCTTCCTGATAACAAATGTAGTAATTGCCACCATAAAAATTCTAGAATATAAAAGATATTCTATATCTTTTATATAGAATATATAAAAGGATATAAAAGCTATTACCTATAATCCCATTCCCAAGAGATACTGCTAAAACGTGTTACATGTACTTCTGGTCTTTCTTCTGTACCTACACAACGTGTCTGTATGCGTACATTTACCCACACACACGCACGTACATGCACATACACACACCCACGCACACACTTACTTAAAGCGACTGGGATTGTATTTAATAAATCTGTAACGCGCTTTTTCACTTCATATTTGTATTTCTCCAAAGTTTTAAATGATTGCATACTAGTTCATTCTATAAATAGCATAATTAAACTAACCAATCTTTTTCTGATAGGTATTTCTAGTCATTATTATAAAATAATGGGAGTACCAAACATCTTTGAACATGAATATTTATACACAGCTCTGATTATTTCAAGACAGATTTGCAGAAGCAGAATTACCAGTTTAAGGATTTTAAATACATATAACCAAACTGGTTATAGGACTTTATATACCTACCAGCTGTAGAGGAAGTGCCAACTGTCGAGAACAAGATTAACAAAAACATTTAACTTGGTAGGAAAAAGTGGCATATCTCATTGCTGTTTCAATCCCTATTTTTTGATTATGATTGTTTCTCTTTAATAAAGATTTTTTTTTTTTCTTTTTTGAGAGAGAGAGAACGTAAGCAGGCGGAGGGGGCAGAGAAAGAGGGACAAGCAGACTCCCCGCTGAGGAGGGAGCCTGCCTCAGGGCTTGATCCCAGAACCCTGGGATCGTGACCTAAGCCAAATGCAGACACTTACTCAGACTGAGCCATCCAGGCGCCCCTCATTTTTTTTTTTTCCAGTTTATTGGTTGTTCCTATTTCTTCTTTTGTACATTGTTTATTTATATCCTTTTCCCAATTTTCTACTAAGCACAATGAAATATCTGTAAAAGCACTCTGCAGATGGGAAATAAACTTGTCATATATTTAGCTGTTTCCCACTAGGCTTGTCATTTGCCTTTTATATTGTTTAAGGTTTGTAACACTTTTCCTTAACTTTTCTTTCTTTGTTTTTAAGTTTAGAAAAGTCTCCCCTACCTTTGTATCAGAAATATATATTTTATACATTTTAAGGTTCCTTTTTAACATAAACATTAAAGGAACTCAAATTTCATTCAAGTGATGATTACAGTCACTTGACTACACTGATTGCTAGTTCAAGGGACTGGCTGCTAACCAACTTCCTGCTCTATTTCTTGAGTAATTCACTCTCCTCCCGTTTATCTGAAAAATCACCTTACCACGGATTAAAACCTTTTTTTTTTTTTTTAAAGATTTTATTTATTTATTTGACACAGAGAGAGAGACAGCTAGAGAGGGAACACAAGCAGGGGGAGTGGGAGAGGGAGAAGCAGGCTTCCCATTGAGCAGGGAGCCCAATGCGGGGCTCGATCCCAGGACCCTGAGATCATAACCTGAGCCGAAGGCAGACACTTAACAACTGAGCCACCCAGGCGCCCCTAAAATTTTAAAAATACTTGGGTGGACTTCTGGGCTGATTCTCCTCCATCCAGTGATGTGTCCACCTCTCTGCATGAGCACAGCACTGTCTGAATGGCTGAAGCTCTACAAAGAGGTTTTACTGATAGAGTCAATTCCCTTTGGCAGGCCCTTCTTCAGTTTTCATGAACGTTTACCTCTCTAGATGGATTTTAGAATCATTTTGCCAAGTTCCGTCCCTTTATCCCCACAAAAAGTCCATCAAGATTTTCACCAGATCTTTATTCAATTCCTAAGCTAAATGGAAAACTACCATTCAGTACACAGTCAAAACATGCGCGTACTAAAATCCAATTCAGGGAAAAAGACAATACCCTACCTGAACATATTCTTTTTTTGTTAATATATATTTCTATAACTGTGAATTCTGCTTCAGAATATTTTTTATCAGAGCCATGACTACATTTTTCCCCCGTCAGAAAAATAAAGCCTAGAATTTCTGGTTAAACAGAATAATTATGTAATTGTTTTAGAACCAGAAAGTTAATTTCCTTTGACTCACATGCAAATTAGTAACTTCTTTTTTCTTATGCTTTTAAAAATGATTACTATTCTCATTTTCTGAGAACAGTGTCCTCATTTGTCACTACAGATACGCCTCTATCTAAGGAACTTTCCTGGTTAGGATTTTTTACTTTTGAGTAGACTTTGGGAAGCGACCAAAGTCTTACACACTGATTCATGTTAGTGATCTCAATTAATAAATTTATCATTGTGGGTCTCAGTGTTTAGCCAGCCTGGTACGAGCTGTCTTAGAAGGTTTAACAAAGAACGCTTTGAAGATACTTCAGCTGCTCATAAAACACATTAATTACCTTGAGGGAAAGAAAAAAAGAGGGCAATAAAAGGGCACACATGAAAACAAAACCAAGGCCACTTACAACTCAAAGGCGACAAACACATGGCCAAATGACAGAGCCAAGCCTAAGCATAGGGCAATCGTACGCAGGTTTGTCCACACAAGAAACCATTATGCAATCCAAGAAAAACCAAACCTGAAACACTAACTATGGCCTTATATCATTAGAAGGGGAAAAAATAAAATAGAAATATAAAATGATAGATTGTTGGATTTCTTTTGGCATAATGTATTTTTTTTTTTTTAAAGATTTATTTATTTGACAGACAGAGACACAGCGAGAGAGGGAACACAAGCAGGGGGAGTGGGAGAGGGAGAAGCAGGCTTCCCGTGGAGCAGGGAGCCCGATGTGGGGCTCGATCCCAGGACCCTGGGATCATGGCCTGAGCCGAAGGCAGATGCTTAACAACTGAGCCACCCGGGCATAATGTATTTCTTACTGTTAGCCTGAAAATATTTAAAAATGTTCCAAGAGTATACTTTCTTTTAAAAGGGTAAAAATTCAAATAGCATTCAATATTTATCTTCTGACATCATCAACTTGAACAAATAGGAATATTTCTCTTTCCATACCTTCTGGGGGTCTCTGCAACTGGTATTTCCGATAAAACAACATGTAGGCACTTTCTTTACCCTGAAACTGCCGTTCAATATCTTTTTCCTTGATTGGTTGGACTTTGGAATCATTTATGTCAAACCAGTGGGGACAGGAGGTTCTATCATTTAATCCTGGGGATTCTGAAGTAAGTGTCTTGAAAATATGTTGATCATTCCTTTGGAAATCAGACTCAGCCTGGAGAGAACCGTTCTTCAATAGACTAACTGTACTTTCATCTGAACTGAGTAGAAATACCTGGGAATGAAGCTGTAAGAACTATACAGAGACAAAAAACAAATACTAGGTTAATAAAAAAATTTTTTTAATTGGACACAATAAAAAAATCTACATCCTCCTTTCTGCGACTAGATATTTGAACTTCACCTTTATTTTTGCCCTAGCCAGCTAGGAGGAAAAAAAAATCCATTTGGGTCATGGTAGAACATTAAATAAAAATCAGAGTGCTCTCTGTTAAACAGTCTAACAGTCACATCAAGGGACAAAGCTGCCACGCTGCAATCTGAAAAATATGTTAACTCTACCTCAGTAACACCATTTTTGAAAAAAGAACTTTACTAAAACAGATTAGGTAGAACAAACACTTCTGAGATGTTTAAAGCAATCTAAACAAACAAAGCACAAACAAAGGCAATCACACAGTAAAGCACCAAAGAAGGGAATTTTCAAACTAGTAACTCATACAAACTCTGATGGAATAAAGTCATAATTATAAGCCTACATTGTCACGTAACATTAACTCAACCGAATGTTGTCTGTCCAGGGAACTGACAGGTTAGCTCAGGAAATCAAAGCACAGAAAGCTTATGTCTTAATCCCAAAGACAATTTCTCAAGTTCTAACTGAAGGATTAAGAAGAAAAAAGCATTTTTCCTCACTGCCCATCCCCCCTTTCCATCTCTACTCTTTTTCTCCTCCCACTCCCTGATTGCTGTGTGGCCTTGCGTCTCCTCTTCTCTCAGCACAAACTTACTTTGTACAGAAAATCACTTGGGAGGCCTATGCAACGTCTGCTTAGCCCACTGATCAATACGGAAAGGTGACTTTCTCATTTCCACTTGGACGGGAATAATGTGCAGCGGCGCCAATCCTCCAATCAAAGTGCTCTTTTATCACAAACCAAAGGAAATAGGTCTATGACGCAAAGACCATACTGTTCATACTGTGTGTAAAAGATAGTAAAACAGTGTTGCAGCTAATTTGTTTAGGTACAGTCAAATAACGATAATCAGAGAGTAGCCATTTTTTCCCTTTGTTTGAGAAGTGAGGATTAATTCTTTTCAGCCTCAAACTTCAGCAGAGTCTGGTTCCAGTAATGGTAGAGAACTTTTACTGGACTAACTTTTCTGATAAGAAATGATAAACTCTCGACAAAATAATGAAAACAAGTATTTGGAGAAAAACCAGAAACAGGCTTAAGCACAGGGGACATAATTCTTCAAGAGGGACGCAAACTAGGTGAGTTTTACATGAAGCCACTGGTTCCCACTTTATGGCGGTGCAGGGTGGGAGAGTTCAAGCAAAGGACAGGAGTCCTACTGAGCTGAGGAAACAGAATTTGAAAATGCCAGAGGGGCTGGAAAGCGAAAGAGAAGGAGTTGCATTAAGGAGCCCCGAATCTATACCAAATCCCCCTCAAATCCTGACTGACTCCTGATTGGTACATGGACAGCCCAAGACGCAAGAAACCCCACAGAAAGCAACAGCTGATAGATTCACGATTTGAACAGAGATTTTAGCAGAGACTTCTGGGTAGAAAGAACAGGGAATTGAAGTTCTGACAAGACAGAGGCATATGACAAACATCTGAGGCTTTCTGTTGAAATCCTAGAAGGGCCATGCCTTAGGCCAAGGGCTGGTAAGCTTGTAAAGGGCCAGACAGTAACTATTTTAGGCTTTGTGAGCTTAAGAGGCAAACTAGAGCACGTTACGTAAGTACCTATTATAACTTAAAAAAAAATAACCATTTAAAAATGTAAAGATAGTTCTTAGCTCAGGGCTGTACAAAAACAGGCAGCAGGCCATATTCTGCCCCCAGGCCACCATTTTCTAACCTCTGCCTTAAGAGGAAGGACCATGCATTCCCCCAGGACTAAGACCAAAACTACGACAGACCCACGCTACAAAGCCTAAAATGAAGCTTCCATAGGATCAAGGAGATTTAGCAGCCTGTTAGAGCATAATGCAAAACTCTTTAAAGAACAATGATATAATCCACAATGTCTGGTAGACAATATAAGATTAAATGACACACAAACAGGACAGTGTGATTCATAATCAAGAGAGGACACAGTCAATTTATAAGGGAAATAAAAGTTAATAGAAAGAGCCCCGGAAATAATCCAGATATTATGATAGTAAATAGCTATTAAAAATATTTAATTTATATGACTTAATAAAGCCAATTAGATCTTCAAAAATTTATAGGAAAGGATGAACAGAGTGGGTTCAGATAGGAAATTTCAGCAGAGAAATGGATACTCTCAATCAGAGCTAAGTGGAAATTCTAAAGCTGGAAACTACAATATCTAAATAAAAAGTTCACTAAGCTGGGCTTAATGGAAGGAAGACTGGATATAGCCGAAGAAAAAAACAATGAACTTGAAGATGGAACAATGTAAATTATCCATGTTGAAGGAGAGGTAAAAATAAGAAAAAGAAGAAAACCTCAATTCTTTAAGATCTGTGAGGAAATCCTGAATGGTCTAATTTCTATGTAACTGTAGTCCTAGAAGGAGAAGAAAGAAATAATGGGGCAGACAACCAAATTGAAAGTATAATGGTCAAAATTAAAGAAAGACTTCAAGCTATACATATAAAAAACTTAATACAAAGCAAATAAACACAAAGAATACCACACTGGGACACATTATTGTTAAGAAGCTAGAAAACAAAGAAAAAAAGAAAAAATCTTAAAAGCAGGCAGAGAAAAAGACACATTATGTTCAAGTGACACTAGCCTTCTGAGCCAAAATAATGGAAGCCAAGACATAATGGAACGACATCTTTTAAGTTGCTGAAAGCAAAAAATAAAAACTATTAAACTAGAATTTTATATCCAGCAAAAATATCCTTTAAAAAAACTGAAGACAAAATAAAGATTTCAATCAAAATTGAAATTATACTAGATGCACAGCTGAATGTGTGAAAAGCAGCAATGAACACCAGAATGGATAAATATAAAACACTATTTTTCCATTAATTTCTTTAAAAGTTGCCTAAGTATTTAAAGCAGAAATAATATTAATAAAAATAAGTAACACAGAGTAGAATTTACATGTCATGGTTCAATAAAAGGCAACAGCAGATAGGATGGGAGTGGGGAAACGCAGTTATACCACCGCGAGCATCTTACACTGTTCAGGAAATGGTATACTATTAATCCGTAGTTGGTAATGTTGATTTATGTACACTATAATCCCTAGAATAAAAATATTAAAGAAATATTGCAATATATTAGCCAACAGAGGAGATAAAGATGAAAGACTAAAAATCACTTGATTAACCTAAAGGGTGAGGAAGAATGAAGGAGCAAAAAACAGAGGAGGCAAATAAAAAACAAATACCTCGATGGTAAATTCAAACTCAACCATATTAATTACTGCATTAAAACCAAATGGACTAAACATTCTAATTAAAAGAAACTATCAAACTATCATCTGATAGGAAACAGATGAACAGAGAAAAGTAGAGAAGAATCAACAAATACATAGCTGCTTTTTTGAAGAGTTTAACAGATGTGATAAACCCCTAGGCAAGACTGATGAAAAAGAAAGCTAAAACGCACAAATGATCAATATCAGAAATGAAACAGGGAACATAACATCTGCTCTTATGGACTTCATAAGGATAATATGGTGATATTTCAAACAACTTTACGCTAACAAACTTTATTTTTTAAAAAAGATTTTATTTATTTATTTAGACAGAGAGAGAGTGAGAGAGAGAGAGAGCACAAGCCAGGGGAGGGACAAAGAAGCAGACTCCCCGCTGAGCAAGGAGCCCAACGTGGGACTCGATCCCAGGACCCTGAGATCATGACCTGAGCTGAAGGCAGACACTTCACCAGCTGAGCCACCCAGGCACCCCAACAAATTTTACTTTAAATAGAAAAATAAATTACTTAAAAATCACAACTGTCCAAAATAAATAAGAACCAACTTCATACTGTTTGCAAGAGACACACTTGTATAAAAAAGCTTGCAGGGTTACATTAATATCAGACAAGATATATTTTAAGGCAAGGAATACTAGCAGAGATAAAGGAAGGGCAGTGTACATCAGGATGCCATAAAAATCCAAAAGGTGTATGCATCTAATACTATCAATTCAGGGTACATGAAATAAAACTGTCCAAAGTAAAAGGGGGAAAGGACGAATTCTCGATTACAGTTGGAGATTTAAACTACTCCCTTAGTGGGCGCCTGGGTGGCTCAGTTGGTTAAGCGACTGCCTTCGGCTCAGGTCATGATCCTGGAGTCCCGGGATCGAGTCCCGCACCGGGCTCCCTGCTCAGCAAGGAACCTGCTTCTCCCTCTGACCCTCCCCCCTCTCATGTGCTCTCTCTCTCGTTCTGTCTCAAAAAAAAATCTTAAAAAAAAAAAATAAACTACTCCCTTAGTAACTGATAAAAGCAAAAGAGAAAAATTAGTAAAGACAGAAAAGAAACACAAATGCTATTAACCAATTTGACATAGTTGACATTTATAAAACAACATACCCAACAACTGCAAAAAATAACTTTTCTGGTGAATACAGAATTTTCAGCAACACAGACCATATTCTGAAGTGTGAAACAAGTCTCAATAAATTCAAAAGAACTAAAATCATGGAGAGCATGTTCTCAGAGTACAATGGAATTAACTAGAAATCAACTTCTAGATAAAACAAAAAAATAAAAAGAAATCCCCAAATATTTGGAAATTAAGCAACACAGTTCCAAAAAAAATCATGAGGGAAATTACAAAATATTTTGAATGGAATGATAATGAAAACATGTCAGACTTGTCTGCAGCTAAATTAGTCCTTACAAGGAAATTTATAGCTTTAAAAGCTTGTATTAAAAGGAAGGTTTAAAAACAACTGAGATACCAAGCTAGAAAAAAGTTGATCAAATTAGATCCCAGAAGAAAAAGGAAGGAAATAATTAAAAACAAGAGCAGAAATCTATGATAGAAAACAGATGAGCAAGAGAGAAAACCAACAGAAGCAAAAGTTTGTTTTTTAAAAAGTTTAATAAACTTGATAGATCCCAAGCAAGACTGATGAAAAAAAGGTGAAAAAATACAAATTACTAATATTAGGAATGAAAAAGAAGAAATAACTTCAGGTACTGCAGACACTACAGAGAATACGGGATACTGTGAATAACTTTATGCCAATAAATCTGACATCATAGATAAAAGAACAAAATCCTTAAAAAACACAATTTTCCAAAATAATGCAAGAACAGAAAATCTAAATAACACTACAATCAAAGAAATTTAAACTATAATTAAAAAACCTCACTCCAAAAAAAATTTCAGGTCTCAACAGAACAGAAAGCCTAGAAATAAACCCACAATTACATGGTCAACTAATCTTCGACAAAGGAGGCAAGAATATGCAATGGGAGAAAGACAGCCTCTTCAACAAATAAGTGCTGGGAAAACTGGACAGTGACATACAAAAGAATGAAACTGGATCGCTTTCTTACACCACACACAAAAATAAACTCAAAATGGATTAAGGACCTAATTGTGAGACCTGAAATCATAAAAATCCTAGAAGAGAGCACAAGCACCGTAATTTCTCTGACACTGATCGTAGCAACATCCTTCTAGATAGGTCTCCTAAGGCAAGGGAAACAAGCAAAAATAAACTATTGGGACTACCTCAAAATAAAAAGCTTCTGCACAGCAAAGGAAACAACCAACAAAAATAAAAGACAACCTACTGAATAGGAGAAGATATTTGCAAATGACATACCCAATAAAGGTTTAGTATCTAAAACATACAAAGAACTATATAATGAAACACCAAAAAAAATCAAACAATCCAATTATAACATGGACAGAAGACATGAACAGACATTTCCCTAAAGACATCCAGATGGCCAAGAGACATGAAAAGATGCTCAAAATCACTCATCACCAGGGAAATGCAAATCAAAACTACAATGAGGTATCACCTCACACCTGTCAGAATGGCTAAAATAAAAACCACAAAGAAACAACAGGTGTTGGCAAGGACGTGGAGGAAAAGGCACCCTGGTGCACTGTTGGTGGGAATGCACACTGGTGCAGCCACTGTGGAAAACAGTATGGAGGGTCCTCAAAAAGTTAAAAACAGAACTACCCTACGATCCAGTAATCACACTACTGTATTTACCCAGAGAACACAAAAACACTAATTTGAAGGGATGCATGCAGCCCTGTGTTTATTGCAGCATTATTTACAATAGCCAAGATATGGAAGCAGCCCAAGCGTCCGTCAACAGATGAATGGATCAAGATATGGTATTTACATACAATGGATATCACTCAGCCATTAAAAAAAAATGAAATCTTGCCATTTGCAACAATATGGATGGAGCTGCTGTGTATTATGGTAAGAGAGATAAGCCACTCAGATAAAGACAAATACCATGATTTCACTCATATGTGGAACTTAAGAAACAAAACAAACGAAGGAAAAAAAAAGAGACAAACCAAGAAATAGACTCTTAACTAGAGAGAACAAACTAATGGTCACCAGAAGGGAGGTGGGTAGGGGGACAGGGGAAACAGATGAAGGGGATGAAGAGGATACTTATCATGATCAATACTGAGTAACCTACGGAACTGTTGAGTCCCTATGTTGTACAACTGAAACTAATAGAACACTGTATGTTAACTACACTGGAATTAAAATAAAATAAAAAAATTTTCAGGTCTCAGTAGCTTCACCAAACATTTAAGAAAAAAAAAATCAGTCTTAGAGAATTCTTTCCAAGAATATAAAGGAGTGTTTCCCGACTTCTGAGTCCTATATAACCCTGACACTAAAATCTGACAAAGACATTACAAAAAAAGAAAACCAAAGACTAATATCTCTGGCAAATGTAGAAACAAAAATCCTAAATACAGGCCAAATGAATGTAGCAATACATTAAAATTTCATGACCAAGTGGGATTTATCTCAGAAATATGAGTTGCTCGACATTAAAAAGGTCAATGGAATTCACCACATAACAGAATAAAGGGTATAAAAACAGTCAGCATTTGATAAAATCCAACCTCTATTGAAGATGAAACTATCAGTCAGCAATTAAAAAAAGCTAACTCTCTCAAACTTATAAAGGGTATTTATATTTTTAAAAAACCTGCACAACTAATATCACGCTTAAGAGTAAAATACTGAGACAGTGACCCAATCATTTTAAATGAAAACCTTAAAACTTATGCTATGGACTCAGAGTCATTAAGCCAACATTCATTTCTGAAGTGTGGTCTAATTAAAAGATGCACTTAAATACTTACTGAAGTGTGTAAGCTCCTTGCTTCCATAAGTAAATAAAAATATTTACTAAGTGTTGCTATGTTTGTTTTCAGTCAAGTTGTCTGACCTGTGTTCAGTTTTTGCATCTAATCTCACAGCCCAGGAAACCTGATCACCAAATTTAACAGGATTATGTGTAAAAGAAAGATCAAGGGAAAATTACGGGAACGCCTTAAAACATTTCTGTAAGTAAAATGATGAGCTTTATGGTATGAACTTCATGACATTTTTTGCTGTTGTATTACAAGCCTTTCCCCTCTTCTCTTTCTACTTCTTGATTCTATGATAAATTACTTAATAACATTTAATAAGTAACTTAATTGAACTTTAACCATTAAATAAAAATACTGATTTTATTTTCACCTAAATTTTCATTGCAAAGGGATCATAATAAAATTTCCTGGCACAGGACCTCCTGTATGGATGTCATGTATTACCTTTCGCAGTGGTCCATACTGTTTTTTGTACTTCTTGTTCCAAGACGTTCCTATCTTTTTCAAGAGTTTCTGGCCCAGGTGATCAACAGGAATTACATTATTCTCCTCCTTTTGAAAGAAACAATCATTTAAGAAAATGTGATGAGATTTAACTGAAACATTTATGAGTTCAAAGGGACCAACAGGATTAAATCTAACTAAATGGGCCTAAGACAGCGAACACTTAAGTGGATTAACCATAATTGTTTCAAAATAAAAAATTTTTTTAAAAAGTAGATTAAGCCTCAGCGTAGAAAACTTGAATTGTGCTTTCCTGCACCAAAGCTTAAACGTTTATTTATTTATTTTTAACAATTTACTTATTTTTTTTTGAGAAAGAGAGAGAGAGAGCATGCGCACACATGAGTGGGAGGAGGGGCAGAGGCAGAGAGAGAATCCTAAGCAGACTCCCTGCTAAAGGCAGAGACCGATGTGGAGCTCGATCTCACAACCCTAAGATCATGGCCTGAGCCAAAATGAAGAGTTGGACGCTCAACGACTAAGCCACCCAGGCGCCCCAAGTTTAAACATTTAAAGAGTATCCAAAGAATATTCTGAGATTGGGTAAATTCCTGATATTTTGTGGGATTTTTACAAGAAATATTTAAGTGCGCCTGGGTGGCTCAGTCGTTAAGCACCTGCTTTCGGCTCAGGTCATGATCCCAGGGTCCTGGGATCGAGCCCCGTATCGCGCTCCCTGCTCCACGGGAAGACTGCTTCTCCCTCTCCCACTCCCCCTGCTTGTGTTTCCTCTCTTGCTGTCTCTGTCAAATAAATAAAATCTTAAAAAAAAAAAAAAAAGAAATATTTAAGTGCAAAAAAGGATTATCAATATCTCTTCTGTTTCCAAATATAAACAAGTTTTAAAAGGGAGTAAGAAGGGGCGCCTGGGTGGCTCAGTTGGTTGAGCGACTGCCTTCGGCTCAGGTCATGATCCTGGAGTCCCTGGATCGAGTCCCGCATCGGGCTCCCTGCTCAGCAGGGAGTCTGCTTCTCCCTCTGACCCTCCCCCCTCTCATGTGCTCTCTGTCTCTCTCATTCTCTCTGTCTCAAATAAATAAATAAAATCTTTAAAAAAAATAAATAAATAAAAGGGAGTAAGAAGAGGGGCGCCTGAGTGGCTCAGATGGTTAAGCGTCTGCCTTCGGCTCAGGTCATGATCTCAGGGTCCTGGGATCAAGCCCTGCATCGGGCTCCCTGCTTGGCGGGGAGCCTGCTTCTCCCTCTTCCTCTACTGTTCTCCCTGCTTGTGCTCTCTTGCTCTCTCTGTCAAATAAATAAATCAAATCTTTAAAAAGAAAAAAAGAAAAAAAAAATAAAAGGGAGAAAGAAGTGACTATTTTGGGCTGAAATGTGTCCATCCCCCACCCCCCTGCCAATTCATATGTTGACTCCTTAACCCTCAAGATTTCAACTTTGACTTTATTTGGTTAGGGCCTTTAAAGAAGTGTTGATGTTAAAAATGAGGTCATTAGGGTGGGTCCTAGTCTAATCTGATTGGAGTCAGAAGAAGAAGAAATAGACAGAGATCCTTGAGATGCGTAGGTACAGAGGAAAGGCCATGTGAGCACACAGCGAGGAGGTGGCCATCTGCCAGCCATGGAGAGGCCTCAGGAGAGAATAAACCTGCTGGCACCTTGATCTTGGACTCCAAGCCTCCACGACTGTGAGAAAATAAATTTCTGTTGTTTAAGCCCCCCAGTCTGTGGTCCTTTGTTATGGCAGCCCCAGCAGACTGATACAGTGGCCACAGACCAAGGTGGTTAAAGGACTCAGCGAGGTCCATGGTAAAGAGTTAAGAAAGCCTTTTTAAGAATGGATAAATACATGCAAGGAACTTAACCACCTTTACAACACAGCGCTAAGGAAACGTTAAAAAGTCATATACTTGAGGCATTATCAGTGTATCAATATTAGGAATGAAAAAGGGGGCATAACCTCAGGAACTACAGAGAGCAGAAGGATAACATGGGACGATAGCAAATTCCAAAAACAATACGTATGGTAAATCCCAACTCTATTTAAAAGAACAGTAATACCCCAAACCCTATAACCCAATCCCAATATATGTATATAAACACAAAGAAGACAGAATGCAAAGAATATACATCAAAGTGTTAACAATTACTGGGTACTTGGTTTATTTATACTTTTAACATATTTCCTAGTTTTTTTCTCTCAAATTTTCTACCACAAACATGAATTTTTCAGTAACTAGAAAGTCTCCAATAAACAAACTGTAAAAATAGACACAGAGAATGTCCCAAAGGAATAAGACTATGACTAGTACTGATATCAGTTCTATCCATGAATTCTCACACATATGTGTGCATATCTGAAACACACACACAAATATAAACTCTCTCTCTACCTGTAGTAAGATCACTTTCAGAATTATCAGTGGATCGTCAATCTCTTGTTCATTCTGGAGATCTTTTAAATTCACATCTGGTTTGCTTTTTTCCTCCTAGAAAGGAAAACAATAAAAATTTATCCCTTAAAAGGTAATTAACAAAATAGAAATGTTCGTGTTGTGGAAGTTTCAAAATGGAGAAATGACGATAAAAACATCGTTATAACTTATGTATACTTTGGAATTCGGCAGACCTGGCTTTGATTTCCAGCTCTGGCTGACTAATCCCCGATACGTCATTTAACCTCTCTGGCATTCTCTGTGAACGGGACCGTGAGATAACTCCCAGCACAACACACACATGGTAGGTCCTGACAGGTTCCCGGTAGGCACCACTTCAGCTGCACCCTACGAATCCTGACATGTTGTGTGTCACTGGCAAGAGCAGCTCAGTGCTCGCTTCTACTTCCTGATCGTCCAAATTTGCACCCCACTCTATGAAGTTATTAGGGAACATGTCAAAACAAGGTATTTTTATTCACTGATTTTTTTTTATACACGCCATCTTGCAAAAGTATTTTCATTTGACTTAAAACCATAAATCAAATAGACCTAATAACAAGAGACAAAAGTAATAAAGAGACAGCAAAACAAAATGGTAGACTAAATACAACTATTCTACTAAAAGATTGCTAAAAATGCTGGATAAGTAGACACAACAAAACAAACAAAGGCACTTTTTTTAAAACACACACTGAATTACCAAGAGAGTATCAGGGAAATCCTCAGAGAACAAGTGAAATGGGAACCCAGGGAGGAAATCCAGGGTAGAGGCCTCCAGCTGTCCCACCTTGCTGACACAGCTTCTACTCTGATGCTCATACAGGATGAGGTATGGGAGACAAAGTCTAAGGACCCCCCAAAGTATGGAGTTGAATGATTGGTTTTCCAAACAACCAGTTCTGTGGTCCTCTGACACCATCTGGGTCTCACAATTCAGTTCAGTTTTGATACTAACTTCATTTAGTCCTGCAAGACTGCCCCCACTTCAGACAATAGCCACAAATGGGGTCCCAGGCCATCTGCACTTCTGCCTGGCTGATTACAAATTCTAGGGTTCCTACAATTCCCACTTCAGGTTTGATAATTTCTTGGAATGGCTCACAGAACTCAGGACCTTATACACAGGACTACAGTTTAGTACAAAAGATACAAATGAACAGCCAGATGAAGAGGTACATAGGGCGAGGTCAGGAAGGGCCCTGAGAGTAGGAGCTTCTGTCCCCATGGAGTCAGGGTGGCCACCCTCCCTGCATGTGGATGTGTTCACCATCCAGAAGCTCCCTTAGCCTCCTGGTTTGAATTGTTTTTTTTTTTTTTTTAAGATTTTATTTATTTATTTGAGAGAGAGCGCGCGAGCTCGCGCACGAGCAGGGGTAGGGGGAGAGGTTCTGAGAAGCAGACTCCCTGCTGAGCAGGGAGCCCAATGTGGGGCTCGATCCCAGGACCTTGAGATCATGACCTGAGCTGAAGGCAGATGCTTAACTAACTGAGCCACCCAGGCGTACCTTGCTTCAGAGTTTTAATCGAAGTTTCAACATTCAGGCATGACTGACTGACTGAACTCAATCACTAGCTCCTCTTCCCTCCACGGGTCAGGAGCTGGGGCTAAAAACACCAATGCTCTATTCATGTGGTTGTTCCTCTAGTGACCAGCCCTCACTCTGAAGATATCTAGGCCCCACCAAGAGTGATCCCATTAGCATGAACTCAGGTGTGGTCGAAAGGGGTTCATTATGAACAACAAAAGACATGCCTATCACTCATGCCATTTCAAGGACCTCTATTCCAAGAACCAAGTATATACTTTTTTCTTTCTTTCTTTCTTTTTTTTTTTTTTTTAAAGATTTACTTATTTGAGAGAAAGAGAGAGACTGAAAGAGTACACATGAGCTGGGTTCAGAGGGGCAGAGGGAGACGGAGAGAAAGAATCTCAAGCAGACTCCCTGCTGAGCACAGAGCCCGACGCAGGGCTCAGTCTCACGACCCACGACATCATGACCTAAGCTGAAATCATGAGTCGGACACTTAACCAACTTAGCCACCCCAAGCGCCCCAAGTATATACTTTTTAAAAATTATACCACAAAGATAAATTTCAGCAGGCAGCTAGAAAGAAAGAGGTACCTACCTTCTCAGTACAAACTCGACCTAGAAAAAATCCACCCCACAACAAAGGACAATGAGGAACTGGCTTGCTTTGACCTCGATACTGGATAAAGGTAGAAAAACATTTCTAATACTTTGTCATCACAAGTAGGTCCCCATGTGGGTTCCTGGTCCAAATTTACATTAGCTGCACGGCTCTAAAACCAGTAAGTCAAGACCTGATTTTAAAGTAGGGTTGGAAGTGACCCCAGGCACGTGATAGAGGTAAACACTTTTTTCGGAGGAAGGCATTTTCAACTCAGTCCTCAAGTTACTCCAGTAAATCACATTCTTAAAAAACCAACCAAACAAGGCTATAGTCTAAAATAACAAGATCATAAGGAAGTAGGATCAGCAGATATCCAGGGGCGCCTGGGTGGCTCAGATGGTTAAGCATCTGCCTTCGGCTCAGGTCATGATCCCAGGGTCCTGGGATCGAACCCTACATCGGGCTCCCTGCTCAGCGGGAAGCCTGCTTCTCTCTCTCTTCCTCTGCCTCTCTCCCTGCTCATGCTCTCTTTCTCTGTGTCTCAGAGGAATAAATAAAATCTTAAAAAAAAGAATCAGCAGATACCCAAATCAGACCTACAAAGCCTTCAGATACTGCAATTATCAGACCAATAAAATAGCATGTTTAATATGTTTAAGATGTGATTAAGGAAAGAGATTTAAAAATGGCAGAAGGGGAGAGACAGGCCAGCACTGCCCCCTATCTGACCAGCACAGGTGACAAACAGGCCCAGTCCTCCTCCACTTCGCCAGTGTCCAACCCTGGCCTTGCTGGGACAGTAGGAACTGCTTCGGGGCTGCCTACTGGGAGCTGTTGTGAAGCCTTCTCTGACCCACTTCCTCAAATGTGCAAGAAAATGTCACTCAACCATCGATGAAGCAAAAGGTCTCTAAAGAAGCAGAAAGCAAAGATCAGGCTCCTTTTCACAGCCAGATCTAGTCACATTTTGAATAGTTAATGGCCTCCATACTAGAAGAAAGGGATCATCTTCTAGAAAAAAAGAGAAATGTTGCCTTTATTATTTTTATTGTCTTTTAAAATAAATTTTACACCCAACACGGGGCTCAAACTTACGACCCTGAGATCAAGAGTTGCACATTCTATCAACTGAGCCAGCCAGGAGCCTCTGAAATGTTGCCTTAAAAGCAGGGAAAATTATGTCCGATTGGTCACGTAAGTTATTTCTTTGCAGACAGTTCCTACTAAAGAACTCCATGAATGCAGGGAACAGCTCCTTGAAAGGGAAGAAGAAATTGCCAAACTATAAGAAGAAAGAACAATACCAGGCTATGATTAGAACATATGGAATCCTATGTCTCTGGGCGCAAGAAATCTCTCAGAATAATGGTAATAAAAAGACAGGCAGGGTCCAGCAGGTATATGTACTGAAGTTGAAATTCTTAAAGCACTACTCATTATTTGACCACCATAGAGCTCTGGATGAAAAAGTAGTGATTCTGGAAGAACAGAATAAGGAAAAAATTTAACAAACGGGATGCTTCACAGAAGGCATGAATAAGGAGAAATACTAAGCACAAATGGAAAGCGATCTTCCGATTGTTCTTCAAGCCTAGAGGAAGACCTTGCTAATGTAACAAAGCTTCAGGAACAGAGAAGCAGTGCGGAGAGCAAAACCAAATGACAGAGTGCCTGTGTGCCCTCTCGAGTCACACAGCAGACCCAGGAGAAAAGCCCGACAATGACAGAAAAGAGCAAAGTGATTCTGAGGAAGTGAACATGTAAGCGTGGAGCTGTCCAAGGAAGCACAACCCAGAACGAAGACACCGAAGAGAGAATCACCGCTCGAGACACGTGACCTCACCGCTGTACGAGGCTATCTCTGTGTGTGACCTCAGTGATGAACTGGAAAATGAAACTGCAAATAAGTATTTGATGGGTCAAAGACTGACGCTAAACCTCAGCACCTCTAAAAGTGCCGGCAATCAGACGGTGGCTGAACAAAAGCTGGAGTGGTGCTAAGGAGAGCGGAGGTGCATGCCCTGAGCTGGAAGCTGAACCAGGGCAGAAAGTGGGAGTCCTTTCTCAGACTGAAGAGACAGGGCAACACTGGAAAAAAAGGTTACACAGATGAAGGCATACCTGGAAAAAAAAAGCCAAGACTACAGTGGGCAAGGCGAAGAAATGAACCACATAATATTTATTAGACCTGTTTACAAGCTTATATCGGCATCTGAGAAAAACCTTCAACATCATTTTTTAGGGAAAGTGAAATGAAGCTCAAATAATTGTCTGAGAAGGGCGGGGAGAAGGCTGCTCTAGAGAACCCGAACTCTCTACTACAGGACCCTGGAAATAGGAAAGCAGCGAAGACAGGCAGCCTGATAGGAATCAGCTCCAACTAAGCACAGAAACCTTGAGGGCCAAATGAGACCAGATGAGGGTAGGAGACCTTCCCTTGGTCTGAATGGGAATGTGTCCCACAAACCAGCGTCTTGGCAAACGTGGCACAAGCATTTGGGAGTGAGGTGTGTACGGCATTCTCGGCCGAACGAAATGGAAGGTAAAGGACTGGGAAGGGTGAAACAAAACAGTCTTTCTCCAAAGATGTCTGCAGCGTAAGAAGGTTTAGCAAGATGGCTGATTTGTAAAATCAATAAACGAACGGTAACTGCATTTCATACACCAGCCACAAATAGTCCAAAAAATATAAAGTTGAGACACAGCCCCACAGAACGTCTCCCTGGTAAATACCAAACAAAAAGTTTGACTTTTTAAATATCCATATACTTTTTAATACCAAAGTACAATGGACGGAGCATGAGAAATGCAAACGGATGTTCTGAAAAGCAAACAATGCCAACGAAGAGAAGATGCATCTAGAACACTGTTGTCACCCAGAGAAGCTGTATTACTATATGTGGTGCAACTACTGTTAACAAGAGCACCTGACAGTCGGGAAGATGTCATAAGCATTCTACATCCTCCCACCATGGTCTGTAACGTACAGACGGAAATTTCACTGTGTTTTAGGTACATGTTAGACAACTGGTTGAGAGTTTGGGGTTGGTGTGTAACACACTTTGATTCTTCCCATTGCAAATAATTGGAACTAGACGTTCAGGTAGCGCTCTACCTCAGAACATCTGCAAATTCTTAAGAGAATTGCAAAGCTTTTTCAATAAGAAGCTCTAAAATATGAAAAGATTTATCTGACTTATAGATGTAGGTTCAAAATTCTACTTCTGAGAATGGGTGTTGTGTGTTTGTGAACACTGACAAGCTGACTCTAGAAACGGTCACAGAAGAATAAAAGGCCAAGACACTCCTGAAGAATAACACCACATAGGGACACTTGCCCTACCAGATATCATGACTGCTATAATGCTACAGAAATTAACAATGTCGGGGCGGGTGCCTGGGTGGCTCAGTTGGTTAAGCGACTGCCTTCGGCTCAGGTCATGATCCTGGAGTCCCGGGATCGAGTCCCACATCAGGCTCCCTGATCAGCAGGGGGTGTGCTTCTCCCTCTGCCCTCTTCCCTCTTGTGCTCTCTGTCTCTCATTCTCTCTCTCTCAAATAAATAAATAAAATCTTTAAAAAAAAAACCCAAAAAACAAAAAACAAAAAAAAAACCAATGTCGGGGTGTCTGGGTGGCTCGGTCGTTAAGCGTCTGCCTTCGGCTCAGGTCATGATCCCAGGGTCCTAGGATCGAGCCCCGCATCGGGCTCCCTGCTCAGTGGGAGGCCTGCTTCTCCCTCTCCCACTCCCCCTGCTTGTGTTCCTGCTCTCGCTGTGTCTCTCTCTGTCAAATAAATAAATAAAAAATCTTAAAAAAACAAAAAACAAAAAACAATGTGGTATTGGCCTAGGAATAGAAAAAAGGAACAATGAAACAGAATAGAGGGGCCCCAAAGGACTCATACATAAATAAACAATTGATATAACAGAACTGGCACTGTGGATTGGTGGGGAAAGAATGGATTATTCAATAAATGGTAATGGGCAACCGGGTTAAAAAAAAAAAGAAATCATACCCCATTCACAGGAAACCATTCCAGAAAGACTGAGAAGTTTAAAATGTAAAAGGCAAAACTATAAAACTTTTAGAAGACAGTATAGGAGGAAAATCTTCATCATCTTTGGCTGGTGCCACGAAGGACAAAGAGAAGCCGAGGAACGGTTATTGATTACAGGAGATCTAAGAGATATGCTAACTAAATATAATGCAGGACCCTGCACTTGGCACTAGAGTGGGGAAGAAAATGCTGTAAAGGATCTGATGAGACAACTGGTGGAGTCGGAGTATAAACTCTTTATTAGAGAGTACTATTTCAATGCGGGACTTTCCGATTTTGATCTACGCTTACGTAAGGGAACACCCTTATTCTCAGGAGATAAACACGGAAGTATTTAGGGGTAGAGGGACCTGATGTCTTCAGCTTAATTTCAGATGGTTTAGTACTCATAAGATAACATTAACTGTGTGTGTGTGTGTTTGCACAAACTTGGCAAATCGTTAACAACTGAAGGATGCAGGTGAAGAGTATCCATAGAAGGTGTTCCTACGCTGCCGGTTATTTTTCTGTAAGTATGAAACTATTTAGAAATAAAAACTTAAAACTAACTGTATCGACTTTCCATGCCTATAAAAATTTCTGAGGGTAAATACACATAACTATGGCAAAAGATGATCCTCACCAAAGTAAGACCAGAACTAATTTCTATGCTTACCTGGGATTGCCAGTTTCCCAGATGATCGACATCTTTAACATACACGTGGTAATGTCCTCCATAGCAACCACCTTTATGTACAATAACTGAGAAAAGGTCATAGACATACTCCAAGTCGTCCGAGTCATTCTGTGAAAAAAAGAGCATAGACAGTGAGAGTTTACGTAAAATGGGAAGATACATGACCAAAGAGAAGGAAGAATTTCAACTATGAAAATGTTTATTATCATTATTTAGGGGTAAATTAAGATAAATTTGAGTAATTGGCTTTAAATTTAAAAATTTTCAATTCTTAGATTGAAAACTATCATTCATCTAATACCAATCACACAACAACCAAGCGAATTCTGCCTCTTAAATATGAAAACACACAAAATGTTATTTTTATGTACTTTGGCTAAGATCGTGTACACCAAAGGGCTAATGAAACACACTCCCCAATGCGTCTGCGATAGTTTTAGCAAGAGAAAACCATCTTTGTATTATACCTACTATGCTGCTTTAGAAACGTGTTCTTTAGCTGTTGAATTTGTCCCATACTCCAACATGGGCCTCAGAGTCAGAGCCACATCCACTCTCACCCCCGACACTGCACTCCACAGCACAGGAATTAAGCAATTGTGAATACTAGCTGTTTGTTTAGAGGCAGTTTAGTGGGATGAACAGGTTTCTTCTATGATCAATCTTTTCTATAATTAACGTGCTCTATAATTATGACTGACCCAACTGATGAACACTTATACTGGCATTAAAAAAAAAATCTACTTTAGGTTAAGAGATACTTTGCATGTGAACATGCTACTTGAAGGGTGCCAATTATCGAAGAAACTTATTTCCCTGAAACACTGTACTTTTATTTTTTTGTACTTTTAAAGTAAGTAGTATTTTTAAAATGTCTGGCTCAGGCAAAAGAGAGATGAACAAAGGTGCAAAGTGACAATTTTTTTCATGAATACAGAAATCAAAAAGTAAAATTATGGTCAATTTCTTAGCTAGTGGCGCAATGGTTCACCTATTTCAATTTTGTAATTTCAAAGTATGTTAAGATAATGTGACAAACTACTTCTTTTTATTTTTTATTTTTTTTGAAGATTTTATTTATTTATTTGACAGAGAGAGAGACAGCGAGAGAGGGAACACAAGCAGGGGGAGTGGGAGAGGGAGAAGCAGGCTTTCCGCGGAGCAGGGAGCCCCATGCGGGGCTCGATCCCAGGACCCCAGGATCATGACCTGAGCTGAAGGCAGACGCTTAACGACTGAGCCACCCAGGTGCCCCAAAACTACTTTTTTTTTTAAAAAAGCTAAAATTTTTCCATACGAGATGATACATGTTAACTAAATCTAGTGTGGTCATTTTGCAATATATGTAAATCAAACCATCATCCTGTACATCTTAAATGTACAGTGATGTCTGTCAATTATTTCTCAACAAAACTGGAAAATTATAAAAGAATTAACTCAGTTATCCTGAAAAAAAATTTTTGTTGTTGTTGTTTTTAAGTAGGCTTCATGCCCAGCATGGAGCCCAATGCAAGGGCTCACAACCCTGAGATCAAGACCTGAGCTGAGATCAAGAGTTGGATGCTTAATCGACTGAGCCACCCAGGCGCCCCCAAAAACTGTTTTATTCAGGCAGTAAATGGGGGAGGGTATATTAACTTACTCTGGAAAAACTGCTCATTCTTTATGTGTCAATCAAACAAAACCCAAAAAGCTCAGCTATCAGGCTTGAAGGAGAAGGCGGCCCATCCAAACGGAAGAATAAAGAAAATATAATTTTTATACAAAGAAACTCAATAGCTACTTAATAAATGTTCTTTCTGGTCTTGATAAACATACAAATAACGATTTGTAGTAAGAAATGCAGGAGTCTCATGACTCTGATCTTGGCATGTATAGCGATTGTGTAGAAAATATTTTAAAATGGCTTATGAAGGACATTGCATAATTAATGTGTTTTCAAAACTTTCCTTCCTGTATCTCAAAGATTATAAATTCTAGCAAAATTCCAATCACCTATTCACTTTCTAGATGTGTAATTCATTATTGCATCTCATGTAAACTAAATCCAAATAATAAGGTACTAATTAATGGTCATTTCTCCTAATGTTGGGTCATTTCTAATTTTGTTCTTAAGTTTTCTTTTCAAAGATTTTTCAAGGAGAGTTTAATAAAAAGAACTGAGAACAAATCTGTACTTTGGAAACTCAAAAGGACTGTAATAAACCGGCAGTTCTCAGCTGGGACTGATTTTATCCACGCTCTCCCCCAGGAGACACGGACACTTGGTAAGGTCTGGACATTTTTGTCACTACTGGGGGTGGGGTGGGAGGGTGGGATGCTATTGTCATCTAGCGGGCAGAGGCCAGGGATGCAGCTTACAACCCTACAATGCATGGGATACAGCACCCACAACAAAGAATTACCCAACTCAAAATATTAACTGTGCCAGGTTGAAAGATTCTGCAATAAGCCAACCGAAAATGAGGCCAATAAAAGACCCTATCTTGAGAGGAGAAAAGAAAGAATTTCACAATAAAATAATTCAAACCTGTTCACAAAAAGGCTTGAGATTGATCCGGAGAGGGAACGTGTAACAGCTAGTTTCCTTGTATCGTTCACGCTTCACAAAATCAAAATTAAATCTTAATAATGAAACAGTAAGAAAGGGAGGCAGCTTACGTAATTTGGCCGACTGTTGAAAGAAAAATTTTTACAGTTGTTTTAAAAGCAGAGTTATAGAAAAGAATACATAATGTTTCTTAAGATATGAAAAAGCAACCTGTGATGCAGTTTTAAGAGAAACGTATCCTTCAATCACATAAATTCATCATCTTGGATTCAAGTCCGCTCTTGATATGAATTCATCTCTTTTATGGGACCAAAAGTGATATTGCTCATTTATGTTAACAACTAAAAATTTACAACCCAAGTTCATGTTTTTAGTGTTGATATCCTATCATCAAAGCTATCCGACAAGCGTGTTGTAACTGGTGCTCCCCCTTTTAACACTGCTCCTTCCCTGTGTGAGTCCTGGCCTCCTCGGGGCCTCCACTTGGCCTAGCACACGGTCCTTTTATTTACTGAAGGACTGGAGCTCTTCACCTGGGACCTATGGACCTATTTCAGTGGATCTGAACCCTTGAAATTACATGGTCTGCGTACTTGTATTTTTATGGGGAGAAGATCCACAGTTTTCATTAGACTTTCAAAAGGCTCTTACTCCCCAAATGTTAAGACCCATTGATTGGGGTTTTATAATGACTGTCCTTAAAAGCAGGTAAAAAAGGTTTTTTTTATTTCCCTGCTTTAAAACAAAATGCTAGATGATGCTGCGTTTTATTTAAAAGTCATCAGCTTCCCAACCCCTTAACACTAATGGTATGTTGGGTATGGAGTGGCAAAAAAATCCTTTCCATCTATAAAATTGTCCTTAATTATAATATTATCCTTACATATAAATATCTAACATTCCTAAAAAGGAATTTAAAACAATTCCACAAATTGGGGGTTAAAAAAAAGTTAAGTGAAAAAACAGCAATGTAACACGGCAGATTGTCCAATATGTTGACAATATGAGATACCCAAGTATCTCATCTATACTACAGCTGAGAAAAGTCTGCTCAGAGTAAGAAAACCTACATTAATTTAGGTAGCACAACAAATGGAAATTTAGGATGCAATTTTAAAAGTATTGAGATGAAAAAATTTCCACTGAAAAAGAATTAAACCAATAACATAAAAAGTACATGCCAAGAACTGCTTTCGTTGAGCTAAAGGTTCTTGTTTTACTAATGTGCAAATAAGTTCAACCAAAATTAAGAATGTATTTAAGTATCCTTCCAAGACTTTTCATCTTCTGAATTTTATATTTATTAGATTGCAGTTTTAACACCAAAGGTGAAATGCAAAATCGATAAGCGAAAGATAAACCTATTTGCGTGTCACAAAAAGGCAAAGGTTGGATGGAAATACACATTAAACAGTGTAAAATTACCCTGGTTTCCAATCCTATTGTGAAAGCTACAGGCATGGAGTTTTTTTTTAACATTCTCCCCTACAACCTGCAGGATCTAAATCGATATGGTATGTTCTATGAATCAGTCCTCATTCTGTTTGTTGGAAAATTCAGTAACTGTCAACTCTAGGAATGGTGCTCTCTGTTACAGGTAACTACAAAGACCCATCTTTTGTGGGAGCTCTACAAGCCGGTGCCCACTAACCACCGACTGGAGAGCCCATCACATCATCCAGCAGCAGTGGAATAGTTAAGTTACTAAGGCCTGCCTTCCTCTCATCCCTGAGTAAGAAACCCACAGGTACCCTATCAGGCCCTTTAATCGGCAAGATGAGAATCCCCACTGGGGGAGGCAGAAGGGGCGTATTAGACTTGCTAGTCAGGGAGGGTGTACCTGTCAGTATTGTAAAGTAACTCCATGTGCAGAAAACGAAGCTGTTTTCGCAGTACTAAGCAAAGAAAGGAAAGCTCAATGAGCTTCTTGGCAGAAATAAAAATCCATTGCCTTCTTCCTTATGTTAGTTTGCAAAAAGCAAACCAAGTTGCAAACCAACTTTTTTGCAAACCAAGTTTGCAAAACCAAGTTTGCAAACAACTTGGTTACTTGTTCCTAGAGCAGAACAGGGGAGTTTATTTTAAAAAAAGGCACATTTAAGAAACACTGAAGTACACATAAATTTTTCCTGGGACAGGAAGAAGTTGAGAGACCTGTTGGGTTGAAAGTTTAAAAACATTCTTGATTGCAAAAAATTAAAATACAGATATATGTAGAAAGTTAACTGTCTTTTCAATCCTTAGCTGCAATTAAGAGGTTCATGTGTATCTTCCAGACTTTCTCATACAAGCGGACTTCACCTGGCAAACCTTCATGCTACCAAGTACTGAGTGGGCCCCTGGGAGAAGGCAGTATCTGTCTTACCTTCGCAGCTTTAACCAGCCTGTCACAAGTCCCACAGTGGTATAAGTTGTCACAGTCAAACATTTCCTCTTCTACATACATGGTCCAGAGGGCATCTTCCAAACCTGACACATTTTTGACTGCTACTGTTAGATCTAAGAAGTCTTCCTGAAATACACATGAATATAATATTGAAAAAACAATTCCACAGTGGTTCACGAACACATCACCAACTCCCACATATACTGGGAATAACAGTAACTTTTCCTTAAAACACCGTATGTGTGAAGGTATAGACCTCCCAATCAGATACTGTGAAATTGATCACACATAATTACCCTAAAACAAATTATAATTTGGCTTAAGAATACATCAGGATTTTCTTAAGTTCGTTGTAGCTATAATCAAACCTATTTTAGCAGGAACTAAAACAAACCACCGAACACACATCTGAACTGGTAAGTGTGTGGTGCTTATCAGTTCTGTCTTAGTCATGGGCAGGGCTGGAGTCTCTAGTGTAAACCCCACTTCCTCCTCTTCTTCTGCTAGGGCTGGCTTAAGATATACTAAGGGAAGTTGTAAGAAAAAAATTGTTTTGAGCCAGGATTAAAAGGTATTTTTATAAAAATTAAGAGGAGAGCATTTTGCAAACAGGAGTCTATCGACTCTAACTACATTTGAATTATAATTTACTTATAGTAATAAACACTTAAAATCTGACAAGTTTAAACCATTCAGTTTTGTGTGTGTGTGCATTAGCATTACTCTAAAGGGTTATTACAGGGACTGTAAAATAATGAGTTCTAACTAGTTCGTGGTGGAAATCTAAATACAAGCAACATATACAGTTTATAATATGTATGTATGAAAAGTTAAAGTTGATAATTATGTGCCTTCATATACATTATTTCTTGAAATTTCTTTGTGATTATTACAGTATAGTTAAGTCAATCATATGGTAATCCAAAGACACACAACGTCTTAATATTTCCAAACTAGGCTGACCAAACTCTTTAGTAGCACAGGCAAAAGGACCAAAAAGTATTTTTTATTCCCAAGTCTTTCATAAAAAGCAGAAAAAAAAATATTTGTATCCAAAAAAGCAATTAATGCAAAATTTAGAAAATGGCATTTGATTTTTTACCCATAGTCAATCACAGCAATTTTCTATAACTCTTGCGATAACAAAAGGAGATTTTCATTAAGGGACAACTGTTCAGTGATGCAATCATGTGCTGTACAAGATTTATAGAGCATGTGGAGATTATTCTATTTCGTCAGTAAATTTCCGATTTCTAATTTCCAATGAGATTAAATGGACAACATAACCTCACACACGTACAAATGAACTTTCTGAAGGACATTAATAAACGAAATCCAGTATTTAATTATAGATGTTTATCAATGTAAACATTCCTTAGTATGCTCTATTTTTATTACTTCTTTAATTAACTTTTGTTGCAATACTCCCACCAACCATGATACTGGCTTTTCTCATGAGGGCACAGACCTCTACCTATAAACATCCCCCAAATTTATTTTCTGAATATCAGAGAACTGAATAAAAGATTAAAGCTATGCTTTAAGACATTTGCTTCTTTCAGTTTATATGAAGAAATCTGGATTATAAATTTAGGATTGAAGTGTAGTTAGAGTAAAAGAAAAAAAACCTGATAAGGTTATTTCTAGTAATAAACACCTTGCTCCTCACATGGTGTTACAGATCACAGATTTAATTATGTGCGTTATAACTTACGATATAACTTATTACTACAACACACTTGCATATTCACCTGCTTTTCACTGACATTCTTACACTCTTTACAAACAACCTGGTTAACAACGGTTCCATGATACAGACGATTGATGAGGTCATGGCCGGAGGTCCCGACTAAAGAAGTTTCCAAAGCACTAAAGAGAATTCGATTCAGTTCCTGCACATCATGTTGCCTCATTTCCTATAAAACAGGTAACTTTTAAATGTAATTTTGTGCTTCAGATTCTTAAAAACAGATTTTTAAAATGGTATTGGTTACAAAACACAAGATTTATCTAGAAATCCAAAGGTAAGCCTTGATCAAATATTAAGGATGACTAAGCTAAACAAACCGAGATCAGGTTAAGAGATCACCACTGCTCTTAGTTTCGCTCCAAAATGAAATATGAACAGGTGGTGTTCAGGGTGCACATATAACTCAACTCACTCGCAACAGGAAAGTGCTTTTATTCGTGTGGGAAACCACACACATGGCCACACCACAGAAGCAGAGGAGTGAAGAACACAACAGGCACAGAGCAGTCTCTCAGAGCTGGCAACATCTCACTTACATCAGGGGATCTGAATTATCAGCATTTGAAAAGAACCAGAATTTACTCCTTACAGATATAAACCAAGTAACACAGAGATGAGAAAAATTCTGATGGCACTCGCTTCACTCCACCACGAGTCATGCGACTGTGTGAGAACACACTGAATGCCTTAAGAACGACTGATAAACCAGAGCCAAGGGGGACACCAACACTCAGAAGTGGAGCAGAGGAGGAAGAGCAGTGGGGGGTTGGGGGGGGACTGGGAGATGAGGTCACGAACAAGTGCTGACTTGTACCTTGAAGAGTGAATCTCATGGCATGTGAATTGTATCTCAACAGAGAGGCCATTTTTAAAACAAAGAAGGAACAAGTGGAAGCTGGTGCTTTGATGGGGTGGGGGGGTGGGGAGGGGTGGTGAGTGCCCCTGCGAGCCCGCTGAGAGCACAGAAGTCTCTCCTAGAACTTGGCACATGGATGTCATGAGTGACTTTGACAAGAAAGGCAGAAAGGAGGTACATGAACAAATGAAAGGTGCAGAAGTAGAGACCATGAGGGAAGACAATTTTAAGGAAAAGTGTCATGTGAAAAGAAGCTGATAAAGTGGATGAAAGCTGGAGCAAGAAGTGGGCCTCAGGATCTTTTTTCTTGTTTTTCAACATACAAGACTTAGACTAAATTTCTCCTGTATCACTGCCTCTGAAGGGAACCTGTGCAAGTTTTCAAGCTCTGTTTCTGAACAATTCTAAGTTTGGCAAAGGTGTCTCTGAGTCCCTCTCTACCAATCCTAGCAGGTTTCCTGAGAGATTTTATTTAGAGATTAATAAATAAGGTTTTCACTGCTTTAAGAGTATGAAATCAGCAACTCAGTGGAAGCTCATGATCAAAACTGAAAATCCATCAGCTGATGACGAGATTAAAAAAAATGTGGCCTATCCCTCCAGCAGGATGTTACTTGGCAATAAAAAGGGATGGAGTGCTGATTCATACTACAACATGCTTGAATCTTGAAAACATGATTTTAAGTGAAAGAAGCTAGTTTAAAAAGATCTCATATCGTATAATTCTATTTCTATTTCTGTGAAATTCACAAAAAAGGAAAATCTGGGAAGGTAGAAAGGTGGTGAGTGGTTGCCAGGGTCTGGGGCGGGGGGAGAGTGACTGCTAATGGGTATGGGGTTTCTTTCTGGGGTGATGAAAATGTTCTAAATTGACTGTTATGATGGTTGTACAACTCTGTGAATATACTGAACAAATGCTGACTTGTACCCTGAAGAGTGAATCTTATGGCATGTGAATTGTATCTCAACAGAGAGGCCATTTTTAAAACAAGGAAGGAACAAGGAATTAACCCTAAGCACCTGCCCTACACCAGAAATTCAACTGTGTGATACCCCATTTTCTTCAAAGCTTAAGCCCTACCTCTTCGACCTTGTCTGGTTTAGGAGTGTTCCTCATTAGAAGACCACACTGTAAAGTTTACTTTGAAAGCAATATAACATTATTCTGGTCATTGCCTCTTTAAATTCTGTGATAGTCTCCCACACCTTTCTCTTTCAAGAATACATGTAGTCCATAAAAAAAAATCGCAGCTCATCAATATTGACAACAAGCACCTTTACTCACTGTTGACATGTTCAGTGTTTGCATATAGTGAAGTACTCTTTAGAAACTCCAACAGAAAATCAGAGAACGTCCACACACAGGAAGATACAGGAAGAAAATGAAGAGAGTCTGGAGAAAAGCAGGACAGGGAAAATGCAAAGACCTGCCAAGAATGTTTTTACCCTTTTGCTTGAAGCGAGTGTTCCAATGAGAATACCCAGACCCAAACACAAAAGCACGTCATAAAGGCAGACAGAATTATTGCCAGTCGGCTTTCTGAGCTGATTAGCAGTTTGTTATATAAATGGTAATTTGCATGTAGTAGATGTTGTATCCCAACTAGACTATATAAAGGGTAGAAATCGTAAAAACCAGTTCTTCTACTTCTCCCTCTATCTACAACCCTCTCTCCCATGCCAAATCATACCCATTCATAAAATCCTGCACAGGGCAAGTGTCTAGAAATATACCTCTGGCTTGCAGTTATTGAACATGAGAAGTAAATATTTAAACTATTTCTTCAGACCCTAAGACAAAATTAACGGAAGTTAGATAATGTTATTAAACCAGTGTTTACTCTTTATTGCTGGTAACTTTGTTCCTTGGAGAAGCTGATCTTCGTACCTCATTGCTGGTCCACCCGAAGCTGTCAGTGAGGTCTGCTGTGGATGCTGCATCCTGGTCTAAGAGCAGAAGCTGGGCAAACAACCGTTGTAACTGTAAAGGTATGATCCGAACCTGATCGAGAAGCAGATGCATTTCTAAATGAAATCTGTTCACATCAGTTGGAGTGTTTTATTTATTTATTTATTTATTTATTTTTTAGTTGGAGTGTTTTAAAAGAACTGCCGACTAGTTTTCTCCTCTTTCCTAGTTCATTCAGTTCAATCTGGAGGAAGTTTAAAACTACTACACAGGATGAAGTAAGATTCACTTTTCTTCTAAAATTCTAATTCAATCCAAAAAGTTTTAGCTATCTGGAGTTTTCTACCTTGACACAGTACAGATCAATGTGAACACCCCCGTAGGCCCTAAGAAACCACCCGACTGATTGCTGCCAACCATTTCAGTCTCTGCTAGTTCACTCCTTCTCTGAAACCTCTCAGAGACCCACTCCCTGTGAGGAAAATTCCAGTCACGACTCTCACTTGCTGTGGAGTCTGGAAACCTCAGAGAGCTGGATGCACCTGCCTCACGGTCTTCCTGCTTTATCTGGTGTGGGGAGGGTTAGAGCAGGCAGAGAAGGGTGCTCAGAGCCTTGTGGGCAGACTGGACTTTCATATATAAAGCAAGAATAAGACTTTAGACACTTCTATGGCAATTTGACATTAGAGTATGATCTGCAAGAGACTGGGAAGAAAAGGAAATACACAAAAATTGGCTCTTTGCAGCACAGGTGGTTTGAGAAGAGCTGGGCCAGATTACAGAAGACTTTTTTAAAAAGATTTTATTTATTTATTTGACACAGAGAGAGAGATCACAAGTAGGCAGACAGGCAGGCAGGCAGAGGGAGAAGCAGGCTCCCCACTGAGCAGGGAGTCCGATGTGGGGCCCGATCCCAGGACCCTGGGATCATGACCTGAGACAAAGGCAGATGCTTAACCGACTGAGCCACCCACCCACCCCACAGAAGACTCCTATTAAGAAACGCAGATTTTAGCCTGAAAGCAATAAACTTCTGAATGGTATTTAAAGCCAGGAAGAAGATTAGATATGTACTTATAATAAACCAATTCCTCACTCAGCTTATTTCCAGAATATCAAACTGAAAGAACACCAGTCTCTACTTTTAGTTGTTGTTACAAATCTGTGCATTAAGTAGATTTCCTGGTAGGCTAGTGTGGGCCAGTTGCAAATACCTTCTTGACCAAGCTAGGTCTATAAAGCAGTACCAGCACTATATTTGAAGTAATTCTTTTTTGAAAAGAAGATTCCATTCAGTCCCACATATAGGCCAAGTCACTTCTTGAAAATAAAGATTAATATTTGGGAATTAATCAAATTATGAATTTCTATGAATAAGGAACTCAGTTCCTTCCTTAAAAGACATTTCTTTAATACTCCAAAAAAAGACCCTGTAAATCATAGATTTAATACCTTTGCATCAGGTTTATCCTTATCCTCGAATGAACCAAGCTCTTCTGGGCCAAGGGAAAATAAAGCTTCTAAACAAAACGTAGAATCAGAGATATAAATGATGTTATTTCATTTTAACAAAGTGTTTTAGAAAGCCAAAGCCTCCAGTAAATAAAATCAGTTAAAGATTCAGAAGCATGACTGTGGCAGTATTTATACTGTTACTCTACCCATTTTACTTCCTGATAACATTACTTTTAACCACCGACTCAATATAAAGTGGCATGCTAAGGTTTCAGTACAGAAGATCTATAAAAGGAAAACTATGCTTATAAAAGTAAAAACAGTAACATCAGAAATCTTTGATGGCTTCCTATTGCCTACGACAGTGGGTCCCAAAAGCCACATGGGGAAATATACAATATGAAATAGTGTCATGTGTGTTCATTCACAAGCCACATGTGAGGCTTCCAACCATCCTTTCGAGAGAAAGGTCACCTTTAACTCTCAACGCCCTTACTTTTTTCGGTATAAGAATGTCTTTTCTGTGTTAAGGGTAATAACAGATGGTAGTGACCTTACCTGGAACAATAAGTTGGTAACCCAGGGCCAGTCTCCACAATTGTTTTATACTCCCAAGTCTACGCATGCCACTCACTAGGGCGTATCAGAATCTTACGGGAAGTCTGTATTCAAACCAGCTGTGAACTCCTACTACGAAACTTTGATCTACTCTAGGGAGAGAAGGGATGGGATGGGTACTGTGTCCCTCTGAAAACCCCGCTGCCCTGCTTATGAATGTTATATTCCTCCTAAGCTCCTGGCAGGAACTGAGAAGAAATGAACTACAAACATAAAGCTTAAAGCATAAAACCATACAAGGACTTTTACAATTATTACCCAGTACTCTCAGCCACCCTGACTAGTACAGTGGAACCCAATCCAGCCCTACTCAAGATACCATCCCAAAAAGTTCCAGAATTCTCCCCACCAGTACTCTGCCAATTCTTACCCCTTCTAAATTATATCTCCCCTTCAATAAGCATCAGGATTCCTACGAAGCCTTATATGGAATGCACAGCCCACATTAAGATACAAGCCCACGTGCTTGGCCAGCGATCTCCTTTGCTGAGAGTAAGATGGCCTGGGCTCTTGCTCGGTAGCCTTCTCCATTCAGCCCTAACCTTGCTCAGTGGCCCTCTGTATAACCTGGACCGCTTGCCCACCAATCACCTTTCTCAGTCTCTTTTAAGGCTAATTTGCTACTTCAACTATATTAAAACTTGGAAAAATTTAACTCTCCCTAGTAATCTGTTGAAACGTATGTTGAAAATTTCTAACAGTGGAATAACTGAATACGTTAGGGAGAGATTTTTACGGAGAGGATGGCGTCAAGGACAAATGCCACCATTCTGAAATTCCACATGCAGCTTAATCCATTAGAATGGCCCCGGGGAGGGGATAATGGTAAATATTTACTAAATCTCTGGAGGCAGGAAGTCTTTCTAAACTTAGAAGCAAACAGAAAATGTCAAAAAATTTGCCAAATTTCGTAGTGATGGGAAGACGGATGAGATACTGGATACAGGATGAGCCAAGTTGTCTGTCCTCAGTATAAGGAGACACTGTGGAGAGCTGAGCCAGTCATGCAGCTTTGTGGCTGAAGGCCCCAGTCAGGGCCATGTAAAGGTAATGTTCATACTGAAATCAAGGGATCAAAGAGACTAAGACCCTTGTGGAGGAAGCTAGTTTGCAGAGACAGGAATGGGACAAACAGAGAGAAAAACAGGGGCAAGAAATCAAGGCTCCAATGAGGTCAGGCTGGCTTCCTGTAGTGGTCTCAAGGAGATTCCCCTATATTCTTACAGTAAATCCCCCTTTTAATTGAGCTGATACAAGTGGGTTTCTGTTTCTTATACATAGTCCCTTATCTGACATCTTGGGCCTTCGGACTTTGCAGATTTTAGAAAGGTAATATGAAGAAAGGGTCACAGTATGTTAACATTACATTCCCAGCAGGGTTTGGGATAAACAGTATCCATTAATCAAGGAGTTAATATTCCTGTAATAAATGTATGAATATCCACCCCAGTGAGAGAACTAAGACTATAAACAGCCTCATATCAGGTCAGGTTCTGATGCCAAACCAGTTCAGATCAGGTGTCGGAACATTCTGGATTTCAGAATTGCAGATAAATGATTGTGGACTGTATAAATAATGTGACGCCCCGTCCCCACTCCAAAAGGCAGGACAGAATTGTTTTGGGTAACTCTGGCTGGAGTGTTTATTACTTTAGAGAAATTTTAAAACTAAAAAAAAAAAATAGCATAACAATAACGAAGGCTGGCAAAAATCTTTATGTTGTATTTTAAATTACAGGAATTAGAAAAGAAATCGATTGCCTTATTTTTTGTTACTAAAAATTACTATGCTTGCAGAGTATATATTTAATTCAAGCTTCACATTTCCCTACAGAGAAAATGAGCATTTCTTACATTAGCAACAATAAACGCATACTGGGGAATACACCTTTAAGATAATTTGTAATTTTGCCTAATTGATTACATGTAGAGATAAGGGTACATATTACTAATCAAAAGCATGTAACACAGCATACCTCTGAATTCAGGTGTGAAATGAAGAGTCTGAAGAAGGGAATTGAGGTAACAGGTTCCACCCTGATTTCTAATTCCGCTTAAATTGGTGAATTCTCTAGGAGCCGGTGGCTCCACAGCTTTGGTCTTTAATTTCTTCTCTTTTCCATACTGATAACTTGACACACTGGAATAATCTTCTTCAAAGAGATCCCCAAACATTGTGAAACTAGAGCCTACCCTTAAAAAAAAAATGACATGTTATACAAACGCTTTTATTTTTAAAACAAAGTTTCCACACATCTCCCAATCTTATACTTGGGATTACCTATTAGAAAGTTTATCCAGTAGTTTGGGTTTTGGAGACTGCAAGACCTGGATTTTCTCATCCTTGCTCCACAGCACCTGGGTGACCTCAGGCAAGTTACCCAACCTGTGTTCTTATATGTAAAATGGGATACCGACTACCATGCAGGGTCATTTAAACCAAATGAGAGACTTTTAAGAAAGGCACTTGGTGCACAGCGCTTGGCTCACAATAAGTAATAGCTGCTTTTAAATAAAGGCATGGTGAAAAAAGAAAGAAAACCCCTCATTACACCTCATCTCTTGCCGGGGTGGCAAAGCCAATCCTAGATTCTGAGCGCTGACAAGGGCCTGGGGACCATCAACCACTTCCTGAAATCTCAGCTTCTCACACTTCTTGTACCAGATCAGGACACTCAAAGGAATTAAATGGACCAAATTAATCTTTACAGCAGTTTAGTACATGGTCCCAAAGCTAAAGAGCCAGAAAGAGGTTCACTGGGGAAAAAAGACTGCCATTCAAACCAACCTAAGGCCCTCCACTACGTATCCAGCGATGCCAACATTAGCGGTGGGGACCTACAGGACCCGCTCAAGGTCTCACCTCGAGTGTGGAGGAGGGTCACCCGGAGATGAGAAACGCAAAGCGCCTAGCTCAGTTCCTAAGAGACAGGAAGCGCCGAAATGCAATATATTCCTTTCCAACCCGTTCCTCGGGGAACAAAAGCACCAAAAAATGGAACTGGGAAGTCCGGCCTCAAGTTCGTGGTCTGGATTTCGGTCTCCCCGACGCCGCGGCCGAGGCCGGGGCCTCCAGCCCTCCACGCCACTACGGGGCCCAGGGGCGCGAAAAAACAGAGGGTCCCCGCGGCCCCGCACCGCCGACCCGACGCCAGAAAAGCGCGGCGGAAGCCCCTCGCCTCGCAGTCCTCAGGCGCGCCGCCCACAGCTTCGCTGCGCCTCCCACGTCCCCACCCCGAGAACCCCAGCGGCCAGCCCCACTTACTGCCTAAAGCCCAGCCCCACGAGCCGGCCCAGGCCCACATTCGAAACAAACATACGCGCCCCAGCTGGGCGCAGCCATACTGGCGTGGGCAACTCCCCCGCGGGCTGGAGCGTGGGCCGTTTGTGGAACGCGCGGACTACGTTTCCCAGGATGCCCCGCGGGAGCGCCGGGCCGCCGCGCGGGGCCTTATGGGCAATGTAGTTCCAAAATAGTCGATCGGCGTGGTTAATTTACAAGTTACCTGATGGTTGGAAACTGTAGGGCTTCAAGTTTGCCACGCTCTTCCGAAGACATTTCCCAAACGTGTCTCCAGTGAAAAATGTTCTGCGTAACCTGTGCACCATCTTCAGTGTTTATTTTGTCTGCACCAACTCTAAGTAGCATACACAGGAATACATAAAAACCTTAAAGATGTCCTCTCGCCCCCTTGGACACGTTTAGTGGACTATTTCAATGGCCTGTTTAGGCTCTACCACTGGCCTCTCCCCTGTCTAGTCCAGCTTCCATCCAAGAATGGATGAGAAAGAGGGAGAACACCGTTTTTACTTCAGCGAAAGGTTTAAGAGATTAAGAGCAGCTATAGTGATCGATGAAATTGCAAGGCAGGTGTCAAAGTGAACCCTCGGGGATTTGTACTTGGAACATTTTAGGGAGATTCGTGTGGCTGCGCTGTTCAGGAAGTGTTGACAGGGAAAGAACTGGAGACAGAGGACCAGCTAGGAGGCTAAGGTTTAGATTAGGAAACCACAGTGGGAATGGCTGTTCCCAGTTAACAGTCATCACTGGGCTACCTTGGCAGCCTCCTCTTCATGATGCTCTGCGGCATTCTGTCCTGCCCTTTGAATATTTCTCCCTTGCCTGCTGTGCTTCATGCCCCTCTTCCTAAAAGTAGATATTCCTCAAACTTCCATTCCCTGACCAAGAATGAATGCCAGAAGATTAGCTCCAGGAAGACACAGGCTCTCCGTTCTGCAGAACTATATCCCAGCCACCTCAACAGTTCCTGGCTCATTAAAGGCTTTTAATAAATATTTGTTGAATGAATGAATGAATGAATGGCCTGTTAAAACCACCATCCTTCTCCTCGTCCAGCATCAAAGTCTTGTAGCTGTATTTGAAATTTCATCTTTTTGTCCATGAAGTGTGACTCAAAGTATTGCCTGGACAATGCTTCTTTCATTTCTACAGCTCCTTCTCTGCCCATCAGACTCTCGCTGAGCCTCACCTGCATTAGGCCAACAGCCTTTTCAGTGGACTCCCATTTTATCCATACCATCCTACATGTCACTCACTACGAGATCCACTTTGAGGTCACATTTTTTTTTTTTTACCAAGAAGCTCAGTGTTTTCCCAGTGTCTTCTGTAGAAACTCATTTTGATATTCTTAGTCCACTGTGGTCCCAACACACTTCACTCTGTATCTCTCACCACTCACCTGTTTCTTAGCTAAAGTGTTTCCAGGGGTGCTCTCTGCCTTCCTGCTTCAGTGACCTGTTTCATGTTGTCCTCTCTGTGAGGGATATCTGTCCTCCCAGATCCTCCCTTCACTGCCTTCAATGAAAGCCATCTCAAACTCTAACTCATCCATAAAGGTTTTCTAGATCTCTAAACAAGATCTGACCTTTTCTTTCATTAAGCCTTCAGGATTATGTGTAACTCTCTTATAACCCATGAATCTGGCAATCACATCTGATCATTTTGTCAGTATCTCCAAGTCAGGGATCATACCTTTATCTGCCCTGTCGTCTCTACAGCAGTTAACACTAAAAATATGAGTTGCATTATCATTAATAACACCAATATGTGGCTTTGTAGTTTATGGTAAAATTTTAGAATTTTTTAAAAGGATGTATTTATTTGAGAGAGAGAGAGAGCATGCACGTGTGAGTGGGAGGAGGGGCAGAGGGAGAGGGAGAGAATTTTCAAGCAGACTCCCTATGGAGCTGGGAGCCCAATCCTGGGCTTGATCCTAGGACCCTGAGATCATGACGTGAGCTGAAATCAAGATTGGATGCTTAACTGACTGAGCCACCCAGGTGCCCCTTTATGGTGAAATTTTAAGTCCTTTATTTGCTCCCCAGAAAATTGGAGTTGAACCTATAAAACTATTGACCAGACACTGCGCTCATTAAGGTTTCACACAGGTTTTCAGCCTTGTGAGGGGCTGCGCAAGAAAAGTTAACGATGTTTTTAAAAAGTTGTGAGCATTTATATTGCAGATGGTTTCTAAGCACTATCTCATTTAATCCTCATAACAATGCCTCATGGCGGGAACTGGTATCATTCCCATTTTATAGATGAGGAGACTGAGGTTCTGGGAGGTATGTAATTCCTACAAAGTTACACAGAATCTCCAACCAAGATTTGAGTCCTCAGGATCTGTCTCTAGGGCTTGCACTCTTAATCACTGATTCTACCTTGCCTCTCTAAAGCCAGTCACCTGCTTGCTGGCTTGGTCATCCTCTCTCCCTCCTTCTTTCTCTTCTTCCTTCCCTTCTTCTTTCTTTTTGCAATATTGATGAGCCCTTCTCCTGTGTCTGGCACTGGGGATATTACAAAGAATACGACAGAGGTTGTGGGAGCACTGCTACCAGCCTGTTCAATATGCTTCTCTCTTTCTTCTTTACTAACAGACCCCAATTTTATAGGGGGCACGATTTCCCTCTCTGAGTGGTCATGTGACACAGTTCTACCCAATGAGTAATAATGATAGCTAACCCTTACATAGCGCTGTGGGCATGCCAGGCAGGAAGTGTGTCTATATACTGTTAGCCTTAAAGATAAAAACTCTCAGTTATTTTACTAGCAAAAATAGGTTTATTTGGGAATGGCAGAAAATTATATTCTATTCCGGACATGGAAGCTATGGCAAAACCATAGGCAAGGTCAGAGAACAAAAGAGAAGAATGGTGCTTTCATAGGGGGAAGGGGGTTGTTGGAAGGGGCTGTTATAAACAAAAAGTCCACTAGAATAAACTGGAGGTTCTACGTGCCGTGGTTTTTCATTGGCTGAGTTGTGGCAGCCCCTCATTGGCTGGGCTGTTGCTGGGCAAGGAGACAATCCTTCCTCCTCCTGCGGGTAGTAAAGCATAGGCATCTTCCTGTTGGGAATGCAAGGTACTGTCTCTTCCTGTTGGGGTCTGCAATTGCAGACGTGGGGTAGGGTGGGAGAGCTCCCCCTTCTGGCCAACCGGCTGCATTTTATTTTATTTTATTTTTTAAAAAGATTTACTTATTTGAGAAAGATAGAGCATGAGCAGGAGGGGTAAAGGGAGAACAAGAGAGAATCCAAAGCCAACTCGGTGCTCAACATGGAGCCTGAGTTGGGGCACCATCTCAGGACCCTAAAATCATGACCAGAGCTGAAACCAAGAGTCTGACAGTTAACCGACTATGCAACCCAGGCAGCCCAACCAACTCCTTTTAAATGAGGCTTTCTTTATTCAGTTTCACAATATGAATTTATCTAATTAAGTGTCCACAACAATCCTGTGAGGTGTTATAATAGCAGAAGCCATTCTTTGGGGCTTCCAGGAAAATTCTTTGAAAAGAGACTCTAGTTGTTTTGCCCTTACCCCTCCTTCTCTTACCCTAGAGTTGTAGACACGATGGCTAGGGCTCTGGCAGCCACTAAAAGCATGAGGATGCAGATCACTCCATAAAGACAGAAGGAATCTAGACTGCTGATGACATTATAAAGCTGTCCTATCAGTCCTTGAGTATTTACCTCTTGATTTCTTTTCTGCAAGAGAAAAAGTATGCCTTCATTTAAGTTACCGTGTGGTGGTGTCTCTGGCGTTCAAAGCTGAATAAAATTCCTAACTGGGACACAAGGCTTCAGGAGGGCAAAGTGAGTAGAGAAGAGCAAGAGATAAAAACTAAAAATATGACATGTCATTAGAGTGATATTCTTTCCTTGCGTGT